CACCCACCCACCCGGCCTCCCTTTCACGGCCGAATGGAAATGCCTGCACATTTGCCATGGAGTACACCCCCACCACCCCCATTCAAAAGGCGAAATACGGCCACCTCTAGGCTTCTGGCCATGGGCCCCCCTCTGCCCATAGGGCGGCGAGGGGGTAGGGATTGGGGGGGGTCGGGGGTCGGGACACCCTCCCCCCCCCCCCAATCGGAGAGCTGAACAGGAGCGAGAAGTTTTGGGTCGTCGCGTGTTCCAACTTGGAAACCACGAGGGGCAGTGGCGACCACGTGGGCGCGTGCGAGCCCACGAGGTTTGCGGAACGTGGCGGTGACGGAAATTCCCGTTGGTCCGTTCTCCCGTTAGCCGCAACCTGTCCTCGTTTTTTTTGTTCTCAAAGTTTCAGTTTGTCGCCGCAGTCGTTTGGACCTGTTGAGTGAATGAATGACAAAAGCGGTGGATGTTGCCGAAGCCGCGGTGTCGTCCCACGTTGTTGAGATGCCCCTTGCGTTGCGTCGCTTGACACGCATTTCTCACCAGGTTATCGGTGTGATATAATTTGGTTAAAAATTTTTTTTTTATGTTTAACACGTAGGCTTTCGCGACCAATAGCATCCATAATAGAGGGTGTTTTTTGGGGGGGTTAGATCGTGCAAGCAAAAAAAAATCATCTTGTGAATAATTATATGCCGGAGCAGATAAAAGGAAATGATCCAGAGAGTGGTTAGTCTACCAGAATCACCTAATTTATCTGATTCAACTATACTAAACTAAAAACATTTTTTATTGTTATCAGGTAAGGCCCACTGGGCTATTTAGCTCTTTTTCAGAAGAGACCTGGCCACAAGTGATAGCTCAACGAAGTGGACTCATCGTCACGTGGAAATTTAGCAGCCAAACTCGTGTCGTTGTTTCTGAATGTGGAGGGGAAAAACCCGAGGACCCGGAGAATAATCCACGGGACCCCACGGGGAGAGAGGCACGCAAACTCCAAATGTACAGCAGGCGTCAGGGTCGGGATCGAACCCACGACCTCATGTACACTAGGCGAGGTAGTCAACATCTCCGAGCCACCGTGATGATGATGAGAGAGAGAGACACGCAAACTCCAAATATACAGCAGCAGCAGGCATCAGGGTCGGGATCGAACCCACGACCTCCTGTACACCAGGCGAGGTAGTCAACATCTCCGAGCCACCGTGATGATGATGAGAGAGAGAGAGGCACGCAAACTCCAAATATACAGCAGCAGCAGGCGTCGGGATAGAACCCACGACCTCCTGTACACCAGACGAGGTAGTTAACGTCTCCTAGCCCCCGCACTTCCCCTATGCAATTGTCATCGGCCAAGTAACAGTGAACTCGAGAATCGTAATCTCTATTTATCTTGGAGGAATCTGATAATCGGATCATCGTTCCCTCGGATAATCGGATCATCGTTCGCTCGGATAATAGGATCATCGTTCCTTCACGTGCCAACTCGGACATGGGGAATTCTGCCGCACGTACGTACGTACGACGTTGCCTTGATGGTAAATTTCTGTGGTCGGGCTGCAAATTTATCGGGGGGGGGGGGGGGGGGGAAACCGCGAACCAATATTGACCGATGTAGCGTGCACAAAAGAAAGCCCGTGGCATTTTTGTCACCTGACGGCGATGTGACGCCCCTGGGTTCAAATCCGGGTTGCAGTCGCCCAACCACAGTGTGAAAAGAGATCCATGGAGATCCCATGCAGATCCCATGCAGATCCCATGCAGATCCCATGGAGATCCCATGGAGATCCCATGGGAATCCAAGACCCATGGAGATCCCATGGAGACCCACGGAGACCCACGGAGACCCACGGTGGCCCACGGTGGCCCATGGAGACCCCATGGAGACCCCATGGAGACCCCATGGAGACCCCATGCAGATCCCATGGAGATCCAATGGAGATCCCATGGAGATCCCATGGGAATCCGAGACCCATGGAGACCCACGGAGACCCACGGTGGCCCATGGAGACCCCATGGAGACCCCATGGAGATCCCATGGAGATCCCATGCAGATCCCATGCAGATCCCATGGAGATCCCATGGGAATCCAAGACCCATGGAGATCCCATGGAGACCCACGGAGACCCATGGAGACCCACGGAGACCCACGGAGATCCATGGAGACCCACGGTGGCCCATGGAGATCCATGGAGACCCCATGGAGACCCCATGGAGACCCCATGGAGATCCCATGGAGATCCCATGGAGATCCCATGGAGATCCCATGGTGACTCATGGAGACTCATGCAGACCCCAGAGACTCGCACGGACTTGCGTTGCGGTTAATACAAGTTCTCGAGCGTGGCGAATCGATGGTCTCGGCTCAATGAGCAATGGCTGCAAGGACAAAAATGTGGTCTGTGACCCAATTTGGTGCAAATACCAGAGAATCCGGCCCTGAGAATTAACCGATTTAAAATGTTGGTTTCAGTCCCGCGTGAAATCCGGGTTTGGGTGACAGCCGGGGCATTGCTAAATCCACCACACCTGTTGCCTCACGGCAAGAATGGCCTGGGTTCGACTCGCGACTCGGGGCGGCGCCTTGCTTGTGTGGATTTTGTAAGTTTCCCCCCACCCCCCGAAATTTTGACTTAAAACTTTCGTGACTGCAGGAATTCATATTCTTGGTTCTTTCGGCAAAGTCACGTAGATAGAAAATGAAATAAAAATTGCAGATAATTCAATTAAATAAAAAATATAAAAATTGAAAATAATAAAAGCCAAAAACCCACGGCGTTTCGATCGCAACACAAGCGGCCTTCATCCTCATCCTGCGAGGGTTTCCTCTGGATTCTCCGCTTTCCTCTCCTAGCTGAAGAAGACGAAGACGAAACCTGGTTTATTGCCCCAAATAGTTCCACGCGGAGGCGAGCGGCATGGAGGGGAGAGAGTGGGAAGGGGGGGGGGGGTGCGCTGGCGTATTGTCCGCTTGGTTTTATTTAAAAAAATGTTTGGTCCCGCGCTCGGCTTATAAGTTCGTTTTGCCGTGACATTCCGCCGACGGGTCCTGGGCGATAACCACCCGGGGTCAGTCGGGTATCGGGCCGCGCTCCATTTGCTTTCTCGCGGCCGTGTTTGCCAGAGTTTTCTTTTTTGCCAGTACTCCCCCCCCCCTCCCGCCCCCGCCCGCCTCCTGACGGCACAGCCGTTATCGCCGCCGGCCTCTCCCTGTGCAAGGGTCTCGCGCCAGATTTTGAGCTGACATCGCGTTTTTTTGGCGCGCGGCTGACGATAAAAAAAAATAGCTGTGGGAACAAAACAATAAAGGTTCGAAATTTTTTTTCCACATCTTCATTTGCACGAGAGGATGACCGATCGCAAACGACGTGAATGTTCACCCCGCCGTTGGCTGCGATCCGCAGTGCCCCAATGGCCGAACGCCGTTTGCATTGCCTTTTAAGATGACTCACTTCTGTAGAACTGCGTTAGCACAGTTGGCTACGTGCAGTGAGAAATAAGTTCTACACGCACGTGCGTACGTACACACGCGCATACGTAATGAGAGAGAGACAGAGGGAGAGACAGAGAGAGAGAGATGGAGAGAGAGAGAGATGGAGAGAGAGAGAGATGGAGAGAGAGAGAGATGGAGAGAGAGAGAGACAGAGAGAGAGACAGAGAGAGCGAAATGGAGAGACACAGAGGAGCTGAGCATTTGAACTTACACACACACAGAGCATGTGAACGTACACACACACAGAGCATGTGAACTTACACACACACAGAGCATGTGAACTTACACACACACAGAGCATGTGAACTTACACACACACAGAGCATGTGAACTTACACACACACACAGCATGTGAACTTACACACACACAGAGCATGTGAACTTACACACACACAGAGCATGTGAACTTACACACACACAGAGCATGTGAACTTACACACACACACAGAGCATGTGAACTTACACACACACACAGAGCATGTGAACTTACACACACACACAGAGCATGTGAACTTCCACACAGAGTGCGAGAGAGCGCGCGGGGAAATTAGCGCAACAGCCCCTGGGGTGGATTTGAGAAGTGAGCTGTTAAGACAAAATATCTGGAATGCTTTTTGGGTTGCTTAACCTCGTGGGACTCCGCTTAGAATAATAATAACAGTAATTATTACAGTTACCGTAGCTTCCATCGTACGATCTCAAGGCGCTTTACATCGGTGACAACGGCGTGGTCGGTGGGTGGATGGTGGAGGGCGATTGGTAAGAAGTGGCCGAGTTTTTAAGAGGGGAAATGCTCCCTCGGAGAGAGTCGACGTTTATTTTGGGCGGGGGGCTCGGAGCGTCTCCACCGAACCGGACTTCCTGTCACAGCCTCCGGCAGGAGATAGAGAGGCCCCTCGAGATACATGGAGACACACAGAGATACATAGAGATATATAGAGACACATAGATACCAATTGAGATGCACAGAGACGCACAGAGATATATAGATAACAATAGAGATACAGAGGCCCGTCGAAATGCAAAGACACATAGTTACCAATAGAGATACAAAGAGACCCCTCAAGATACAGAGACACATAGATACCAATAGAGATACATAGAGACGCATAGCAATGCACAGAGACACACAGAGACACACAGAGACACACAGAGACACACAGAGACACACAGAGACACACAGAGACACACAGAGACACACAGAGACACACAGAGACACAGAGACAGACAGAGACACACAGAGACACACAGAGACACCCAGAGACTCACAGAGACTCACATAAACCTACAGAGAGACATACAGAGACCTACAGAGATCTACAGAGATCTACAGAGATCTACAAAGAGGCGCCCAGAGATGCATAGACTACAGGGAGAAAACCCAAACTCAACAGGCATCACCAGGGTCCGGGATTGAACCCCCGCGACCTCCCGCGGACGACACCCCCCTCGGCACAGGCGACGATTTGCTCCGCTGACGACGACGTTGCCGCCGTGTCTCCCGCCGCCCCCCCCCCAGGTGCCGCTCGGGCTTCGTGGGCGAGCGCTGCCAGCACGAGGACCCGTGCCGCAGCTCGCCGTGCCTCAGCGGCGGCTCGTGCCGCCCCGTGCTGATGTCGCGCGCCGTCTCCTACCTGTGCACGTGCCCGCTGGGCTTCGCGGGGCCCCGCTGCGCCTCGCCCATCGAGAGCGCCTGCTCCAGCTCGCCGTGCCTCAACGGCGGGCGCTGCCAGCTGCTGACGCTCGCCACCTTCGACTGCCAGTGCCCCGTCGGCTGGGCCGGTGAGCGGTGGCGCCGACGGCGGTGACGGCGACGGCGGTGACGGTGGACCATGACACCGGCCGCTATAAATGTCCACACGACGACGACGACGACGATGAGCCACTCGGTCGAGCTCTCGTCTGTGATGGCCGGGGTCGCTTCTGAAACTAAGAGCTACGTAGCAGCTCCGTATCGGGCCTTGCTACCTGGTTTGAACGTGAATTGTTTTGTTTTCACTTAACTGTCAGCTCATGGATCTTTGACCGTTTTGTCGCTCCCGCAGGGGAGCTGTGCCAGCGGCCCGAGCCGTGCGCCTCCGCCCCCTGCGCCCACGGCGGATCGTGCACGGCGCTGGCGTCTCAGTACCGCTGCTCGTGCGCGCCCGGCTACCGAGGCGCCGACTGCCGCGCCGACGTCGACGAGTGCTCCGGGCCCGGCAAGCCGTGCCGCAACGGCGGGACTTGCGTCAACACCATCGGTGAACGCCGCACCGTCGGTGGAGTGGGGGGGGGGGGGGGTGGTGGGGGGTGGGGGGGATGGAGGGAGGGATGGAGAGAGGGAGGGAGGGAGACGGAGGGATGGAAATGGAGAGGGAGGGAGGGACGGAGATGGAGAGATCAACCAGGGCAGCCGCTGGATTCCATCCGCCACTGCTGGTCCGCGTCACCGCCCCCGTAATTAACCGACTCCTCTCTCTCTCTCTCTCGCCCGTACGCTCGCGCTCCACCCCCCGCCAGGCTCCTACGTGTGCCAGTGCCGCGCCGGCTACGGTGGGCGCGCCTGCGACAGCGCCCACGTGCCCTGCTCGCCCTCGCCGTGCCTCAATGGGGGCACCTGCCGTCAGCCCACGGACGAGACCTACGACTGCACCTGCCTGCCAGGTGAGTGCGCGAGCGAACGAGCGAGCGAGCGAGCGGTCCGCCCGCTGGATGTGAAGGCCGCTCCCCAAGGATTCAAGATGGGAATTTTGAATCCCTAAACCATAACTCAACGCCACAAACCCATAACCCCCCCTAACCACTAACACCTCGGCCATAACCCGTAACCTCTCGTGCTGGGTGCCGTTGGAACTCTACTTCAAAAGGGGAGTCCCGAATCCGTCTGTGCGGCGCTCTTGAGTGTCGTCTCGTTATGCGTGCTGGGATTCCTCCCACTCGGTTGTGGGTCGTCTGTGCTCTGCTGGCTTCAGAGGCATCTCGAATCCAAAGGAGCTTTGCCCATCTCGTGGAAGTTGTCGAAGGCCTAGGGAGATGAAATTTGGCACGTTATCAATTCCATTACAGACGTATGTCAACTAAACTATTGTTTATTTTAAGGCCCATTTACTGAGCTTCACCTAGGGGTTGACCCAGGACCGATTCGGTTGATCGTCACCTGGTGTTGGTGGCCGCGAGCGGAAATCGTACTCGGCTACGCCGCGTTTAGTCACGCGGCGCGGCGCTACCGGCTGCGCCCACCGCTCCCCGCCACGCACCGATAGCCGCCGTTCGCCAACGAAGCGAGGGTGACGTCAACCACGTTCATACACGCTCGCACTCCACACGCACTCTCACGCAACAGCAGCAGCAACAACAACATCAACACGTCAACCGTCGGCGGTGCGGTACAATGAGCCGTTGATAAAGTCCGATCGTAACGGCAGCTTTTTAAGGTGCACTTTGTTTTGTTGCATACAGTGCACGGCACAAACGTGAATGGAGTGGTGGGTTGTTTTTTTTCTGGTTAAAGGATGTTGAATGGCGCGGCCATTTTGTCATATCCTTCCGCCCCGCTTGGCTCAAAGTGGCATTATCAGGGGCGTGAAATTTTCCGGCTGGAGAAAGAGGGACCGGCTGCATTGTAATTTTAGCCCATTTTGCTTTCCGCCAACATTTCCTGCGATTGTTGTGGGGTTGATGATGATGATTTGATTTTTTTTCTCTGTTTGTTAAAACACCCCAGCGGCGTCTCTCCGACCGTAGTTCCACGGTGCCCCGGGCGCTCGCTGGCACACGCTCCTCCCGTATACATGGCGGCGTGATGCTTTGGGGGGGGGGGGGGGATTTGTCGCCGAGCTGGGGCAGACCAAGCGCGTGCGTGCGGTTGTTGTGTAACGTGGTCGTCGCGCATTTTGAGAGTTGTTCTACCATTGTTAAACGTGGTGCCGTAACTACCTTTTTTTTTTTTTACACGGCCGTGATAAATTTGCGCAGGCGACCTCTGTGCATGGTAGCCATAAGTAGTAGTAGTAGTAATAATAATTGTTAAGGTTGACTTTTATTTTGACGTATGCCGGGCGCTCCGGTTTCCTTCCCACGTGTATGCACACGTTCATTGGCCGATAACACGTTGACAATATATGGAGAGGGCCACAGAGCTTGGGAAATTGTTGGCGCCAGCTCGCCCACGTGGCTGTTGCTGCCATTTCGCCTGTGTCTGTGGCTCCTCCTCCTGGCGCATCCTGAGTCGTCCCCTCTCTCAGTTCTCTTTCACCCAGTCGCCCTCTCTGCACGAGTCATCATCCCAGGCGCCCTCTCTCCCAGTCGCCCTCTCTCTACGAGTCATCCTCTCTCTCTACGAGTCGCCCTCTCTGCCAGTCGCCCTCTCTCTACGAGTCATCCTCTCTACGAGTCGCCCTCTCTCCCAGTCGCCCTCTCTCTACGAGTCATCCTCTCTCTCTCCCAGTCGCCCTCTCTCCCAGTCGCCCTCTCTCTACGAGTCGTCCTCTCGCTGTCCTGAGTCGTCCTCTCCCTGTCCGCGCAGGCTTCCTGGGCTTGCACTGTGACGTCAACGTGGACGACTGCCAGTCCAACAACTGCCAGAACGGCGCCACCTGCGTCGATGGCGTCAACACCTACAACTGTCACTGCCCCGAGGAGTGGACCGGTGAGTGATGCGGGGCAGTTCCTATAGCGCTCCTCTTACCTGCTGCACTTGCCTGATGATTGCTACACAGTCATCACCGCCACCAATGTCGCCAACTTCCCTTGGCAATGCCATGAATTCATTATCATCGCGATTCATTCCGGTGCACGGTAGCACCCTCTAGTGGCCACCGTCGCCGCACGTGCCAGTTACGTGCGGACGGTACGTACCTAGGGTGTGACGACGACGACGATAATAATAATATTTAGTCTCGGAGCGATTTTGACACCACAGTGGCAGCTGTCCCCCCTGTTGCGTCGTCAGAAGGGGACCCAGCAAGCACCCGGCCCAAGCAAATGGGCATCAGTCTGCCGCCAGTAGGGAGGTGCGATGGTCGCCGCTGTGTAACCCCAATGGAGTATAAAGACGTAGGAGCTCTCGGAGACTTTCGCGACCAACATTGTCCACGATCGAAGTTTATTACATTTATTTATGGTTTAGATGGCGTAAATACAAACGTTACGTCGTTGAAACCGCCACCAACCACCCACCGCCTCTGGACGCGGGCAATTAGTGAAGGTTGCGTCGCGTGAATCAAAACGTGGCCAATTCGTTACCGTTTGAGCCACGCGCCGGTTGCGCGTCGGAGAGTGTAAACCCGTGACGTTTACCGATTCGAGTGCCGTGCGACTTTTCGCTGGCAATCGCAACCGGCCTCGTCAGGCAAACCTCACCAACCGGCTGCGTCGGGTGGTGGCGGGGTCGAACGACGCGCTCCTGGTGTCAACGCGAACTGACCCCCCCAAGAAAAAAATAACCCTCTTGTCATCACCCCCCCCCCCCCATTCGAGGAATTTAGCGGTGTGATTTTTGTTTCCATGTTTGGGGTGGACCCTGACACCCGGCACGCACCGGCCTGCTCTTTTGCGAACGACGTTACAGGGACCTTGTCCACTCGAATTTCGTTTTTTAGAGAAAAAAAAAATTGACGTTTGGTACAGCACACCGGTTGGGTACAGCACACCGGTTGGGTACAGCACACCGGTTGGGCACAGCACACCGTGTGGTGTACCCACACCGTGTGGTGTACCCATACCACAACACCGCACCGGTTGGGCACACTGACGACGACGACGACGACAATGATGACGATGATGGCAATACTGATGACGATGCTCCTTGCGACGTCTTTGCTAACGGCGGCGGCGCAGGCCAGTACTGCACGGAGGACGTGGACGAGTGCCACCTGCAGCCCAACGCGTGCCTCAACGGGGGCACGTGCCACAACACGCACGGCGGCTACAACTGCGTGTGCGTCAACGGCTGGAGCGGCGACGACTGCAGCGAGAACATCGACGACTGCGCCAATGCCGCGTGCTACAACGGCGCCACGTGCCACGACCGCGTCGCCAACTTCTTCTGCGAGTGTCCCATCGGCAAGACCGGTGGGTGGCCGGTAGTCGGCAGGGGGAGGAGGGGTGGGGTGGGGAGGTCGGGAGGGGGTGGGAGAACGGCGCTCTCGAGTCGATGGTCACCAGCGACTCGCGTAGAGACCCACAGAGACTTGTATAGAGACCCCCACAGACTCGTATAGAGACCCGTAGGCTCCTACAGAGACCCGTAGGCTCCTACAGGGACCCGTAGACTCGTATAGAGACCCACAGAGACTCGTATAGAGACCCACAGAGACTTGTATAGAGACCCCTACAGACTCGTATAGAGACCCACAGAGACTCGTATAGAGATCCACAGAGACTCGTATAGAGACCCACAGAGACTTGTATAGAGACCCACAGAGACTCGTATAGAGACCCACAGAGACTTGTATAGAGACCCCTACAGACTCGTATAGAGACCCGTAGGCTCCTACAGAGACCCGTAGGCTCCTACAGAGACCCGTAGGCTCCTACAGAGACCCGTAGACTCGTATAGAGACCCACAGAGACTCGTATAGAGACCCACAGAGACTCGTATAGAGACCCACAGAGACTCGTATAGAGACCCACAGAGACTTGTATAGAGACCCACAGAGACTCGTATAGAGACCCACAGAGACTCGTATAGAGACCCACAGAGACTTGTATAGAGACCCCTACAGACTCGTATAGAGACCCGTAGGCTCCTACAGAGACCCGTAGGCTCCTACAGAGACCCGTAGACTCGTATAGAGACCCACAGAGACTCGTATAGAGACCCACAGAGACTCGTATAGAGACCCACAGAGACTCGTATAGAGACCCACAGAGACTCGTATAGAGACCCACAGAGACTCGTATAGAGACCCACAGAGACTTGTATAGAGACTCGTATAGAGACTCGTATAGAGACCCACAGAGACTCGTATAGAGACCCACAGAGACTCGTAGACTCGCATAGACGGAGTTGCGATGAAGCTGGGTTCTCCGCTGGGGTTCTCTGCCCCCTCGCCGATGACGACGCAACAAAAATGAGCAGGGGGCTGCACTCCGGTGTGGGGGTGGGGGTGGAAATTCCACATTGTCATGGCAGGCACCGGTCATTCCAACCGGACGGTGCTTACTTACGGAGTGTCGCCCCTATTGTTGGTGCTCACCATCTGTGTCCGTGTGTCCGTCCGTCCATGTGTCACGTCTCTCTGTGTGTCCGTCCGTCCGTGTGTCACATCGTCCGTGTGTCTGTGTGTCCGTCCGTGTGTCACATCGTCCGTGTGTCACATCGTCCGTGTGTCACATCGTCCGTGTCACATCGTCCGTGTGTCTGTGTGTCCGTGTGTCCATCCGTGTGTCACATCGTCCGTCTGTCACATTGTCCGTGTGTCTGTGTGTCACATCGTCCGTGTGTCTGTGTGTCCGTGTGTCCATCCGTGTGTCACATCGTCCGTGTGTCTCTGTGTACGTCCGTCCGTGTGTCACATCGTCCGTGTGTCCGTCCGTGTGTCACATCGTCCGTGTGTCTGTGTGTCCGTCCGTGTGTCACATCGTCCGTGTGTCACATTGTCCGTGTGTCTGTGTGTCCATCCGTGTGTCTGTGTGTCCGTCCGTGTGACACATCGTCCGTGTGTCACATTGTCCGTGTGTCTGTGTGTCACATCGTCCGTGTGTCTGTGTGTCCGTGTGTCCGTCCGTGTGTCACATCGTCCGTGTGTCCGTGTGTCCGTCCGTGTGTCACATCGTCCGTGTGTCACATTGTCCGTGTGTCTGTGTGTCCGTGTGTCCGTCCGTGTGTCACATCGTCCGTGTGTCTGTGTGTCCGTGTGTCCGTCCGTGTGTCACATCGTCCGTCCGTCCGTGTGTCACATTGTCCGTCCGTCCGTCCGTGTGTCACATCGTCCGTGTGTCACATCGTCCGTGTGTGTGTCACATCGTCCGTGTGTCTTTGTGTCACATCGTCCGTGTGTCTGTGTCCCATTGTCCGTGTGTCACATCGTCCGTGTGTCTGTGTGTCCGTCCGTCCGCATGGTGCCACCCTCGCTCTCTTCTCCCCCTCCCCCACCCAACCAGGCCTCCTGTGCCACCTGGACGACGCGTGCGTGAGCAACCCGTGCCACGAGGGGGCTTTGTGCGACACCAACCCCATCACGGGCAAGGCCATCTGCACGTGCCCGCCCGGCTTCTCCGGCGGGGCCTGCAAGCAGGACATCGACGAGTGCTCCATCGGTACGGCGAGGGCAGACGGCGGCGCTGGTCGGCGTGGGCGGTCCATCGTCGCGACGCGGCCGCGGTCGATGCTCTCCTGGGAAGCGTCGCGTAGAGCGAAAGCGCATTGAGCCAGGAATTGGGAGTTTTGTGCGAGTCTGTGGGCAGTGTTGAGTCTATGGGCAGTGTTGAGTCTATGGGCAGTGTTGAGTCTATGGGCAGTGTTGAGTCTATGGGCATTGTTGAGTCTATGGGCAGTGTTGAGTCTATGGGCAGTGTTGAGTCTATGGACAGTGTTGAGTCTATGGACAGTGTTGAGTCTGTGGGCAGTGTTGAGTCTGTGGGCAGTGTTGAGTCTCTGGGCAGTGTTGAGACTATGGGCAGTGTTAAACTCTGGGCAGTGTTAGACTATGGGCAGTGTTAGACTATGGGCAGTGTTGAGTCTATGGGCAGTGTTGAGTCTATGGGCAGTGTTGAGTCTATGGGCAGTGTTGATTCTATGGGCAGTGTTGATTCTATGGGCAGTGTTGAGTCTATGGGCAGTGTTGAGTCTATGGGCAGTGTTGAGTCTATGGGCAGTGTTGAGTCTATGGGCAGTGTTGAGTCTATGGGCAGTGTTGAGTCTATGGGCAGTGTTGAGTCTATGGGCAGTGTTGAGTCTATGGGCAGTGTTGAGTCTATGGGCAGTGTTGAGTCTATGGGCAGTGTTGAGTCTATGGGCAGTGTTGAGTCTATGGGCAGTGTGTAAGTAAGTTGAACTTCTTTCGCACCGTACGTAGCCGACCGCGCTAATCGGAGGTGCGGGGGGGGGGGAAGGATGACAACTAAACACTGAAGGCAGTGCTGAAGAAATTAGTTTGTCAATTTAGACGATGATTATTTAAACGTGGCCACACAGCTCCCAGTGGCTTTCTAATATCGTAAGGAAGAGCGTTCCAGACGGCCGCGGAAGAGCATCCGGACGCGCCGCGCGATGCTTTGTAAGCAATGCCGTGGTGGGGAAACGGATATTTGACGGAGACGTTGCGAGGGGGCACGGTTTTGTGGGCGGGGAAAAAAAACGTCTCACCTCTGTCCTTGGCGTGTGCCGCTGGACGGGAGGTGCCCGGCGGGGATACAGGATGCCTACGGCACCGGCCATTGCCGCGTCACGCTGGGCGTGGCTCTGTAGGGGGGGTTTCCTGCCTTCGGTGAAGCAGGAGGATGATTGCTGCGGTCGCTATTTTAAGGGGACCTGACTAACAGTTTGTCTGTCCCTGTGTGTGCATCTCTCTGTGTCGGTCTGTCTGTCCATTGGTACGATCCGTCCATCTGTCCGTCCGTCCGTCCGTCGCTCTGTCCTTTTGTCGGTCTCCATCTATTCGTCTCTTCATCTGCCTCTCCATTCGTCCATCCGTCCATCCGTATGTCAATTTGCCCATTTCCTAATCTGTCCATCCGTCCGTTTGTCCACGTGCCCGTCTGTCCATCCATCTCACCATCTCTCCGCGTGTCCACCCTTCTACCTGCCTGTCCGCTCTTCTCTCCGCGTGTCCACCCTTCTCTCCATCCGCCCTCCCATCTCTCCGTCTGTCCGCCCTTCTCTCCGCCTGTCCGACCTTCTCTCCGCGTGTCCGCCCCCCCTTCTCTCCGCGCGTGCGCCTCCCCCGCGTCCCCGCCGCGCACGCCCAGGAGGGAATCCGTGTGAGCACGGCGGGCGCTGCATCAACACGATGGGCTCCTTCCGCTGCCACTGCCTGGGCGGCTACACGGGCGCCCGCTGCGAGATCGACGTCAACGAGTGCCAGTCGATGCCCTGCCAGAACGACGCCACCTGCCTCGACCAGATCGGAGAGTTCACCTGCATCTGCATGCCCGGTGAGGCGCGGCGTGTGGCGGCGTGCTGGGGAGAGGCACGTGCCTGGGGACGCCACGCGGTGGTGACACGGTGGGGACACGGTGGTGACACGGTGGGGACACGGTGGTGACACGGTGGGGACATGGTGGTGACACGGTGGGGACACGGTGGGGACACGGTGGGCACACGGTGGGGACACGGTGGGGACACGGTGGGGACACGGTGGGGACACGGTGGGGACACGGTGGGGACACGGTGGGCACACGGTGGGGTACATGCGGAGGGATGCGGAGGAGATGTGCGGGGAACACGTGGGGGGGGTGAGGGGACGCAATCACGTCCTGCCGGAACGATGCCCACCTGCCCTTGATCAGATCCGGGGGGGGTTGGAGTGGGGGGGAGGGTTGGAGTGGTGGGGGGGGGGGTTCACCTGCAATCTGCCTGCATGTTGAGACGAGCGTGGCAAGTTGACGCGCGTGGCAAGTTGACGCGCGTGGCGTGGGAGACGGCACGCAGAGGGAGCCACGAGACTTGCAGATGTGGGCGAGAGGCCCCTGGTGATGGGGGGAGAGAGAGACGCGGGGGAGGGGGGGGGGTGGGGGGTGGGGCATGTTGTTATAACGCACGCACTTCTACCAGGTAAGGCGCCCCCCACTGAGCTGCGTAGCTCTGTTCCGGAAGTGACCCTGGCTATCACAAATGAGAGCTCGGCGAATTGGCTCATCGCGCGGACATTTGCAGCAGCCCAAATGCTCTGGAACGCGTGGTGACGTCGATTCTAAACGTGGAGGGGTGAAAACCGGAGGACCCGGAGAAAAATCCACGCGACCACGGGGAGAGAGAGAGAGACACCGCAAACTGCAAATATACAGCAGGCGTTAGGTTTGGGATCAAACCCCTGGACCTCCCGCATACCAGGCGAGATAGTTAACATCTCCTAGCCACCGCAGTGCTCGGGAGACAAATGTGCTCGCTTGACAACAACAGTACCTGGCCTACAGATTGTTAAATACTAAACGGCGGATCTGTGCCCGTGTGTCGGTGTCTGTGTGTGTGTCGGTGTGTGTGTCGGTGTGTGTGTGTGTCCGTGTGCGTGTGTCCGTGTGTGTGTGTCGGTCTCGGTGTGTGTGTCCATGTGTGTGTGTGTCGGTGTGTGTGTGTGTGTCTGTGTGTGTCGGTCTCGGTGTGTGTGTGTCCGTGTGTGTGTGTGTCTGTGTGTGTCGGTCTCGGTGTGTGTGTGTCCGTGTGTGTGTGTCTGTGTGTGTCCGTGTGTGTGTGTGTCTGTGTGTGTCGGTGTCGGTGTGTCCATGTGTGTGTGTGTCCGTGTGTGTGTGTCTGTGTGTGTCGGTCTCGGTGTGTGTGTGTGTGTTGGTGTCGGTGTGTGTGTGTCCATGTGTGTGTGTCTGTGTGTCTGTGTGTGTCGGTGTGTCCGTGTGTGCGCATGTCCCAGGCTTCATGGGAGCCTTCTGCCAGATCAACATCGATGAGTGCCAGAGCAATCCGTGCTTGAACAAGGGGGTGTGCACGGACAAGCCCAACGGGTACCACTGCGACTGTCGCTCAGGTGAGAGGACCAACGACACGCCGTGACGACGACGACGATGATGGTGATCCTGAAGACGATGACGACGACGACGATGGTGATCCTGAAGACGATGACGACGACGACGACGGTGATGATGATCATCATGATGATAACGACGATTGTGACGGTGATCATGATGATGGTAACGACGATGGTGACGATGATCATCATGATGATAACGACGATTGTGACGGTGATCATGATGATGATGATAACGACGATGGTGACGATGATCATCATGATGATAACGACGATTGTGACGGTTATCATGATGATGGTAACGACGATGGTGACGATGATCATCATGATGATAACGACGATTGTGACGGTGATCATGATGATGGTAACGACGATGGTGACGATGATGATCATGATGACAACGACGATGAAGGTGACGATGATCATGATGATGATAATGACAACGATGATAATGATGATGATGACGATGATGAATACGGTAGTTTGTGTTTTAGTTTGTTGTCCTTCCCGAAGCACCACCGGTTACCACGGTTGGCTACGTACGGTGCGAAAGAAGTTCCAACACACGTACCTACGCGCACAATTATGACGACGACGATAACGACGACGGCGAAGGCGTGTTTATTTATTATATATTTGTTTATCGATTTTTTTTTTTTTTTCGTGTAGGGCCAGTTGCGTTGCCACGTCACTTAGGGGGCGGGGGCTGTAAGCCGATGTCTCCGCGCCATTGATTTGTTGATTTTTGTTTGCCGCGGCTACGACCGCCACGGCGGCTGCTTGGTGCGCTTTGCCTCCGTGGCTTTTTGTAATTCGCGGCACCGAAAGCCGATGGGGCGTAGCGGCCGTCAGGGGGGGGGAGGGGGGAGGGAAAACGCGGTTGCGTATTTTGTAAACTTTTCCCTTTTTAGCGTCGTTTTGCGTCTCCCAAAAAAAGTTTTTGGAGCAAAAAAGGCTTTGGTCAAAGTGTCCGGTTTTTCTCCGGGAGCGAGTCCCTAACAGCCGCACGATTTTACCCTAGAGGCTCGCTCGTATCGGATCAACTCTACGGGAATTACCCCGCTTTTTACACACAAGACCGAGATGGGAGCCACAGCGAACACGCTTTCAACCTCATTTCGCCAGCGTTAATATCCCCTGGACAGTCTGGGACCAGAACAAAAAAATAGCTTCATAGCTCATCGGATTCCTCCCCGCAGTCTAAATAAAGATCCTGCTTTTTGTTTCTTAAACGCCCCGTCACTACGACTCCTCTTTTTGACCGGCGAGACAAAGACACGTTTAATTATGGGTCGAAGTTGACCACCGCTTGGGGTCACGGAGGTCGCGGCGTGGCGTGGTTGGGGGTTGGGGGGCACAGCGGCGAGGACAATGAAGACGCTCCGACAGGGCGACGGAGCGAGTGACTGAGCGACGCCATCGGCCATGCCGGTAGGCGGTGGCGGGAGGAGGAGGAGGAGGAGCGGGGGGGGAGGAGGGCCGGAGGGGAGGGCCGCGTAATCCTGGTTCTCGCCGAACAATGCCGTCTCCGCGCGGTGACGCGGCCGTGGCTTGGCGGTGGTGGTGGTGGTGGTGGGGGAGGTGAAGCGGCAGATGGCTCGGCGGTGGACGGGACGACAACAACAAAACCGAACGTTCGGCCGCGACGGCGGCCTCCTCCTCCTCCTCCACCGCGGTCGGCCGATGAAAAACCGCGACGCACAGTGGAAGCCTTTGTGTGTCCCGGGGTGGAGGGGGGGGTGGCACGTGACATCGCTCGCTCGCTCACTCACTCCGCACTCTCCGCTCTCAACAACAAAAAAAAACGAATCACGATACCCGGAGTGGTTTCTCTGCCTGCCCGCCCGCCGCTGCTTTGTCAAACTCCGGGGTTATTTATTTGTTTGAATATTTTGGTTGGGGGGGAGGGGGGTGGTGGTGGTGCTGGTGTTGGTGAGAGAGATGAAGAGAGACTGGAGGTTACAGCGGTGGGTGTGGTGGAGAGATTGAGGGATGCAGAGGCACGCCCGGTGATGGAAGAGAGAGTTTAACAAGCAGTAGTAATAGTTTGGCTTTCCCGACCAATATTATAATAAAGTCTTTTTCATTTCGGTTAGATCCTGTAAAATATAAATGTCTTTTGATTTAAAGCTTTCATGACTGCAGGGATTCATATTCTTGGTTCTTCAGGGTAAAGTCACGTGACTTTACCGAAAGAACCATAGTTTAGTTTCATAGTTTTATTTATTTGGTATAGCCCTGTGAGCCATTCGGCTCTTGAATCGGGTGCAACCGCAACAAACAAAAAAACAAAAACACGAACAAGAAAACATCTTAAAGTGACTATGTGACTGTGCAAACAGAAAATCCAGGAAAATAAACATGAAAATATTCCTGAAATAGCACCGTACACCAATGCTGTGTGCAAAACTCCCAGTGGGATGCAAGTCAAACAACAACAAGAAAACTTAGATTAAAGCCATCAGTCTAACTCCGTACTACAATAAACAAAAACATGGCCAAACCAAAGAACCTTTAGAAATCAACAAAATAAAGCCATAAATGCAATGTAACAGTGATCATAGGAACTGTGACCGAATTTTTTACAATAAACTACATAACATGTAACACCAAACCCTAGAGCCACAGCTGGCTGCATGAGTCACTCCACAAACAACAGGAGCATCAGTCGGAGTATCACATTTTTCAATGCATCTTTATGATCAGCACACTAAATCAAAATACAGATACTTTGCAGCGGTCATCCAGAGCGAAACATTTCATTTTATTTTAGGCCACTGAATATAAATGCATCGTTAACCCAAGACAGCCAATCGGTACGGTTGTGTCACTTGAAACAAAACGTGCCAATTCGTGACTTGTTCAGCACTAACTGGTCGTGTGTTGGAGCGTTAAACCCACCGCAACATTTACAATTAGAGTAGCCGTGACGTTTCGCCGGTAATTACGACAACAACAACCACCAGCTTCGTCGGGTCGATTTTTTTTTAGCCAGAATCGTGGTCGAGAGAGAGACACGTGCAGAGACGGAGCGAGATCTGGAGAGGGACAGACAGAGAGAGAGGTGCAGGAAGGCCACGTGCTTTCTGGCTCTGCCATTGATGATCATCGAGGTAGGATCCAGTCTTGCTCCCAACAGGCAAAGGTGCAGCCCCGGCAATTGCTTGCTCACGCACACTGCTGGCAGCGAGGGGCCTCTGCTACAGGGTCCTCAAGTGAGTCCCCTTAGAGGGGGTAGTTTGGCTTCTTTCGCACCGAACGTAGCCAACCATGCTAATCAGAGGTGCAGTGTTGAGTCTATGGGCAGTGTTGAGTCTATGGTTCGTGTTAAGTCTATGGGTAGTGTTAATCTATGGGTAGTGTTGAGTCTATGGGGCAGTGTGTATATTGAACGTCTTTCGCACCGTACGTAGCCAACCGTGCCAATCGGCGGTACGGGATTACGGACGACAAGCTAAAACGCAAGAAGCAATTCTAAAGAAACGAGCGTTCAATCGAGACTTCAAAGTGCACCGTCGCTCCGGTGTTAGTTCTGTCCCATGACGGTGCGGCGGGGAAGCCCACGGCTTGCGCCGCTGGGCCGGGAGCTCGGTCACAATCAGCACGGCGCTGCACGTTGCAACCCCGCACGCACCATGCTTTACTGGCGCTGCATGCACGTGCCGTGCCGTGCACACGCAGCACCCTCGCTGCACGATCCTGCGCAGCCATTGCACACTTCACAACACTGCACTAACGCTTACACGATGCTGCTGCCTGCACAGTGACGAATTCTGTCCCATGCTGCACACTGCACAGTGCTGCACGCACGCTGCACCTTGCTGGGACTCGCACTGCACGTTGATGCACTCACGCTGCAGGACAAACAACAACCGCCGTTCGCTAAGAGGCGGTGACGTCACCACGCTGCACCACGCTGCACCCCCGCTGTCTGCACGGCCCCGGCTGCTCAATGCGCCCATTGTTTGTGGCTGGGTCCTGACCATGAGCGGTGGCGCTCTGGGAGGGTCAGCAGCTTGTTTGCAAATTAGGTGTTAGTCTGTGGGTAGTGTTAGTCTGTGGGTAGTGTTAGTCTGTGGGTATTGTTAGTCTGTGGGTAGTGTTAGTCTGTGGGCAGTGTTAGTCTGTGGGTAGTGTTAGTCTGTGGGCAGTGTTAGTCTGTGGGCAGTGTTAGTCTGTGGGCAGTGTTAGTCTGTGGGCAGTGTTAGTCTGTGGGTAGTGTTAGTCTGTGGGTAGTGTTAGTCTGTGGGCAGTGTTAGTCTGTGGGTAGTGTTAGTCTGTGGGTAGTGTTAGTCTGTGGGTAGTGTTAGTCTGTGGGCAGTGTTAGTCTGTGGGGAGTGTTAGTCTGTGGGCAGTGTTAGTCTGTGGGCAGTGTTAGTCTGTGGGCAGTGTTAGTCTGTGGGTAGTGTTAGTCTGTGGGTAGTGTTAGTCTGTGGGTAGTGTTAGTCTGTGGGTAGTGTTAGTCTGTGGGTAGTGTTAGTCTGTGGGCAGTGTTAGTCTGTGGGCAGTGTTAGTCTGTGGGTAGTGTTAGTCTGTGGGTAGTGTTAATCTGTGGGCAGTGTTAGTCTGTGGGCAGTGTTAGTCTGTGGGTAGTGTTAGTCTGTGGGTAGTGTTAGTCTGTGGGTAGTGTTAATCTGTGGGCAGTGTTAGTCTGTGGGGAGTGTTAGTCTGTGGGGAGTGTTAGTCTGTGGGGAGTGTTAGTCTGTGGGTAGTGTTAGTCTGTGGGTAGTGTTAGTCTGTGGGTAGTGTTAGTCTGTGGGCAGTGTTAGTCTGTGGGCAGTGTTAGTCTGTGGGCAGTGTTAGTCTGTGGGCAGTGTTAGTCTGTGGGCAGTGTTAGTCTGTGGGGAGTGTTAGTCTGTGGGCAGTATATTCTTTGGTTCTATTCGGTAAAGTCACGTAGGTAAAAAATAAAACAACAAAATCACGACGTTTCGGCCACAACACAAGCGGCCTTCATCAGGTGAATGGACCAGGCTGTCTCGAAGACTGCGCTGGAGACAGTCTGGTCCCTTCACCTGATGAAGGCCGCTTGTGTTGTGGCCGAAACGTCGTGATTTTTGTTGTTTTATTTTTTACCTACGTGACTTTACCGAATAGAACCAAAGAGTATGGATCCTTGCAGTCACGAAAGCTTCAAATCTAGAATCTGTGGGCAGTGTTAGTCTGTGGGCAGTGTTAGTCTGTGGGCAGTGTTAGTCTGTGGGCAGTACGTATGTATGTTGAACTTCTTTCGCACCATACGTAGCCAACCGCGCTTATCGAGTTTTCATGAAAACTCCAAATATACAGCAGCAGGCGTCAGGGTTGGGATCGAACCCACGACCTCCTGTACACCAGGCAAGGTAGTCAACATCTCCTAGCCACCGTGGCTACTGCACACATTTTACCCCACCACACACACGGCCTGCCCATCGACTAATCTGTGCTGTACCCGTGACACTGCTGGGTGGATGGAGGTGGTGGGCTGGGGGGGGGGGGGGGGGGGGAGGGATTTTAATCAACTTGCACCGTTGTTTCATCTTCCGGTAGATGGAATCGAACCGGAGGCCTCTGCATTTGTGAGTGCCCTGTACGGACCATTGGACCCGCTGTGACAGCTTCTGTGAACTGCGTGTTAACAGTTCGCGTGTCCCCTCCTCTCCCCGCTCCCTCCGCTCCCTCCGCTCCCTCCGCTCCCTCCGCTCCCTCCCCGCCTCGCGCCCCGTCATCGTCCCTGCTGCTGGCACGTCCCCTGTGCCGCAGGCTTCACGGGCAGCATGTGCCAGATGGACATCGACGAGTGTGCCAGCACGCCCTGCCTCAACGGGGCAAAGTGCATCGACCTGCCCAACATGTTCGACTGCGACTGCCCCGAAGGTTCGGACTCCTTAGAAACCATTTGGATAAAAAAAAAAAATTATTTATTATAATAATTTCGATGAGAAAAAAAATAACAACGATAATTTCGATCGAATTTCTGAACCCGGGGTCCCCCTTGTGGGCCCCTTATCATCCCCCGCCCCCCCCCCGTAAGTTGACTCGGCCTTAAACGTGCAACTGGCGCGGTGCGGAGTAAACATCAGCACTGGGGGGAGGGAAGGGGGGCGGTGGAGACAAAGACGGCCGGGCAGTGCGCGGCTCTCCGGCCATAGCAATTCCTCCCCCCCCCCCCTACATAGGCACGCGCCACTTGCCCCGACATCCCGTGAAGGCTACGCCGCTGCGGTGGTAACTTTGCCCGCGTGTCCCGCGCAGGCTTCGAGGGCGAGCTGTGCGAAGTGAACGTCAACGACTGCGACCCGGACCCGTGCCACCACGGGCGCTGCCAGGACGCCGTCGCCGGCTTCACGTGCGCCTGCCTGCCGGGCTACATGGGGCCCCGGTGCGAGAAGCAGGTCAACGAGTGCCTGAGCAACCCCTGCCAGCACGAGGGCAAGTGCGTGGACCTTGTCAACGGCTATCAGTGCACGTGCCAGCCCGGCACGGGAGGTGGGTTTCGCTCGCACAGCCCGGCACCGCTCACCACTCCCAGCCCCCACACCGCTCACCACCCACCGCCCACACACCGCTCACCACTCACAGCCCCCACACCGCTCACCACCCACAGCCCACACTACCCACACCATTCACAGCCCACACCGCTCACCACTCCTAGCCCACACTGCTCACCACTCCCAGCCCCCACACCGCTCACTACCCACAACCCCCACCGCTCACCACTCCTAGCCCCCACACCGCTCACCACTCTCAGCCCACACACCGCTCACCACTCACAGCCCCCACACCGCTCACCACCCATAACCCACACCGCTCACCACTCACAAACCCCACACCGCTCCCCACTCACAAACCCCACACCGCTCACCACTCCCAGCCCCCACACCGCTCACCACCCACAGCCCACACACCGCTCACCACTCACAGCTCACACACCGCTAACCACTCCCAGCCCACACCGCTCACCACTCCCAGCCCCCACACCGCTCACCACCCACAACCCACACCGCTCACCACTCCTAGCCCACACCGCTCACCACTCCCAGCCCCCACACCGTTCACCACACACAGCCCCCACACCGCTCACCACCCATAACCCCCACCGCTCACCACTCACAGCCCACACCGCTCACCACCCACAACCCCCACCGCTCACCACCCACAACCCACACCGCTCACCACTCCCAGCCCACACACTGCTCACCACTCACACCGCTCACCACTCACAAACCCCACACCGCTCACCACTCCCAGCCCACACCGCTCACCACCCACAACACACACCGCTCACCACCCACACCGCTCACCACCCACCGCCCACACTGCCCACACCACTCACCGCCCACGCAATCCAATGAGCTACGAAGCTCTTTTTTCTCAGACGCCCAGTGAATGATGACGCCGGCTTGACCCCGTGCCCGCCCGCCCCCCTTCCCCCCCCCGTCGCTCAGGGACCAACTGCGAGACGAACTATGACGACTGTGCGAGCAGCTCGTGCGATTACGGCGTGTGCAAGGATGGCATCAACAGCTACGAGTGCGTGTGCCAGCCCGGGTACACAGGTAACGCGCACGGGCAGACGCATGCCGTACACGCGTGCCGGCACTCGCATACCCACCTTCGACGTGGACGAGTGCGTGTCGTCTCACGTGTCTCCCCGTGTCTCCTCGTCTCCCCATGTCTCACCGCTCCCGTCTCCCCGTGTCTCGTGTCCCCGTGTCTCACCGCTCCCGTATCCCTGTGTCTCGTGTGTCCATGTCTCACCGCTCCCGTGTCCCCGTGTGTCCCCGTGTCTCCTCGTCTCCCCGTGTCTCACTGCTCCCGTCTCCTCGTGTCTCCCCATGTCTCGTGTCCCGTGTCTCGTGTCCCCGTGTCTCACCGCTCCCGTATGCCTGTGTCTCGTGTCCCCGTGTCCCACCGCTCTCGTCTCCCCGTGTCTCGTGTCCCCGTGTCTCACCGGTCCCCTCTCCCCGCGTCTTCCCGTGTCTCCCCATGTCTCTCATCTTCGTGTATCCCCGTGTCTCTCGTGTCTCCTCGTGTCCCCGTGTCTCACCGCTCCCGTCTCCCCGTGTCTCTCATCTTCGTGTCTCCCCGTGTCTCTCGTCTTCGTGTATCCCCGTGTCTCTCGTGTCTCACGTGTCCCCGTGTCTCACCGCTCCCGTCTCCCCGCGTCTTCCCGTGTCTCCCCGTGTCTCTCGTCTTCGTGTATCCCTGTGTCTCTCGTGTCTCCTCGTGTCCCCGTGTCTCACCGCTCCCGTCTCCCCGTGTCTCTCATCTTCGTGTATCCCCGTGTCTCTCGTGTCCCCGTGTCTCACCGCTCCCGTCTCCCCGTGTCTCTCATCTTCGTGTATCCCCGTGTCTCTCGTGTCTCTCGTGTCTCTCGTGTCCCCGTGTCTCGTGTCCCTGTGTCTCACCGCTCCCCTCTCCCCGCGTCTTCCCGTGTCTCTCATCTTCGTGTCTCCCCGTGTCTCTCGTGTCTCTCGTGTATCCCCGTGTCTCTCGTGTCTCCTCGTGTCCCCGTGTCTCACCGCTCCCGTCTCCCCGTGTCTCTCATCTTCGTGTCTCCCCGTGTCTCTCGTCTTCGTGTCTCCCCGTGTCTCTCGTGCCTCTCGTGTCCCCGTGTCTCACCGTTCCCGTCTCCCCGTGTCTCTCGTCTTCGTGTATCCCCGTGTCTCTCGTGTCTCTCGTGTATCCCCGTGTCTCGTGTCCCCGTGTCTCACCGCCTCTGTCGCCTCATGTCCCCCCCCTCCCCCCACCGCGTGGTGACCGCCCGCAGGCCCGGCGTGCACCATCGACGTGGACGAGTGTGCGTCCTCGCCGTGCCACAACGGGGGCACGTGCCGCGACGGCGTCGACGGCTTCACCTGCGCCTGCCCCGACGGCTTCCAGGAGCCGGCGTGCATCGAGGAGCTGGACGAGTGCGCCAGCAGCCCCTGCACGCACGGCGGCTGCCTCGACGATCGCAACGGGTGAGGGGCGCCAGCGAGCCGGGGCAGTCTGTGTGTGTGTGTTAGGTGTGTGTTAGTAGTGTGTTAGTAGTGTGTTAGTAGTGTGTTATTAGTGTGTTAGTAGTGTGTTAGTAGTGTGTGTGTGTGTTAGTAGTGTGTGTGTTAGTAGTGTGTTAGTAGTGTGTTAGTAGTGTGTTAGTGTTAGTAGTGTGTTAGTGTGTGTTAGTAGTGTGTGTGTGTGTGTTAGTAGTGTGTTAGTAGTGTGTTAGTAGTGTGTTAGTAGTGTGTGTGTTAGTAGTGTGTTAGTAGTGTGTTAGTAGTGTGTTAGTAGTGTGTTAGTGTTAGTAGTGTGTTAGTAGTGTGTTAGTGTTAGTAGTGTGTGTGTGTGTGTTAGTAGTGTGTTAGTAGTGTGTTAGTGTTAGTAGTGTGTTAGTAGTGTGTGTGTTAGTAGTGTGTTAGTAGTGTGTTAGTAGTGTGTTAATAGTGTGTTAGTAGTGTGTTAGTAGTGTGTGTGTTAGTAGTGTGTGTGTTAGTAGTGTGTTAGTAGTGTGTTAGTAGTGTGTTAGTAGTGTGTTAGTAGTGTGTTAGTGTTAGTAGTGTGTTAGTAGTGTGTTAGTGTTAGTAGTGTGTGTGTGTGTGTTAGTAGTGTGTTAGTAGTGTGTTAGTGTTAGTAGTGTGTTAGTAGTGTGTGTGTGTGTTAGTAGTGTGTGTGTTAGTAGTGTGTGTGTTAGTAGTGTGTGTGTGTGTGTGTTAGTAGTGTGTTAGTAGTGTGTGTGTGTTAGTAGTGTGTGTGTGTTAGTAGTGTGTGTGTGTGTGTTAGTAGTGTGTGTTAGTAGTGTGTGAGTGTGTGTGTTGTGTGTGAGTGTGTGTGTTAGTAGTGTGTGAGTGTGTGTGTTAGTAGTGTGTTAGTAGTGTGTTAGTAGTGTGTGTGTTAGTAGTGTGTTAGTAGTGTGTGTGTGTGTTAGTAGTGTGTTAGTAGTGTGTTAGTGTGTGTTAGTGTTAGTAGTGTGTGTGTGTTGATACTGATACTGGGGGTTGTCTTCCTGCTGCTGCTGTTATCCTACTGCTGCTGCTGCTCCTACTGCTGCTGCAACAACTGTTACTACTGCTGCTACTGCTGCTGTTTCTGCTGCTGCTACTACTACTGCTATTGCTTCTCGTGCTGCTGCTGGTGCTGTAGGTATCGGTGCGTGTGCGACCCGGGCTGGATCGGGAGGAACTGTGACGTGGAGAGGGATGAGTGTGCGTCCGGGCCGTGTCTCAACGGGGCCACGTGCTACGACCAGCTCAACGCCTACACCTGCATCTGTCGCGCGGGTTTCCGCGGTAACGCTGACGCACGCACGCACGCGCTACGCTATGCACACGCGTGATCTAGCGGTACAGTGCAATAACAACAGCAGCCACGCTCGCCAGTAGGCGGCGGTGACGTCACCGTGGCGCTCGTGCCAGGCTCGGTGAACCGCTGAGGCCTCCGTGCTAAGCGTGAAAGGCTTGGCCATCGCGGGACAGACGCTACACTGCTGCCCGTATATACTGACGGTGATCCCCCGTATAGCCTTGGGGGCAAGCGCTGTTGGCGAGTAGCGCCTATGAAGGCCGGCACGGCACACGACGGGGTGGGTGGCCAGCACCACGCCCGGCCGCCTTTGTCTCCCCAGCGGCGATGTTTGCAGACCGCACCAGGTACTCATTTGAGGCTGAGTCGACCTAGGGGAGGCCCAGGAGCGGTTCAGACAATCTGGTCGCCGGGTTTGTAGCGCTAACCGCTACGCTGCCGCTCCGCGCACATGCATTTACGCACTTGTAAGTACACACGTGCACGCGCACACACACACACATATATATATAAAAGCATCTGTGTGTGTTTTTAAACTGTGAAATTAGGCTCGCGTGCATCCCTACATGCGCATGCGCTTGCGCATATTTCTAAGTTGCGTTGTACTTGCGTCAGTTGGCCGGATGGCGGTGTCGTGTTTGCGTTGATTGGCCGGATGGCGGTGTTGTCGATTGGCCGATTTGCCAGCGTTGTCGCCGTCCTCGTAGTCGACGCGAACTCTAACCCCGCTCTCTCTCCCTCGGCAGGCAACAACTGCCAGATCAACGTCAACGAGTGCCAGTCCAACCCCTGCCTCAACCGCGGGATCTGCCACGACGGCATCTCGAGCTACACGTGCCAGTGCAACTTGCCCTACACCGGTACGCGGGGAAGGAATGATACAAAAAATGTCATTGAAATCCTGCTTCATCGTCATCATCTTTGCCTTCCTACGTCGTATTCATTGTCATCGTGGAGGAATCCGATGGGCTATGAAGCTCTTTTTTCGCAGATGTTCAGTAGGTGCACGGGGTCAGAACGTTACGACGACAAACACAGTACAGCACACACGGTGCGCAGTGCAAAATATTGGAACGGTAAACAAATCGTCGTCATCGTCATCATCATCCGCATCGTCGTCTTCATCGTCGTCGCCGTAACCCTAATCGTCTTCATCGCCTCTGTCGCCGTCGTTAGCGCCTTCGCTGTTACAGTCTAAATCCCTGCGATTGCCATTGTCATGTCTTGGACTACACAGAGGTCCATCTGTTCTCCGTGCATGTGTTTGCTTCTCAGTACGGGTGCGTGTATGCGTACATATACGCGCGTGCGTGTAATACACATAGGTCTACGTCTGTGTGTCTGTGTGTAGTTGGCACAGTAGTAGGGGGGTACAGGTTGTGCATCGGCCAGTCATCTCAGTCAGTCGACCCGTGGCACCTGGGCCTGCCCCGTGACCTCCTGTTAGCGGGCGTTCGACACTTCACGTGGCCTCAACGTGCACATAGCTTGGCACAAGGACCGTGGTGATGTCATCGCCACTTAGTGGCGAATGGCGGTTGTTGTTGATATATCGTGGGGAGCGGTGGTGTAGCGGTTAGCGCTACGCCGCGCTACGAACCTGGCGACCCGAGTTTGATTCCCGCTCACGGCCAACACCGGTGGCGATTATCTGAACCGGTCATGGGCCTCCCCTAGGTCGACTCGGCCTCAAATGCGTAACCTGGTGCTGTGTGTAAAAACATTACCACTGGGAAGACAAAGGCGGTCGGGCGTGGTGCTGGCCACCCACCTCCTTGTGTACCGTGCCGGCCTTCAAAAGTACTCACTTAACAGCACTTGCTTCCACAGTTTGTTAAGGCTGTACGGGTAATCTTTGTCTTACCTTGTATAAGTATACACGTGCGCGCGTCTCTCTGCGCAGGGCGGAACTGCGAGACGGTGCTGGCCCCTTGCTCCGGGACTCCGTGCCGGAATGGTGGCAGCTGCCGGGAATTGCCAGATTTCTCCGATTTCGCCTGCTCTTGCCCCAGCGGGTGGCAGGGTACGGCTCAACCGGAACTTACCAACCACCCACCACCACCCACCCACCCACCCACACCCCACTCACCACACCCACAACACCCGCCCACCCGGGCCAGAGTGCGTGCGTCGCACCAAAATAATCCCTTCCTGTTGTGTCCGTGCTAAACGCAACTAAACTACTTTTTTATAATATGATACTGGATGTAAATTGCCAGCGAAACATCGTGCTGCTCAAAATTGTTAATGTTGTGGATTTACTCTCCAACACACCGGTAGGCTGAAGTAGTAACTACACTATACACTACACTACAGTACACTATACAGTACATTATACAGTACACTATACAGTACACTACGCCATGCACTACACTTTACTAGTAACTAATTGGCCTTTTGTTTACGTAACAAATCCCTTACTAATTGGCTGTGTCGGGTGGTGGAGGGTTACGACACATATTTTAAGCGATCTAACCCGCGAAAGCCCACCCCCTCCTGCGTACCAGGCGAGGCGGTTAACGTCTCTCCCCCCATCCCCTCGCCGTCGCAGGCCGGTCGTGCGACGTGGACGTGGACGAGTGCGTGTCCGACCGCTGTCGCAACGGCGGAGTTTGCCGCAACACGCTGGGCGGCTTCTCGTGCGAGTGCCAGCCCGGCTACACCGGCCACAGTTGTCAGGTGGATGTGGACGACTGCTTGCCCGGTGAGTGGTTCGTCATTTGGTGCGAGTGGCCGGTGTTGGTTGGTTGGTTGTTGTTGTTGTTGTTTATTGTTGTTGTTATAAGAATTGTAATTTATTATGCTTCGTAATTGGATTTTTGTTTTGGGTCGGGTCAGTCCCCCGTGTCAGAACGGTGGTGCGTGTTATGACGGGGGCTAATCGTGGTTTTCGCGTGCGTCTCCGCGTGTTCTGGTCCTCTCCGTCCCCCAATATCCGCGTCTCTAACCTCCCCCAATATCCGTGTCTCCCCGTGCCTCTCCGCGTGTTCTGGTCCTCCCCGTCCCCCAATATCCGTGTCTCTAACCTCCCCGTCCCCCGATATCCGCGTCTCCCCGTTTGCTCCCAAGTGTGCCGTGACGGGAGTAATTCGTGTGTCCTGTATTCGGCAAAAACGTCTTCTGGCTTGCTGCCTGCCTGGATTCCTATCTGCCTGACCTGCGTGCAGGTGGTGCGAGATGTTATCTCCCTCGCCTGGTATACAGGAGGCCGTGGGATTGATCCCGACCCTGACGCCTCTCTAACCTCCGCGTCTCCTTGCGTCTCCCCGTGTCCCCCTGTGTCTCCCTGCGTCTCCCCGTGTCTCCCTTTGTCTCCCCGCGTCTCCCCGCGTCTCCCCGTGTCGTCCCACCCCCCCCTCCTCCTCCCCCCCCCCCCCCCCCCACCGCGTCTCCACCGCAGCCCCGTGTCAGAACGGCGGCACGTGCTGGGACGGCGTCAACGCGTTCTCGTGCGTGTGCCGCGCGGGATTCGCGGGGCGCCAGTGCCAGCACGAGGTGGACGAGTGCGCCAGCGCGCCCTGCCTCAACGGGGGCAACTGCACCGACTACGTCAACAGCTACACCTGCAAGTGCCGGCCCGGCTTCAACGGCATTCACTGCGAGAACGACGTGCCCGACTGCACCGAGAGGTGGGTGCACGCGCCGTGTGTGTGTGTGTGTGTTGGTGAACGTGCGTGTGTGTGTGTGTTGGTGAACGTCTCTCCATCTCTCCCTCTCTTTTTTTGTTACGATCAGAGGAAACAAGAAGATGCTCGGTGTAGTCGGCACTTTGCTTCGTTCATTGTTTCGATTTTTTTTTCAATGCTTTGCTTTATGTGCCCCTCCCCCCCTGTTTAAATGAAAGATTTCACGAAAGATTTCAAGCTCTGCTCCTTCTTCTTACCCCTTCCCTCTCTCTCTACCCCCTCTCTCCCTCCTCTATGTCTATGTTCCCCCTGTTTTCTACGTAATATTTTTCTCCGTCTCTCCCTCTCTCCCGCACAGCTCCTGTTTCAATGGCGGCTCGTGCGTGGACGGCATCAGCAGCTACAGCTGCACGTGCCGCGTCGGCTACAGTGGCGCCAACTGCCAGTACGACATCAACGAGTGCGACTCGCAGCCATGCATCAACGGTGCCACGTGCCTCGACGGGCTGGGCTCGTACAAGTGCACGTGCCCGCACGGATACACGGGCAACAACTGCCAGGTCGGGCGCGCGTGTGTGTGTGTGCGTGCGTGCGCCTGTGTGTGTGTGTGTGTTGTGGGGAGCGATAGTGTAGCGGTTAGCGTGCTGCGCTATGAACCTGGCGACCCGGGTTCGATTCCCGCTCACGGCCAACACCAGTGACGATTATCTGAACCGGTCCCGGGCCTCCCCTAGGTCGACTCAGCCTCAAATGAGTCCCTGGTGCGGTGTGTAAACATTGCCACTAGGGAGACAAAGGCGGTCGGGCGTGGTGCTGGCCACCCACCCCCTCGTGTACCGTTCCGGCCTTCATAGGTGCTCGCTAACAGCACTTGCCCCTACAGTCTCTTAAGGCTATATGGGGGATCTTTGTTGCGGGGAGCGGAGGTGTTAGCGGTTAGCGCTACGCTTCACTGAACCCGCCGACCCGAGTTCGATTCCCGCTCACGGCCACCACCATTGGCCGGTGACGATTATCTGAACCGGTCCTGGGCCTCCCCTAGGTCGACTCGGCCTCAAATAACTACCTGGTGCGGTGTATAAACACCGCCACTAGGGAGACAAAGGCGGCCAGCTTGGTTGCTGTCAAACCCACCTCCTCGTGTGCCGTGCCAGCCTTCATAGGTGCTGGCTTGACAGCACTTGCCATAACAGAGTCTGTTAACTATACGGGGGATCTTTGTTGTTTTTGTGTGACAAAGGTGTTCAGGCGTGGTGCTTGGCCACCCACCCCGCTTGTGTGCCATGCCGGCCTTCAGAAGTGCTCGCCTCAACGGTCTGTGCAGGCTATATATGCACTTTTGCCGAGTTCGATTGCCGCTCGCGGCCGCCACCACCACCACCAGTGACGATTATCTGAACCGGTCGTGGGCCTCCCCTAGGCCTCGAATGCTTAGTTTGTTGTCCTTCCCCCACACCTCAGATTAGCACGGTTGGCTACGTACGGTGCGAAAGAAGTTCAACGTACAGACATACGAAGGAGTAGCTGGTGTGGTGTGTAAACACCACCACTTGGGAGACAAAGGCACCCGGGTGTGGTGTTGGCCACCCACCCCCTCGTACGCCATGTCAGCCTTCATAAGTGCTCGCTAACAGCACTTGCCCCAACTGTGTTAAGGCTACACTGGGGGAGGACGGGGATCTTTGTCTTTGTGTGGCCTTCCTGTTTCCTGTTATTGTAGGAACCCCTAGGGGTAGTCCAGGGGTACCGTCTCCCCTCCCCGCCAAGTGGGGTTTGGCCAGAAGATGACTGTACCCCGCCCTCCCCTGGGGTCTCCGTTGCTTACGCTCATCATGACGTTGGCGGCGATGATGATGACGCCGGCGATGATGATTGACGATACTGATGGCGGTGCTGGTGACGCTGATGATGGCGATGCTTACACCGATGACGACGACGCAGACAATGACCGTGACGATCTTACATAGATTTATATAGCAGCGCCTTGGTCTCCAAGTCGCTTTACAATAATTATATAATTGTACATCAGATGATAGTGCTTAAAATAAAGAGCGCTGTCTTCTGGACAGACCTGTTTCTTCACCTGAAGAAGGCTACTTGTGTTGTGCCCGAAACGTCGTGAGAATTTTATTTTATGTTTTATTTTTATTATTTTATTTCCATTCTACGTGACTTTACCGAAAGAACCAAGAAGATGAATCCCTGCAGTCACGAAAGTTTTAAATCGAAAAATAAAGAGCGGGCTTATTAAAAGTGGTCGTGTAGCGATAGTGACACTAACGACAATGACAGCGATGATGACGACGCTGATGATGACAACGCTGACGACAATGACGACGCTGATGATGACGCTGACGACAATGACAACGTTGATGATGATGATTACGCTGGTGATGATGATGCTGACGACAACGACCACGCTAATGACGATGACGACGATGACGCTGGTGATGATGACGACGATGATGACAGTGACGATGACGCCAATGCAAACGATGACAACGATGCTTCCGATGCCGGATGACGCTGATGATGACGATGAAACTGACGATGCTTACGACTCTGCGCGCCGTCTCTCTGTCTCTCGCTCGCGTGCGTGCGTGCAGAGCCTGGTGGACTGGTGCGTGGCAGCGCCGTGCAAGAACGGCGGCACGTGCTCGCAGTCGGCCACCGCCTTCCGCTGCGAGTGCCCCAGCGGCTGGACGGGCCTCTACTGCGACGTGCCCAACGTCTCCTGCGAAGTGGCCGCCCTCCGATTCGGTCAGCGTCGTCGTCGCTATCATCGCCGTCGTCGTCATTTGTCGTCATTTGTCGTCGGCACCAGCGTCATCGTCGTCGTCGTTATCGTCATCGGCGACGTCATCGCCATAGTCGTTGTCGTTGTCGTTATCGCCAGTCATCCACCCCCTCGTGTGCCGTCGTGGCCTTCATAGGTGCCACTCGCTAACGGCACTTGCCCCAAACAGTGTGTTAAGGTTATAACGGGGGTGGGGGTGAACCTTTGTCTTTTGTGTGCGTGCGGGCACGCGTGTCACAGGCGTGTCGGTGGCGCGGCTCTGCCAGCACAGCGGCAGCTGCATGAACGTGGGCAACAGCCACACGTGCCACTGCCAGGCCGGCTTCACGGGCAGCTACTGCGAGGAGGAGGTGGACGAGTGCGAGTCCAACCCCTGCCAGAATGGGGCGACCTGCAACGACTACCTGGGCGGCTTCTCGTGCGAGGTGCCGATCGTCGTGCGCCCGCTCGTTCGCCCGCCCGCTCGTTCGCTCGCTCGTTCGCCCCCGTTGTGCCCCCTCCCCCCCGCCAACCTGGACTCGAACCCAGGAGTAGTTCGGCGGTGCTGGTGGCACGGCGGTCCGCACGCCACCGCCGTTCTTGCGGTCTCCGGAACATTGATAGGGGCGCTCGCTAACGCCACCACTCGACCCCTTTCGAGTATACAAATCGAACCGGGGGCGGGCGGGGGGGGGGATGTTTGTCCTCTGCCTGTGGGTGACGGTTACGTGAACCCGGCCCTGGACCTCCGCTCGGTCAACTCGCACGAGCGCCCGGTGGGTGCCGTGGGCAAACGTCGCCACTCGGGAGACAAAGGCGGCCGGGCGTGGTGCCGGCCTTTCGTAGGCGCGCCGCTACTCGCCGACGGCGCTTGCCCCGACGGGCTGTTAATTCTGTACGCTGCGCGTGGGGTCTTTGTCTTTGTGCAGTGCGTGCCAGGGTATCACGGCGTGAACTGCGAAAAGGAGATTAACGAGTGCCAGTCGCAGCCCTGCGAGAATGGAGGAACGTGCATCGACCTGGTCAACAGATACATCTGCTCGTGCCCCCCTGGCACAGAGGGTAAGGACGAGCGCGACCACAACAACAACAACCACCACCACAGCCGCCGTTCACCGGCAAGCGTCGGTGACATTCCCCGCGTGCCTTGTGCCTGGCCCAGGTGAACTTTGAGGCCGCGTGAAGTGTCGAAGGTTAGCTGGCAGGAGGTCACGGGACAGACGCAGGTGCAGTGGTGGCTAGGAGATGTTAACTCCCTCGCCTGGTATGCAGGAGGTTGTGGGTTCGATCCCGACCCTGACGCCTGCTGTATTTGGAGTTTACGTGTCTCTCTCTCTCTCCCCGTGGTCGTGTGGATTTTCTCGGGGTCCTCCGGTTTTTCCCTCCACATTTATCAACGTGCGTTCAAAGTATTTGGCCGCTATCAATTTCCACATGAAGATAATCCACTTGGTTTAGCTATCGTTTGTGATAGCCAGGAGTTTAGTAACTTGATGCATTTTATCTGCCCGGCGCTCCTCTCGTTGTTGCGAGCGTCGCCGACACTCCGCCTTTCGTTGTTGCTGGAGCGGCGACTGCCTCCAACTGCCCCCGGGTAGCAGCGTCCCTCGCGAGCCCCCTCCGCAGAGGCCGATCCGGACGCCGCGGCCGGCACCGGTCACCGCACGCGGCCGCCCGTAACGGCCCGTCCCCTCTCCCTCCCCCCCCCACCGTCGCCAACCTCCCCCAAGGCGTGCGTTGCGAGATTAACCGCAACGACTGCCTGCCGAGCGTGGACCCGGTGACGCTGGAGCCGCGCTGCTTCAACGGCGGCTCGTGCGAGGACCGCGTCGGGGGCTACGCGTGCTCGTGCGCGCCGGGCTTCGTGGGCGAGCGCTGCGAGGGGGACGTCAACGAGTGCCTCTCCAACCCGTGCCAGCCGCCAGGCACTCTCGACTGCGTGCAGCTCGTCAACGACTACAAGTGCCGCTGCCGGCCCGGGTATTCCGGTGAGTCGCGTGCGAGCGGATGCGACAACCGGAATAATATATAACGATAAATTATTTAAATTTGCGGCTCGAAAATTATTTTGCTCGTGCCACTGCCGGGCCCCCGGGTATTTTCAGGTAGGTTACGCGCGTGGATGCGTGCCAGCGAAATTGTAATGTTTTTTTTTGGTGCAGGTAAGTCGAAATATATTTTTGTTATCTTCTTTGGTTCTTCCGGTAAAGTCACGTAGAATGAGAATAAAATACTAAATTGATAAAATAAAATAACACAATAAAATAACACAATAAAATTCTCACGACGTTTCGGCCACAACACAAGCGGCCTTCATCAGGTGAAGGGACGAGACTGTCTGGAGGACAGCGCTGGAGCGAACAAAGCCACGCTTTGTGGCTTTGTTCCTCCAGACAGTCTCGTCCCTTCACCTGATGAAGGCCGCTTGTGTTGTGGCCGAAACGTCGTGAGAATTTATTGTGTTATTTTATTTTATCAATTTATTATTTTATTCTCATTCTACGTGGTGACTTTACCGAAAGAAGATGAATCCTTGCAGTCACGAAAGCTTTCAATCGAAATACTTTAGTTAAATTCATTTTCCAATGGGAATGCGCCTTTGAAATTGCGTCGCTTCACCAATTGCGCGCGGTGGGAGGAGAGCGTGGGTGAGATGGGGGGGGGGTCTTTGTTGATCTCCGCTCCGCTGGGGGGCATCGCTTGAATCCATCTCTCACGCGCACGCGTGTGCCGCGTGTGTGCAGGGCGGCACTGCGAGAACATCGTGGACACGTGCCAGTCCCAGCCGTGCAAGAACGGCGGCGCGTGCATGGTCACCATCAACACGCCGCACGGCTTCATCTGCAAGTGTCCGCAGGTGAGAGACGCCCCTACAAATATTTACATGCGCAGAGGGGGAAAATAACAAAAACCCCCCACGTAGATAGTCGCGTATAGGATCACGTACAGGCTACACAGACTTGCGCGGGGACCCATGGACTCGCTCGCGTAGAGATCCATTGGCAAACGGAGAACCCAGTGGCCCCCGCATGGAGACCCGTAGACTCGTACCGAGACGTATAGACTCGCACGGAGACCAGTAATCTCACACGGAGACCAATGGTTTCAGGCATAGACTTGCCCAGAGACCCGTAGACTTGCACAGAGACCCGTGGACTTGCACAGAGACCCGTGGACTTGCACAGAGACCGGTAGACTTGCACAGAGACCCGTGGACTTGCACAGAGACCCGTGGACTTGCACAGAGACCCGTAGACTTGCACAGAGACCCGTAGACTTGCACAGAGACCCGTAGACTTGCACAGAGACCCGTGGACTTGCACAGAGACCCGTGGACTTGCACAGAGACCCGTGGACTTGCACAGAGACCCGTGGACTTGCACAGAGACCCGTGGACTCGCACGGACTCACGCGCGCACCTCTGCCGCAGGGTTACCATGGCTACACGTGCGAGAACAGCTCCTACACCTGCGGGAACCTCACCTGCCTCAATGGGGGGTTCTGCGTCCAGGGCCCCGTCCTGGGGGCCCACTGCTTCTGCCCAGCCAAGCACACGGGGCCCGAGTGCCAGTTTCCCGCCGACTCGCCCTGCCTCAACAAGTGAGCCCCCCTCCCCCCACCCCCCACGGTCTTTCCCCCCTCCGGCGTTTCGAGACGACGTCGCGCGTTTTTTTTTTTTTTAGGGTTCATTGGTGACTGCATTAAAAAAAAAGTGCCCGCTCAGACGACGGTAAGCCCACTCCGTCGAGCTGTCGTTGGCGATATAGCCAGGGGGGGGGGCGCTTCTGGATAAAGAGCGACGTAGCTCGGGGGCCTTGCACCCGGTAAAGGTAAGAAAAATTATAATAATAAAAAATAATAAACGCTTACGAATAAATGATTGTAACCGTTGCGCCACCCTGCGCGCCCCCCTTCCCGCAGGCCGTGCTACAACGGCGGGGCGTGCGAGCCGCACGACGCCAAGCCCTTCTTCCGCTGCCGGTGCCCGCAGCGCTTCAATGGCCTGCGCTGCCACTTCCTGGACCCGGGCTTCTCCGGGGGCGTCGGGCAGGACGTGACGCCGCCGCCCACCTCCGTGCTGGAAGAGAGCTGCACCCAGGTGACAGCCCTCGCCTCCCCTCCTCCGCCAATTACACAATTACACAATCACCCGTCCCACCCCCACCCCCCCACTCCTTCAAGCCCTAGGGCGAGCGGCCGGCTCTGGAGGTGCTCAGCCCGGGACACGTTGCTGGTCGGCTGGCAGCCGGGCAACCCTCCACAACTCCCTCCCTCCCTCCCCTCTGCCCCTCTGCCCTGTTCACTTCGAGTGGGCAACCTCTTTTTGACAAAGGTCCCTCCCACTGCTTGTAGGCCCCTCCCACCGCCTGTAGGCTCCTCCCGCTACTCGTAAGCCACTCCCACTGCTCTTAAGCCCTCACACTGATGACAGGCCCCTCCCGCTGCTCGTAGGCCCCACCCACTTCTGCCACTGACCCCCTGCGTGTGTGTGTACACGTGTGTGTGCATGTGCATATGTATGTGCGTGTGTGTGTGCGTATGTACGCGTGTGTGTGCGTGTGTGTATGTACGTGTGTGTGTGTACGCGTGTGTGTGCGTGTGTGTGTGCGTGTGTGTATGTACGTGTGTGTGTGTATGTGTGTGTATGTACGCGTGTGTGTGTGTATGTGTGCGTGTGTGTATGTACGCGTGTGTGTGCGTGTGTGTATGTACACGTGTGTGTGCGTGTGTGTATGTATGCGTGTGTGTGCGTGTGTATGTACGCGTGTGTGTGCGTGTGTGTATGTACGCGTGTGTGTGCGTGTGTGTATGTACGCGTGTGTGTATGTATGCGTGTGTGTATGTACGCGTGTGTGTGCGTGTGTGTATGTACGCGTGTGTGTGCGTGTGTGTATGTACGCGTGTGTGTGCGTGTGTGTATGTACGCGTGTGTGTATGTGCGCGTGTGTGTATGTACGCGTGTGTGTGCGTGTGTGTATGTACGCGTGTGTGTGTGTGTGCGCGCGCGTCACTTTATCCCCTTTCCCAGGCCGAGTGTCGCAGCAAGGCGGGCGACCGCTACTGCGACCTCGAGTGCAACGTCCACGCGTGCGGCTGGGACGGCGGCGACTGCTCGCTCAACTTCGACGACCCGTGGCGCAACTGCACGAGCTCGCTGCAGTGCTGGCGCTACTTCGGCGACGGGAAGTGCGACGAGCAGTGCGCGGGCGCCGAGTGCCTCTACGACGACTTCGACTGCAAGGAGAAGAAGACCGCCAAGCAGTGCAAGTGAGTGCGGGGCGGGCGGGCGGGCGGGCGGGAGGGCGACCACTGCAGGCGGGCCGGTGGGCGGGCGACACTGCGGGTGGGCAAGCGACACTGCGGGCGGGCGACATTGCAGGCGACATTGTGGGCGCGCGGGCGAGTGGCACGGCAGAGTTTCGGGGTTCGGGGGCGGCTTGAGAAAAATCGGTTCCCTGTTATTGGTGAAGCAGCCTTGGATAGGTTTTACCGATTCCAGATTACCCACGCGTCCCACCTGTCTCACCGTGTGCCCCCCCCCCACCCCGCAACCTCTCCGCAGCCCGCTGTACGACCAGTACTGCCGCGACCACTTCTCCGACAAGCACTGCGACCAGGGCTGCAACACGGAGGAGTGTGGCTGGGACGGCGGGGACTGCGTGACCACCACTCCGCCGCGCCTGGCGCGCGACTCCCTCGTCCTCGTCGTGCTGCTGCCGCCCGAGCACATCCTCAACGACTCGGTCAACTTCCTGCGCCGCCTCGGCTCCATCCTCCACACCGGCGTGCGCTTCAAGCGCGATGCCACCGGCGCCGAGATGATCTTCCCCTACTACGACGAGTACGACGGCGCCGGCGGCGGCGCCGGCGGCGCCGGCGGAGGAGGAGGAGGAGCGGCGGCGGCGCTGAGGAGGGCGGTGAGGTCGCTCGTGGTGCTGCCGAGGTCTGTCCGGGAGATCGACCGTGAAGTGTTGGGGTACGTACCCGCACGCGCGCGCGATTGTACGTGCGTGCGTGCGTGTGTGGGGAGCGGTGGTGTAACGGTTAGCACGCAGCGCTACGAACTCGGCGACTCGACTTCGATCCGCGCTCAGCACCAACACCAAAGTGACCATGATTTGAACCGGTCCTGGGCCTCTCCTAGGTCGACTCGGCATTAAATGAGTACCTGGTACAGTGTGTGAACATCGCCACTGGGGAGACAAAGGCGGTCGGGCGTGGTTCTGGCCACCCACCCCCTTGTGCGCCGTGCCGGCCTTCATAGGTGCTAGCTTAACAGCACTTGCCCCTACTGTCTAAAAATGCTATATGGGGAATCTTTATCGAAGTGAGATCTCGCGCGCACGCCACCACTGTCGCCATCACGTAGGGATTCCACCTCTGACCGCACTAACCCAGCAAACTCAACCCTACATCTATCGGCACGTTGAACTTCTTTCGCCACCGTACGTAGCCAACCGTGCTAATCGTAGGTGCAGTGTTGTAGTGTTGAGTCTACGGGCGGTGTTGAGTCTATAGGTAGTGGTGAGTCTACGGGCAGTGTTGAGTCTATGGGTAGTGTTAGTCTAGAGCAGTATATATGTTAAATTATTTCGCACCGTACTTCGCTAATCGAAGGTGCGGGAAATCCTTCCGCCCCCCCCCCCCCCCCCCGTGTCGCCCTCCGACCTCCCTCCCTCCCTGCCGCAGGTCCATCGTGCACCTGGAGATTGACAACCGCTTCTGCATGAAGCCCAACGAGGAGTGCTTCTCAAGCTCGGCGGACGCGGCGGCGTACCTGGCGGCGCAGGCCGTGCACCACTCGCTCGACTTCCCCTACCCCCTGCAGACAGTCGAAAGTACGGAGAGGCGGGGGTTCTCGGGGTGGAGGGGGGGGTCCTTGTCGGCCGGACACACGCAATAAGCGAAAACTAGTTTTGATTTTACTATTTTTGCCAGGCAATGGTCCCGCTGAGCTCGCGTAGCTCTTTCTCAGAAGCGACCTGGCTATCGCAAATCGTAGTGAGGGACACGCCAACTCCAAATATACAACAGCGGGCGTCAGGGTTGGGATCGAACCCACGACCCCTTGCATGCCAGGCGAAGGAGTTAACATCTCTTCCATCGCAGCGTCCCAATGGTTTATTGCCACCGCGCTGACCTCTTCCACCAGCATTACCGCATTCTCAGGATTAGAAGGAGCACTTTTTTTTTTCCCAGCATCTGTTATTTCGTAAACTTCACATTTTACACCCCGCTTTTTCGGGACGCGGAACGCTCTACAATTTTTTTTTATTAAAAACGACTCCCATTTACAAAGTAAGTTCAGGTCGTGTTTTTGACTCCAATTAAAAAAAAAATCTCATCGGCACCATTAACCAGGGCGGCCGCCGGGCTCGAACCGCCAACACTCACAAGCGGTCTCCGCCTCTCCTGTCCCGCCGCCCCCCCCCCCCCCGTGCTCCCCCAGTAATGAACGAGCGCCCAGACCCCGGCTTCAACCCGCTCTACGCAGTGGGCATGGCCGTGGCCGCTTTGGCCGTGCTCGTCATCGGCATGGGAGTGCTCATCAAGGGCAAGCGGCGCCGGGAGCACGGCACGCTGTGGTTCCCCGAGGGGCTCGTGCTCACCTCCAAGGAGGGCGGCTCGGGCAGCAAGAAGCGGAGAGAGCCTGTCGGGCAGGACGCGCTGGGCCTCAAGTAAGTCGGTCCCCTCGTCCTCGGCTCCCGGTTCTTGGCCTTGGCTTGGGTTTACCGATTCCAGATTACCTGCGTGTCTCCCCCGCGTGTCTCCCCCGCGTGTCTCCCCCGCGTGTCTCCCCCGCGTGTCTCCCCCGCGTGTCTCCCCCGCGTGTCTCCCCCGCGTGTCTCCCCCGCGTGTCTCCCCCGCGTGTCTCCCCCGCGTGTCTCCCCCGCGTGTCTCCCCCGCGTGTCTCCCCCGTGTGTCTCCCCAAGGTGTCCCCCACACGTTCCTCATGTCTCCCCCGTGTGTCTCCCCCACGTGTCTCTCCGCCGCCTGTCTCCCCCTTGTCGCTGCGGGTCACCCTAACGTGTCCCTGCGTGTCCCCCGTGTGTGTCTCCATTTTTATTTTTAAGGTAAGGCCAAACTCCGGAGCCTATGTAGCTCTCTCAGAAGCAACTCTGGCCACAAACGATAGCTCAACGAAGTGGCTCATGTGGATATGTATAGCATCCAAACACCCTAAACACGCGTCAATTCTAAATGCAGAGGGAAAAACTGGAGGACCCAGAGAAAAATTCCTGCCACCACGGGGAAAGAGAGAGAGAGAACATGCCAATTCCAAATATACAGCAGGCGTCACGGTCGAGATCTAACCCACGACATCCTGTACGTCAGGCGAGGTAGTTAGCATCTCCTAACCACTGTGGCATTAGGGGCTGGGATTGAACCCACGACCTCCTGTGTACCAGGCGAGGTAGATAACATCTCTTAGCCACCGTGGCATTCCGGTCCAGGATGGAACTAATGACCTCCTGTGTACCAAGCGAGGTAGTTAACATCTCCTAGCCACCGTGGTGAGATGTTAACCGCCCGGGTACATCGCGGGAAATCTCTGCCGACTGTGACCGGAGACTCCTGGGGGTGGCAGCGGTGGGGGGGGGGGGGTGGGTCCCGCCACGCAGGCACGGCGACGGGGCCTTGTTGTTGTTGTTGTTTGTGAGCGCTTCTCCTTAACCTCCGCCGACCCCCCCCCGCCCTGTACCAACAGACACCTGAAGCACGCGGAGGGGCTGATGGACGACAATCAGAACGAACACTGGCTGAGCGATGACGGCATTCCGCCGAGCAAGCGCCTCCACGTGAGTGGCGAAGCGCGTCGCACAGGGGCAGCTGCCGCTGGGGGTGCCCCCCCCCCCCCAGGTTCAACCACACAATCGTTGCCCCCCACCACCCCCTACCTATTCACTCCTCTAAACTAAAACTTTTTTTTTTACTAAACATTTTATTTTAGCAGGGTAAAGGCCCCCCACTGAGCTATAAGCGACTCTGGCTATCACGAATGATGGCTCAACGAAGTGGCTCGTCGTCATCATCATCATCATCTCCCTCCCTCTCTGTGTTTGCCGCAGGCCGAGGAGCAGGCCATGCTGGCCGGGGGGCCGCGCGTGGCCGACCCCGTGGACCCGAGGCCCTGGACCCTGCAGCACCTGGAGGCGGCCGACATCCGCATGCCGCCCGCGCTTGCGCTCACGCCGCAGGGCGACCTCGACTCGGACTGCATGGACGTGAACGTGCGCGGGCCCGGTACGCGGGGACTGGCCGGGGGGCACCGGGGGGGCACGTGACTGGTGGTGGGTGGTGGGTAATGATGGAGGGTGGTAATGGAGAGTGGTAATGGAGAGTGGTAATGGAGGGTGGCGGTGAAAACTAATGCGAGCTTAAATTTTGATTTAAAGCTTTCGTGACTGCAGTAATTCATATTCTTAGTTTTTTCGGTAAAGTCACGTTGAAGAGAAACAACAAAATAACAAAATATATATAAAACTCAAACGGTCATCATCAGGTGTGATGATGATGACCGTTTGAGTTATGGTCGAAACGTCGTGAGAAGTTTTTATTGTTTTATATATATTTTGTTATTTTGTTGTTTCTCTTCAACGTGACTTTACCGAAAAAACTAAGAATATAATGCGAGCTTCTTTCGCACCGTACGTAGCCAACCGTGCAATTCGTTTGGCTACGTACGGTGGTAACAATGCTGCTGCTGTGGTGATGGTGGTGTTGCTAACGGTGGTTGGTTGGTCGTGCTGGCTCCGCTACAAACCCAGGGACGATTATCTGAACCAATCCTGGGCCTCCCCTAGGTCGACTCGGCCTCAAATGAGTACCTGGTGCGGTGTGTAGTAGTAAACATCACCACTAGGGAGACAAAGGCGGCCGGGCGTGGTGCTGGCCACCCACCCCCCTCATTTGCCGTGCCGGCCTTCGTAGGTGCTACTCGCTAACAGCACTTGCCCCAACAGTCTGTTAAAGACTATGCGGGGGATCTTTGTTTTTGGTAGCGCTGGCTGTAGCGGTGGTTGCAGTTATGTCCATGATCACGACGACGATAATTTTATTTTAATAAATTGCAACTTTCGTTTGACGCGCGCGCGCGGGGGCTTTCGCAACCAATATTATTCATAATAAAGGTTTTTGGGTTAGATCCCGGTAAGTATGAATGTGTCATTTAACCCGCCACCACCCGGCACGGCCGACCAGTGAGATTTGTCACGTACACAAAGCGTGCCATACAGTTGCTCCTTCAGCCCCACAGGTGTGTTGGAGAGTTAGTCCACAATTTCCGTACAAACCTCACTGATGGGCTATTGTCGAGTGGTGGTGGGTTAACGACCTCACCCAAAAACCCTCATGACGAATGGCAACCTTGACGTCACGTTCCTAACCACGCCCACCTCTTCCCCCCCTCCCCCCCCACGCTCTTCAACAGACGGATTCACGCCGCTAATGCTGGCGTCATTCAGGGGCGGGGGCCTGGATTCTGGCGCCCCGGACGAGGACGAGCAGTCCCTGCTGCTCCTGCAACAGCAGCAGCAGCAGCAGCAACAGCAGCAGCAGCGCTACGACGAACCGGTGGAAGAGGGCGGCGCATCAGCCAGCGTCATCACCGACCTCATCTTCCAGGTAAGCAGCGGCTCAATCGGTCGGGGTCAACCAATCGGATCGCTCGCCCCGTCGAGGTGGGGGGGGGGGGGGACCCTTGGAGGTAGCTCGGATGGTGAGAGAGAAGGCGGCGCTGGCGCCCGTCGAGATCCTGGATTCCAGTCCGGGTTTTAGTCCCCAACCACGAGGATTACACCGGTGGTGGTGGTGGGGGTTCTGTAGTGCAGCGAGTTGATGGTCTCAGCCCGGTCAGACTAAGACAGGTCAATTTGTTTTTGGTGAGCACGTGGCACCTTCTCGTGGCGCAAGTCTGCCACCCAGCGCGCCAGAGACGCGTAGTCACAGAGACCCACCGGCCAAGAACAAAACCAGGACCCTGAACCACTCCGCCCCACTCCACGTTCCTCCACTCGGAGCCTCTCCCACGTCTTCCTCCCAATGTTTCTCCTTCTCGCTCCACGATCCTCTCCTCCCCTGCTGTCCCCTCTCTCTCTTTCCCCGAACTCCTCTCTCCTCCTTTTCTCTCCCTCCTCGCTCCTCCTCGCTCCTCCTCACCTCCTCGCCGCCTTCCTCCTGCACAGGGCGCGTCGCTGCAGGCCCAGACGGACCGCACGGGCGAGACGGCGCTGCACCTGGCCGCTCGCTACGCCCGCGCCGACGCCGCCAAGCGTCTCCTCGACGCCGGCGCCGACGCCAACATCCCGGACAACATGGGGCGCACGCCGCTCCACGCCGCCGTCGCGGCCGACGCGCAGGGCGTGTTCCAGGTGAGCTGCGCAAGGGTTCGAGACCCTGCCGTGGGCTGCGGTGGCTATGAGATGTTAACTACCTCGCCTGGTGTGCAGGAGGTCGTGGGTTCGATCCTGACCCTGACGCCTGTTGTAATATTTGGAGTTTGCGTGTCTCTCTCTCATAATCATCATCATCATCACGGTGGCTAGGAGATGTTAACTACCTCGCCTGGTGTACAGGAGGTCGTGGGTTCGATCCCCACCTGACGCCTGCTGCTATATATTTGGAGTTTGCGTGTCTCTCTCTCTCGTCATCATCACGGTGGCTAGGAAATGTTAACTGCCTCGCCTGGTGTACAGGAGGTCGCCTGCTGCTCGAGATCACGCGTTTCAAGTAATTGGCTGCTGTACGATGATGATGATGATGATAAGCCACTTCGTAGAGCTATAATTTGTGATGGCGAGGTCGCTTCCAAAAAAGAGCTACGTAGCTCAGAGAGCCTGACCTGGTAAAAAAAAAAATTGTATTTTTTTATTTTAAAAAAATTATATTTCATTTTTTATTTTATTTTCCATCTTTTTTTTTCCGCCATGAAAGCTTCATCCCCAGAATGTCCTCCTCCCCCGCGTCACACGACTTGCACCGCATCACGCGCTCCCACCTCACCCCCGTGACCTTCCCCGTGACCCCCTCCCTCCCGCCCATGGTAGATCCTGATCCGGAACCGGGCGACGGACCTGGACGCGCGCATGCAGGACGGCACGACCGCCATGGTGTTGGCGGCGCGTCTAGCCGTCGAGGGCATGGTGGAGGAGCTCGTGAACAGCCACGCCGACGTCAACGCCGTTGATGACCACGGTACAAACGCACGCTCGGACATTCTGACTCCTGTGGGACCTCCTTTCCAGTGTCCGATACACCATCAGATTCACTATCAGATACATTATCAGATACATTATCAGATACACTATCAGATACACTATCAGATTCACTATCAGATTCACTATCAGATTCACTATCAGATTCACTATCATATACACTATCAGATACATTATCAGATTCACTATCAGATACACTATCAGATACACTATCAGATACACTATCAGATTCACTATCGGATACACTATCGGATACACTATCAGATACACCATCAGATACATTATCAGATACACTATCAGATTCACTATCAGATACACCATCAGATTCACTATCGGATACACTATCGGATACACTATCAGATACACCATCAGATACATTATCAGATACACTATCAGATACACCATCAGATTCACTATCAGATACACCATCAGATACACTATCAGATACACTATCAGATACACTATCAGATACACTATCGGATACACTATCAGTGCCATACTCCTTGCTCACCATTACCGAGACCTTTAAGTCCCGAGTTCAACATACACACACGTACCTACGTACACACCGACGGGTTACGTAGGGTGTGTACTTACGCACGTTCGATCCATCGATCGCCCTCCCGCTCAATCGTCTTGCGGTGTCGCTCGCTGTATGTCTGTGTGCGTGTGTGCATGTGGTCAAGCTTGTGTGTGTGTGCGCGTGTGTGCGTGCGTGTGGTGAAGCGTGTGTGTCTTTGTGCGTGTGGTGGAGTGTGTGTGCGTGCGTGTGGTGAAGCGTGTGTGTGTGCACGTGTGCGTGTGTCTTTGTGTGTGTGGTGGAGCGTATGTGCGTGCTTGTGGTGAAGCGTGTGTGTGCACGTGTGTCTTTGTGCGTGTGGTGGAGCGTGTGTGTGTGCACGTGTGTCTTTGTGCGTGTGGTGGAGCGTGTGTGTGTGCACGTGTGTCTTTGTGCGTGTGGTGGAGCGTGTGTGCGTGCGGTGGAGCGGTAGTGTAGCGGTTAGCGCGCTCTGCTGCGGCCTCGGTGACCCGAGTTCTATTCTCGCTCACGACCAACACAAATGACAGCGATTATCCGAACTGGTCCTGGGCCTCCCCTAGGTCAACCCAGCCTAAAATGAGTACCTGGTGCGGTGCGTAAAAACATCGCCACTGGGGAGACAAAGGCGACCGGGCACGGCGCTGGCCACCACCAACCCCTCGTGCGCCGTGCCGGCCTTCATATGCCGCTCGCTAACGGCGCTTGCCCCAACGGTGTGTGAAGGCTACACGGGGGGGATATCTTTGTGTTTGTGTCTCACCCCACACCCCATCGTGCGCGCCGGCAGGCAAGTCGGCGCTGCACTGGGCCGCCGCCGTCAACAACGTGGAAGCGACGCTCATCCTGCTCAAGAACGGCGCCAACAAGGACATGCAGGACTGCAAGGTGAGTCACCTCACCACCACCCCCCCTCCCCCCCCCCCCCCCCCCCGGCTCTCACAAATGATAGCTCAACAAAGTGGCTCATCGTCGTGTGGAAATGTATACCAGCAGCCAGACGCTCTGAATGCGTGACGTTGATTCTAAATGTGGAGGTGAAAAACCGGAGGAGCCGGAGAAAAATCCACGTGACCACGGGCAGAGAGAGAGAGAGAGACACGCAAACTCCAAATATACAGCAGCAGGCGTCAGGGTCGGTAAAGAACCCACGACCTCCTGTAGACCAGGCAAGGTAGTTAACATCTCCTAGCCACCGTGATGATGATGAGAGAGAGAGACACGCAAACTCCAAATATACAGCAGCAGGTGTCAGGGTCGGGATCGAACCCACGACCTCCTGTAGACCAGGCGAGGTAGTCAACATCTCCTAGCCACCATGATGATGATGAGAGAGAGAGACACGCAAACTCCAAATATACAGCAGCAGGTGTCAGGATCGGGATCGAACCCACGACCTCCTGTATACCAGGCGAGGTAGTCAACATCTCATAGCCACCGTGATGATGATGAGAGAGAGAGACACGCAAACTCCAAATATACAGCAGCAGGTGTCAGGGTCGGGATCGAACCCACGACCTCCTGTAGACCAGGCGAGGTAGTCAACATCTCATAGCCACCGTGATGATGATGAGAGAGAGAGACACGCAAACTCCAAATATACAGCAGCAGGCGTCATCAGGGTCGGGATCGAACCCACGACCTCCTGTATACCAGGCGAGGTAGTTGACATCTCGGCGACCGCTCCGCAGGAGGAGACGCCCCTCTTCCTGGCGGCGCGGGAGGGCAGCTTCGAGGCGGCGCGCCTCCTGCTGGAGCACCACGCCAACCGCGAGATCACCGACCACCTGGACCGGCTGCCTCGCGACATCGCCCAGGAGCGGCACCACCACGACATCGTCCGTCTGCTCGACGACTTCACCGGCGCGGCGGCCGCGGCCGCCGCGGCCGCGGCCGCCGCGGCAGCCCACATGCGCAGCCCGGGCCTCATGGTCGGTCCCGGCCAGGGCCCGCTCGGCTCGCCGTCGTCGGCGGCGCAGATGTGCGGCGGGGGCGGGGGGGGCATGGGCATGGCCATGGGAATGGGCCTCGGCTTCCTGCCCATGAAGCAGCAGCAGATGCAGCAGCAGCAGCAGACGCCACAGGGGAAGAAGGCGCGGAGGCCGAGCAGCAGCAAGGGGGGGACGCCCAGCGGCAAGGATGGCAAGGGCAAGAAGCTGAAAGGTATAACGGCGGTGGTGGTGATGGCGGTGGTGGTGGTGGTGGCGGGGTTTAGCGATCGTGACGGCGGGTGGTGATTGGTGGTCGTGGTGATGGTGGTGGTGGGGTTTAGTGATCGTGGTGGTGGTGGTGGTTTTGGTGGTGGAGCAGAGGGACAGTGCTCACAACAACGAGCAGTGTCGCCGGGGCGGCTAAAACACAGCAAGTTGGCACATTGGGGGGAGCACAGGTGGCGCATCGGCCGGTCGTCTCAGTCGATCAACCTATGGCGCCTGGGTCTGTCCCGTGACCTGCCAGCGGGCATTCGGCAATTCACGTGGCCTCAAAGTGCGCATAGCCCGGCACAAGCGCCGTGGTGACGTCCAACCGCCCCTTAGTGGGGAATGACGGTTGTTGTCTATGGTGACCAGTTGTAGTGGTAGGTGTGGTAGTGATGGCGGTTGTGGTGGTGGTGGTGGTGATGGTGACAGTGTTGTGCTCTGGTCTGACACTGGTCCTGATGCTAGGCCTTGAAGAAGGCTGCTGATGTCCATCAGTTTCAAAGACGATGCACCACATATTAGTATCAGAGCCAAGTTTGTGTTTGCATGTTCAACACAAGTATTGTGTGTGTGGGTTAATGCAGAAACTTGATTCCTTCATAAAAGGTTTCTATTTGGCATTTGAACATCTCAACGGTTGTTTTATTGCCAAAAATGGTAAATCACCTATTTATTATATTTTCATTCTCTGACACTGGGCACAAAAAAGGGGTCGGTCCTATTTCAGAGCCACATCCACAACACTCCACTCCACCTCCACTCACCGCTCCCACCCCGCCCCTCTCCGCCCGGCAGGCAAACCGGACGGCAAATCCCGCCCGCTGGTCTCTCTGGACGGCGTGCTGAGCCCTCCCGTCGAGTCGCTGGAGTCTCCCGCCGCCTCCTACTCGTCGGACAACATGTCGCCCCCGCTGCTCACACCGCCGGCCCTGCTGCACTCCTCGCCGCAGCAGCAGCAGCAGCAGCTGCACGGCGCCGGCGCCGTCCTCCTGGCGGACGCCGGATCCGGCGCGTCGCTCTACGACGGCCCGCGTCTCTCCCACCCGCCGCTCGGCCACCACCTCCACCTGCAGCACCAGCAGCAGCAGCAGCAGCAGCAGCTGCTGCTTCAGGGCGCCGGCGCTGGGTACGACGGCATGGCGGGCGTGGGTGGCGGCGACTGGCTGAGCACCGTGCCGTCGATCGCCATGCAGCAGCAGCAGCACCTGCAGCATCACCACCTGCAGCAGCAGCAGCAGCAGCACATGTTCGCACAGGCGACGGTCATTCCTGGTATGGCTGCGCGATCCGCTCCGAGCCTGCAGCGCATGCGTTCTATTCCCGGCACCGGCATCGCCATGATGCCTTGCCAGCAGGTTGGCCTGCAGCAGCAGCAGCAACAGCAGCAGCAGCTGCAACAGCAGCAGCAACAGCAGCAGCAGCAACAGCAGCAGCAGCACCTCCAGCCGGTGGTGCAGCAGCAGCACCAGATTCAGCTGCAGCACCAGATGCACATGCACCAGCGGCAGCTGCAGTCGATGCAGCAGCAGCAACAGCAGCTGCAGCAGCAGATGGTGGCGCAGCAGCACCACCTGCAGGTGCTGCAGCGCCAGCACAGCAGCCTGAGCACCAGCGGCGGCAACGGCGGCAACGTCGGCGCCGGCGGTAACTTCTGCAAGACGGAGCCCAGCCTCATGCAACCGCATATGGGGCCCGACGCGGTCCTGTCGGCGGTGCCGGGGGCGGCCGGCGTTGGCACCGGCGGCGGCGGCGGTGGCGGCTCGATGGTGGACAAGTACCCGACTCCGCCGTCGCAGCACAGCTACGGGGGATCTCCGCACGACGCTGGCATCGGAGGTGGCTCCGGCGCGACCGGCGGCGGCGGCGGCGGCGGCAACGCGGGCAGCGGCGGAGGAGGAGGAGGAGGAGGCGGCTTGGCGTCGGCGCTCGGCTTCGCTGATCTCGCCTACCTCACGCCGTCGCCGGACTCGCCGGAGGCGTGGTCGAGTTCCTCGCCCCGCTCGGCGTCCGATTGGTCGGAGGGGATCCAGAGCCCGCCCACCGAGCCGATGGGCATGGTCGGGGGGGCGGCCGCCGCCATCATGACCTAGCGGGGCAAAGGCCCCGACGCCCGGCACCTGTAGGTGGAGGGGGCGGTACGGGAAGTAGGTTGTTGTTGTTGTTGTGTGGAAGTGGGGGGGGGTTGTTGGGCCTGGCTGGGATGGTGACAGGGGTGGTGGGAGGGGCCACCTGCCATCATGACTTGCTGCTAGCCGGGGGGAAGTGCTCTGCTCTAACAGGCTGTGGGCAGTACGGAAAGTAGGTTGGGTTTTTTTATTTTCTCCACGCACGCATCTGTGCGGTGGGTTTCCTCCCTGATGGCGGCCATCTTATCGTCTTCACCTAAACAAAACAGATGGCCAATACGGAACACAGGCGGTGGATTATTATTTCGGCTGCGTGCTCGAATATAATTTTGGGCCTCTCTACGGTTGCCTACGCGCACGAAGCCGCACCCGCCCGCCTCCACAGCGGAATTTGCGGCCCCTTTGAGACTCTGCGAGGCTCTCCTCCCCGGCTGAATAAAAGGACATTGGGTTTTTTTTTTTTAAAACAAACACGTGCAACGTGTGATCACCTACGCGACGCAACATGGGTTCGCAAGCGGCGGGAGAGTTCCTCGCGCTTTGACCCCAACCGCAACGCAACTCCTTGCCGATGGGCGGTCGTCAACTTCTCCTACCCCCCCCCCCCCCCCCCCCCGACCAACGTCGGTCGACCGTGGTCACTGCACTGCTGGATGAAGGGGCCTCCGGAGGCGTTCTCGGTCCGCACGCGCGCTAAATAACAAGATGGTTCCATAACCCGCGGCTCGGTGTCACGCGTACGTACGTACGTACGAACGAACGCGTTGACGCACGCCCGTCCTTAACGCGCGCCCCACCGCTGTGGTCTTAAGCCCGATGTTGCCTTGCGGCAGTTTGGTCCACGACTGGTGGTCGCCCCCCTGCGCTGAGGAATTAGATTGGCAAAGGCGCAGGTCTGCAAGTGCTTTGCCCTCGAGCCGCTGCTGGCGGGGAAAGCGCCGCCAGTTATGAGGGAGTTCTAAAGGGGGAATCGAGGGAGTTTTGGTTGCCTCTGTGGGGGGGGGGGGGGGGGGGGGGGGGGGTTACCCGTACACCATCCCGGTTGACCTGCCAAATCTTAACGATTCTTTAAACATGTATTTTTTTTATTTTTACCAGCTAAAGAAGGCCCCACTGAGCTCTCCGTAGCTGTTTTTCAGAGAAGCCACCCTGGCCATCGCAAATGGGTAGCTCAACCATCGTGGCCCGTCATCGTCATCGTAGCAGCGGCCAAATACTCTCAACGCGCGCGACGTTGATTCTGAATGTGGAGGGGGGGAAAACCGAAGGAGCCGGAGAAAAAAAAATCGACGCGACTACGGGGAGAGAGAGAGAGAGACCTGCGCTGTACACCAGGCGAGGTAGTTAACATCTCCTGGTCACCGTGATGTTGATGAGAAAGAGAGACACCGCAAACTCCAAATTACAGCAGCAGGCGTCGTCAGGGTCGGGATCGAACCCACGACCTCCTGTACACCAGGCGAGGTAGTTAACATCTCCTAGCCACCGTGGCACAGTGAACCCATGCACACAGCCGGGTGGACAGAGGCAGTGGCCATTGGCGGGTGGGGGATTTAAGAAACTAGGCACCGTTGATTCAACTGCCCGGCCCAGACCACGGAATCGAACCTGTTTTAAGTATACGCGCGTGCACCGCTAATTACCGACGTCTTAGCTATCCAATGTATGCAGTACGTGCAGTGTAATGTCTTAATGCCTCCTTATATGAACTCACGAAAACATGGACGGTGTACGTGTGCGTTTTCCAACATCGGGTGCAAGCGTCTTGACAGAGTAAAGGAATGATGCGATGCACGGACGTGAGATATCTTTGTACTGTTTCGAAGATTTTTGGGGGGTGAAAGCAGATTTGCTAAAAAGTGACCCGATTGAAAACTTCACACTTTTTGTTTAATTTCTTTCTTTCAAGGGGTATTTGACCACGCTTTTGCCTCGTTTCTCAGTGCTGACCTCCGAGTGGTCAGCCGGTTAAGGGGGAGGGGGAGGCATAGATGCCGTGACGTGTAGAACGGTCCAACAACGCATCGTTTGTGCCGACGGCATTTTAACGCAGCTGCCTTGGCAGTGGGGAGCGCCAAACAAACAAACAAACAACAACAACAACAACTCGCATTCGTCAATACCAACGCCTTCAAGATAAAGTATACTGAAGAGTAGGCGACGTTTCAGGCACCAGGTGTTTCTTAAAGGCTCATCACTGAAGAAGAGCCATTGCCGGAAACGTCGTCTGTTAGCGTTGTTCCTTTGAGGCCACGCGATGTCACTGGGGAACGGTTTTTGAGCGTTTTGTTGTACTTTAGAAGCCCTCTTAACCACGGCAATTGGTTCCACGAAAGCGTCCGTGAAGCGAATTGCTCGTTAAGCGAGTCTAGGAAATGCACGTTCAAGGCTCGATTCGTTTGGATGGCATCGAAAGTTTACCCCCAACCCCCTTTTACACCCAAAAAAAACGTACTTTATAACATTTAAACGATGGATAATAATGCATAAAGACACTAACAGCATTATAAACGCATGATATTAAAAGAAACGTTTGGTAAGCGAACACACAGATCCCTGGAGGCCTGTCGTTAAACGATTAGTCATTCACAGGGATTCTCGTTCACAGGGATTCTCGTTCAGAGGGCTTCTCCCATACTCTAAAACGCTCACACGGGCAACGTAATCTCATAAAGGCTAACTGGAATTTAATAAATTACCTTGGTTTAAAAAAATAATTGAAAAATCAAGGCTTAAAAAAAAATCTATTTTTATAACTCAAAGTAAGCGTGGCTGGGCTGAGCCCTATAGACAAGCTACCATGTACCCCGCTGTATACACCTCCACGCACACCTTTTCCCCATCTCATATCTTTAAATGAATTAAGTTTATACATCTAATCTCTTTCAATGCGACGCAGTACAATGTTGCATATCCGCCTCGCTGGGGATTTGAGGGACGGGGACTACCTCTACTTACGAACGCGTTAGGTTCCAGAGGTCTGTTCTTAAGTCGATTTGTTCATAAGTCCAACTTTACTCTCGTCGATTCCAAACGTGTTGTATGGTATGTACACTAAACACAGGAGTGATGGCTCTAAAAGTTGTAAAATCTCCTGTAGATGTCACTGGTTCTTCACGTTCTGCAGATGTAGATGCCACTGGTTCTTCACGTTCTGCAGATGTAGATGCCACTGGTTCTTCACGTTCTGCAGATGTAGATGCCACTGGTTCTTCACGTTCTGCAGATGTAGATGCCACTGGTTCTTCATGTTCTGCAGATGTAGATGCCACTAGTTCTTCACGTTCTGGAAATGGAGATGCCACTGGTTCTTCACGTGCTGCAAATGTAGATGCCACTGGTTCTTCACGTTCTGCAGATGTAGATGCCACTGGTTCTTTACGTTCTGGAAATGGAGATGCCACTGGTTCTTCACGTACTGCAGATGTAGATGCCACTGGTTCTTCACGTGCTGCAAATGTAGATGCCACTGGTTCTTCACGTTCTGCAGATGTAGATGCCACTGGTTCTTCACGTTCTGCAGATGCCACCACCGCCATCTATTGCACGGCGGTTGAAGTTACGACCCTCGGTCCAAACGGGGCAACTGGACATACGGACCGGGTTTGTTCGTGTCTCCGAAAGTTCACGAGTCGAATGTTCGTAGGTGGAGGAGTCCCTGTCTAAGCGGCTGTGTAACCCGGTTGGATGTACGAACACATTTAGGAAAGTGGACAAGTCATCCAGTGACGTTGCTGCTGCTGCCCCTGAGCGCAAGCAATTAGCGCGGTTAACAATTGTGACTCCTTTTAACGCCGCTGAGTGCGGCCTTAAAAGACAACAGTTCCACTTAGCACGTCGCTAGACACAAACCAGAGGCGAAGTCTCGAGCGTTGTACCTTGTCCATGGCTCAAGGAATCGACACCGTCAACCCCCCCCCCCCCCCGACGTCAGGGGGAGGGCGGTTATCCGATCGGGTTTATTTTTTTACGTCCGTCTTTCACATCGGCAAGAGCCGGAATTTTTGTTTTTTAATTTTTTCATTCCGGATTTTATTTTTTTCGTTTAATAAAAAAAAATGCTTTTTTTTATATAAATCACGCTCACCAGGCACTCTTCAATTATATTATTTATAATCTATTTAAAAAAGTGATGGGTTCTTTTTGTTTTAACCGACTTGGTATTAAGGTTTATATTACGCTGTTTTCGTTTCACGTTATACCACACACACAATACACAACACCTTAAGTTCCGCGTCGTAGATTTTAGTTCACTGCCCTCGTTTTTTTATAAATAATTTATACCGCGTGTGTGTGGGTTTTTTTTATACCGTCGGTTCGTCTAGCAGTCGAGCTTTGTAGCGACAAAATGTGATTAATATTTACGATAGTACGGTCGGCTAGAGTGTACAATACGTTTAAAGACATTATTTACAATGACGTGAGGTTGGGAGGTTGGGAGGGGGGGATCATGTTACCACGTGCGTACGCCTAATGATGAACTCACGTATCTCACAGGATTTGCCTTTGATGAAATGTAGAAGTGATTGCCGAGGCGAGTTGGAAGGGGCACTCCACGCCGTTTGCGCGACGCCCTTCCGTGTTATCATCATTAATTTTGTTATTATTTGACATTTTTAAGTTGCCGGTCATCGTCGCACACTTGGAGATGCGTAACACGGAACTTGAAAGTTTGTACTCGGCAAATGGGCCACTAAGTGCGGAGAGGTCTGCTCGACGTTGGCTCGCGGCCGGGGGCCCTGAAACGGTTCGTCGTTTGTTGGGACACTTCGATGGCAGAGTCCCAACGCGGTTGTCACTGCAACGTGGCAATGCCAGGCTTGACGGTGAACCCGAATGTTTGGTGACATTGCAGTTGGGTCACTCTGTGTGTGTGTGCGCGCGCCCACACGGAACAAATTATATTGGCGGAGCTGCTGCTTTGGCAGGTGGTGCAAAAGCACAATTAACAAAAAGAAAATCGCATCAGTCAATCAACGGCGGCCTGGAAAATAAAATAACAAAATAAATATAATAGGCGCTGTTGTTGCTCTTCACAGCGCACGCAGAGGTGGAGTGGCTAAGAGTCGGAGGACGTCACTTTCCGCCACATGGGATGGGGGACCAATTTAATTTCTCATGGCACAAAGCGCCGTCTCTCAAACTCTTCTCCACTGATTCTAGATTTGAAGCTTTCGTGACTGCAAGGATCCATACTCTTTGGTTCTATTCGGTAAAGTCACGTAGGTAAAAAAATAAAACACTGGCCCTGTGGCCTCTCTGTGCGCCCTGACGAAGGGCAACCGCCCGAAACGTCGCCAATTATAAAAAAAAATTTAATTCAGGCTCCCGGTGTTATTGATTGAATGCGAGGGTTCGTGTGGTGCCACGTCTATTCCGCATAACACTTGCAATGGTTAACTTGACCCTCGCCAGGACAAGCGAACTGAGAAACGATTGAACGAAGGTCATGAACTTTAACTGTTTAATATATACAGCATTAACTTCTGGCCACACCATTCTAAAATATGCAAATGCTTAACATTTGCCTGCGACACCGTTCATTTCAGTCGTTCGTTCGGGCAGAGGGGAGAGTGGGAGTGTCATCATGCGGCCTTATTGCTTCAAGTCAAAACCTGCACGGGGTTTGGAATTCCATGACCCCCTGGGTTGGCGGTCCACCACCCACCCCTACCCCGGGACCATTATTTTTTTAATTTCAAATGTGAACATCTCGCAAAGTGTACGTTCGGCACGCCGCAGGCTTTCGCGACCGATGGCATTCGAAGCAAGATTGTGTTTTGGGTCGGATCGCGCCGAGTGTGCATTGCGTCTTAACCCGCCGGCGCCCGAACACAGCCAGTACCGGTTTGTCACGTGACTGCATCCAGCATTAGCGGTCCGCTGGTAATTAACATCCAGCCCGATGATGCTGGGCTGGAAAAACGTGGACAAACGTCGTGCTACTCACATTGTCAACGTTGTGGATTTACTCTCCCAACGCAACCGGAGGGCTGAAGTAGTAAACCAATTGGCACGCTTTGCTTACGCGACAGACCTTGCTAATTGGCGGGTGGCGGAGGGTTACAACAACATTCACACTTACGCGACCTAAACCCCCCCCCCCCCAAAAAAAACAAAACCTTTATTTCGAAGGTGTGCACCCTCTCGTCGTTTCTTGGGGATCGCAAACAATACCGGGGGGGGGGGGGGCTCTTGTTATCACCTCGATTCGATTAGTCCACGACGCCAGACCACAAAATCCCACTTCGCGTAGATAACCAGCTGAGGTGGTGGCACAGCCGTCAACCCACCCGGTTTAACCCCGTCGTCTTGTGCAGGGAAATTGAGTTCTCAGTTCCATAGGGCGTACAGCCGCTTTCAATACGGGCAAAAAACGACGCGTCTGTGTGTGTTTCTCCCTTGTGATGGGACTTTGTAGGATGAACGTTGATTTATTAGGGGCACGGAGTGACCAAATGAGTCTTTAAGGTAGGGCACTGATAAGGGGTTGACGAGGTATGTTGTTGTTGTTGTGGTGGTGTCGCTCTTCCTCCTGGTTCCAATTCATTTCGTGGCCAATATCAGTGCATTGTTGCGATACAAGTTTTGGAGAGAGTGGGGGGGGGAAGGGGGTTCTCATCACGGAATACGTTCCTGTTGGCTTTGTAAGTACATCGGTGCGACCTAAGCACGCTCTGCCCTCTTAGGTCGGTGTATGCCGGGTTTTTTTTCTCACTCCTCCGGCTCATGGACTTGGTTATCGTGATGGTTCGCTCAAAACAAAAGGCGTTCGCTCGTGTCTTCTGTAACAAGTGTGGCGTTGGTGTTAATACGGTTTCTTTTTTTTTAAATACATACGCGGAACAACCACAAGAAACCATCCTCCGCTACATTGCAAAACTCGCAAACTGAATTGGTACACGATTATAATGATTTGTGCCATTGGCGCAAGACATCCGATTTTGCCTTACGATGATGTTTATCGACCGTGTGCCAACCCGCTGTAATCGTCGTTGGGGATTGTTCGTTTTCTTTTAATGCCGTGGAGGTGATGGGGTTTTTTTTTTAAATGGCTCGATTAACAGCCACTGCCAGCAATAGGTTTTGACCTGCAACCAAATAACCGAGTGTGCCTGATCCTCATTGGATGTCGAGCTGAAGCGGACTCAGAGGGTGGGGCCTGGCCAGGTTCTCAGATGGGGGTGCTCGCCGCACCAACCCAGGGCTTGCCAGGCGTTGTGGGCACGGCTGCAGCGAGGTGGTGGGCCAGAGAAGTGGCCGTGCTGAGTGGCACCCCCCTCGTGTAGAACAGCAGAGCGTTGCTGGGTTGTCTCTGGGGTCTCTGGACCATCGAGTGTCACCCCCCCTCCCCCCTCGTGTACAGCAGCAATAGCACGGTGCTGAGTTGTCTCCCACATGAAGCCAAACTACCAATAATCATAGAATTCACGGGCACACATCAACGTAGAACACACCCTCGCTGCAAAACAAAGGCTTCCTGGGTAAATAATTTGGATTTCACCAGCAACGCCGGTAGCCTGCATTGAACATTTAAATACCCTGGCGGCAAAGAGGACAGCAGAGTGAAGTGTTAATCTGGTCTGCTACACCCAAATTAAATTACATCAGGGTAGGCCGATCCAAAGCAGCTTTGGCCATGTGATAAGTTTGGACCAATCGCGTGCAACTTGCGACTTTAAAGGTCCTGGGGGTTAACGGCGAGCAAGGAGCGTTGCAACTCATTTCCATTGGCAGCTGCGATTTAAAGCGATGGAAATTCCACATTCCTATGGTGGTTGGGGGGGGTGGGGACCAATTTCGCCAGAGCTTTTTTATGCGCGTGTGTCGAACTTATTTCGCACCCACCGTAGGTAGCTGTGTGACATTGGAGGTGCAGTGAGTCTGGGGCAGAGTCTATGGGTAATGTTGAGTGGGGCAGTGAGTCTGGGTAATGTTGAGTGGGGCAGTGAGTTTATGGGTAGCGAGTCTATGGGGCAGTGAGTATTTGGGTAGTTGACTTAACTTTCGTGACTGCAGGAATTCCTATTCTTTTGGTTATTTCGGTAAAGTTACGTAGAACAATAATATAGTGAATACAAATAAAAACCACGACGTTTCAACCGCGACAAGCGTCTTTTTTTAATCTACGTGGCTTTACCAAAAGAACCAAATGAAATATGGGCAGCGTTCAGTATGGGCAGTGTTGAGTATGGGTCGTGCTCTTTATGGGCAGTGTTAATCTATGGGCACGAGAGGTTTGTAGGCACCCACGCTGTAATCGTGTGGGGTTGGATGGGCAAAGACACCAACGTTAGGCACAAGTTCTTTTTTTAAATTGAAGAATTTGCCTTGGGCTCGCAATAATTGTACAAGGGGGACGGGTCAATTAAACCACAATCCGTGCTGCATTAAAAACAAAATCAGCTCCAAGCATAAAATGTTTTTTTTAAGTGTGTATATATAATACAAAGCATATAAAAACGTTAAAAAATAAGCATTTTTTTTACGATGTACTTTTCAAATAATTTCCAGTTTTATTTTTGAGAAAAAAATGCAAAAAATTAATGCCAGTTGCCTTGGTGGGTTTGTTGTTTTGTTACCACGATGTTTGAGATTTAGAGCTAGTTTTGTTATCGTTTTCTAACACTTAGACTGTACGCTTGCAACTTGCCTCCTGTACAACGAGCTTGCTTTATTAATAAAGTGATCAGTTAACACGAGCCTCTCCCCCACGCCGTCTATCATCCTCACCCCACCAACATCCACTGCTGGATCACACAGGCCCTCCTGAGTAGTCAAAAGGTGAAGCGAGTTCCTCCCCATGAGCAGCATTGGGGGGGCTCCGTTACTGTTCACAGCGCCAAAGCCAGTGTTGGTGGAAATGCCACATTATTATGGCAGGGGAAAGACTATCCATGGGAAACCCACTTTACCGCTTCAAAGTGTTACCCATTTTATCTGTACGCAAGTTGAACTTCTTTTTGCACCATACGTAGCCAACCGTGCTAATCAGCGGTGCCGGGGAGAAGATAAACTAAAACACAAAACTCAGTTCTAAAAATAAGAGAGTTTGTCAATCTAGGATGAAGATTTTAAAAGCGTCATAGCTCCAGTGGCGTCCTAATATCGGGAGGAAGAAGCGTTCCAGACGGGCGCAGGAGCGCCGCGCGATGATGCCGCGACCACCGCCTTTGTTCGATGGCCGAGCCAAAAGCCGCTGCTGCTGCGAAGGATGACGATCGGAGTTCGTGTCCCCCAGTTCACCCTACGCCATGATCGACGGCGCGACAACTCCCACCCGAGTAACCCCCTGCACGCAAGCCGACTTGACCACTCCAAATCTTCGGTGCCGCGTCCTCTCGCGCGCAAAAGCCAAGCCGGGCAGCGGCGCAGCCTCACCAGCGACAAAGAGGCCTGGGTTAGATTCCACCCCCCCACAACCCCGACTCTGGTTTCTTTCTCTGTGGAGCTTCTCTACATTTCTGTCCATCCCTCCCCCCCCCCCTGTTCTGTTTGAGTTTTTCTCCAGGTTCTCCAATTCTCCCAAGGGTTTAAAACAAACAACACAAAGCAGCAACGGCCAGGTGTTGGCCAACCTAATCCCCCAGGTGCTGCAAGAAACGACGACGGTGATCTTTCAATTACTCGATTTGGCGTCACACACTGACGCACGCTTGCCAGGAGGACCCTCAGAACAACGAGCCTTGAGGCTCGGCAAGGCTTTAGCGGGTGAACAAGCGGCGTAGACTTAGTAATACAATGCTTGGGGAAACCCCGCGCCGTCGTAATTTCGCACAAGCAACGTCACCAAAAACCGCAAATTCCAACTCAAAACTTTATTTAATCTTAATTCCAGCACAAACACAGGCAAATCAATATCAAAATCTTAATTTTTGTTTCCACTGGAGGAATCCGATGAGCTACGAAGCCCCTTTTTCCACAGACGTCCAGTTACATGAAAAAATGAACTCGGAATTAAACGACAGACGACATCACAGGTGAGTGGCCCATCACGGGCATCCAGCAACACCACCTGTCCCTCTCATTAGTGTCGCCAGCAAGTTTATTTAACCACGAGACTTCCCCAGGGAGTGCCCAGCCAAGTGTCCACGAGGAGCGATGCTGCTACTGCAGCTGCAATCCCCAAATTAATTCATTTGCAGTGCGATTTTCCCCCCCCCCCCCCCCCCCGCAACATTTGGGGGGGGGGGGGGAGGGAGGCGGGAGGGGTTTATTGGCCGATAAGCACTTACCATCTTACACGGGAGGAATCCGGGAGGAAAGACCCCCCCAAGGGAAGACACCCCACGCTGAACACGGGGCAAGAGAATTCCACAGACTCCACACGCACAAAATCGTCAGCTCCCCGCCACAGCCAAAGAGTGGCGAATCGAACCCAGGTGTGGTTCTTGCTGCGTAGGGGCCAAGCGCGTCAAGCGCCACGACCACCACCACGACCACCACCACCCACCACGTCCATCACACCCGCGCGCCTGCGGTTGGACTCCACGCCCGGGGGGGTTGGCGGGTGGCGCCGCCGCGGGACTTCCTGACGTTCCGTGCCACCACCAGGAGCAGCAGCAGCAGGGCGGTCACCAGCGCCGACGTGGCCAGCGCCATGGAGGTGGTGTGGTGATGGCGACTCGTCGTGGCTGTAGGAGGAGGGCGGGGGAGGGGGGACGACGACACGGATTGTTGGTTGGTGCGCGTTGAACTTTTTTTCGCACCGTACGTGGCCGGCCGTGCTCATCGGAGGTGCAGTGCCGAGCCCGTGATGGGTGTTGGGGCCCATGGTGCACTGTTGATGTACAACTTCTGTTCAACCGTAGGTCGGTGATTAAATCGCATTCAGCACCCAAGCACAATTAACGTTGACAAACAAATAGGATATGGGGGGGGGGGGGGGGGCGACGTTACGGGCCATGCTCCTTTTCAGGTGCTATGATTAAGGACCCTGGTTCGACATGTCACCCGTTTTATATTTATTTATTACTTAGGGATCACGCAGTGTTATTGACACACGTGTCGCGGTTTGTTTTTGTCAACAACAACGAGGGAAAGGCGCAGGCCCTGCAAATCGCTTGCTCGCGTCACTGCTGGTGGATGGGGGGGGCCCCTCAACCCACGGGTTATTTTGGCCTACTCTTCCACGCGTCCCACGCGTCCGTGGGCGGAGCGGTGGCACAGCGGTCAGCGCAGCGAACGCGGCGACCCGGAGTTCCCGCTCACGGCCAGCACCGGTGACGGATACCTCAACCGGTCCTGGGGCCTCCCCTAGGTCAACTCGGCCTCAAAATGTGCAACGTCACCACCTGGGACACAAAGGCGGCCGGGGTGGGGCCTTGGCGACGGCCACCTGCCCCCCCCCCCCTCTCGTAGGCGCCACTAATCGCCAATAGCGCTCGCCGCTGCGGTCTGTTCCAGGCCACACGGGGGGGGGGGGGGGGGGGGCCACGTACACGAAACGCCGCGCCCACCGCCGCCCCCCCCCCGGCAAGACGATGGGGCCCCCCGTGAGCACCACGAAGCCGCTGCCCTCCGACCCCCGCTCCCCCCTGCCGCCGGCCGCCCCCGGCGCGGGCGGAGGGCAGCGCACGAGGCAGTCCGGCTCCAGGGAGTCCCGGCGGCACGCCAGCACGCCGCAGTGCAGGTAAACCTCCTGCTGGCGCGGGAGAACAAACAACGACAAACAACGACAAACAACAACAACGACAACAACGACGATGACGCAGCCAGTCAAGTCTACGCGTCGCCCGCCACCCCCGCCAGCCGTGTGCATTGAGCAGCCTCCCCCCCCACCCCCCCCCACCTCCCCATCCCCCCCTCCCCCCTCCCCGTGCGTTTGGAATCGCGGCCATCGACGAGGACCAATGCTGAAAATTGCACAGAAGCGCAGAGAGATGCGTGCGTGTGTGTATGTGTGGTGTGTATATGTGTATGTGTGTGTGGGCCACGTGTGTGTGTGTGTATGTGTGTGTGTATGTGTGTGTGTATGTGTGTGTGTGTGGGCCACGTGTGTGTGTATGTGTGTGTGTGGACCGGCAAAAACAACCCCCTACCTCCTCGCGGTGCCGGACGGGCAACTCTGTCGTGGACAGTGCTGTGGGGGGAGATCCAATTTTGATTGGCTCCTCCCCTCATGGCATATGTGTCCACCACAGGGGCTAAACGGGGGCTCTGGAAGGGTGTGAGGGGCTGGTAACCCCTCCACCTTCAATTAATTACCACGAAACCACGAATTAAACTGAAATATGTAACTAATAAGCTTGTGCCGGAGGCCCCGGGGGGCCAGGCGTCTATGACGTCTCCTGGCCAAACCCCAATTGGCGGAGCCAGGAGATTGAATAACTACCCTCGGGGCTACTCCAGAAACAACGAAAAGCCACTACGGGTGGCCACGTGGAATGTTCGAACGCTCACTGCAGAGGAGAGGCTGCCACTCCTCTGTCGGGAGCTGGACCGGTACCGCCTGGATCTATGCGGCATTCAGGAGGTCCGGTGGACCGGCTCTGGCTCCTGCCACCATGAGGGGTGGACAGTCCTCTACTCGGGGCAGCAGACTGCCAAACAACAGGGTGTGGGTCTTCTTTTGAACAAAAGAATGAAGAGGGCGTGGGAGCGTGGCGGTGAGGTGTGGGAAGCTGTAAGCCCCAGGCTACTTTGGGCTCGCCTTCCCATCAACCGGAGGCGAGGAATGGTGGTCGTGGTTACTTATGCCCCCACCGAAGATGAACATCCGTGGAGGGATGCAGGCAAAGCCGATGAGTCAGATGCCTTCTATGACCTCCTGTCACAGGTGCTGGCTAAAGTGGCCCCTCGGGATAGAGTCATCATGTTGGGTGACTTCAATGCCCGAGTTGGTCATGATACTGGCACCTGGTCTGGAGTGATTGGAGGGCATGGGCCAGATCAGCTAAATAACAACGGTAGGAGGCTGCTAGATTTGTGTGAACCCATGGGCTTGTAATTACCAACACGCTGTTCCGGCATCGGCACATCCACACAACATCATGGATGCATGCCGGGTCCAAGCAAGAACATCTGCTGGACTACATAGTGACGGACCAGCGAATGCGAGCCCATGTCCTTGACACCAGGACCTACCGTGGAGCTGATCTGCCCTCTGACCATCGACTAGTCATCTGTAAGATGCGCCTGCCATTCTTCCACTCCGGTGGTGGGTGGACACCCAGGACCCCATTCCAACATAAAGTGGCCTGGTCTCAGTTATTTGATGAAAGTTGCAAGCGAGAATTTCATCATCGCTTGCGGCTGGGATTGGCATCGTCCCCGACTCCTCCTGATGTCGAGGGTAAATGGGGGAGGTTTAGGACTGTGACTCATGCAGCTGCAATGGCTGCTTTGGGTACGCGGTCCAGACCTCCCCAGAGACCCTGGCTGACAGAGGAGGTGTTCAGGATGGTTGAGAAAAAGCGACAGGCCCACTGTCATCGGCTACAGAATCCCACGTCAGAGAATGAGGAGGCTTACCGCAGCCTTCGCTCGGAGGTTCGGAGAGCCGTGAGGCGCTGCAAGGATGGGTGGTGGTCGCAGGTTGCTAAGGAGATGGAGTCTGCCTCAGTGGCCCGTGATCACAAATCTCTATTTAACTCCATCAAAAAAGTAACCTGCAGCGCCACACCTATTACCATCATTAGGGGAAAAAACGGTGATCCAATCTCCGACCCCCAGGAACAGGTTCGCAGATTTGCTGAGCATTTCTGTGAGATCCTGGGGGAGGGAAAATCCCTCAGCCAGGAAAACATCGTGGCACAAAGTGAGGATGACCCTGCCGAGGCTGCGGTGCCTCAAATATTGGATGAAGTCACCCCCTGTAAGTGGCTGGCTGAGGTGCCATCTGCTGAGGAAGTATTGAAGGCGATCTGGAGTCTGAGACCAGGAAAGGCAGCGGGCAGAGATGATCTCCCAAGCGAAATGCTGAGGGAGGGTGGCGTTTGTGCACAGACTGCCCTATATGACATCATAACAACAGTCTGGACCACTGGACGGGTTCCGCAGGATTGGAAGGATGCCCTGGTGGTCCCCCTTTTTAAAAAGGGGGACCGCACAGACTAACAACTACAGGGGCATCTCACTCCTCAGTGTGCCGGGAAAGGTCCTGGCAAGGATTATTCAGCATCGCCTTGCCAGGCACGCTGAGGAGAGGCTTGCGGAGCCCCAATGCGGTTTCAGGAAAGGGCGGTCCTGCACAGATGCCACATTTTCTGTCCGTCTGCTACAGCAGAGGTGTAGGGAATTCCAACAAGATCTACATCTCTGCTTTATTAACCTGGTCAAGGCCTATGATACCGTCAGTAAGCCTGGACTCTGGGTCGTTCTTCGTGCTTTTGGAGTACCTGACCCTCTGCTCACGATCATTAAGGACCTTCATGATGGTGAGCGGGCCCAGGTAAAACTACGTGGCCGGGAGTCAGAGCCATTCCCTGTACACCTTGGGGTGCGACAGGGATGTCCTCTGGCTCCCACATTATTAAACATCTATTTTGACCACGTAGTTCGTGAAGCCTTCAATAGCTGTACCGGGGGAATCTCCATATGGTACAGATATAATGGGAGGCTAATCGATGCCCGGGTGCGGTCAAGGGATGGCTCCCTATTGCTCAACCACGTTATGTATGCTGATGATTTGGTAATAGCTGCTCAGTCAGAGGAGGAGTTGGAGACGCTGCTGCTGAGACTGGAGCGTGCCACTAAGAGGTGGGGCCTTACCATCAGCCCCACCAAAACTAAACACCTGCCTGGGTATTTTGTACCATCGGACACTCCACCCCCACAACTCCCAATCGGTGATGGGGCAGTTGTGGAGAGAGTGGAGAGTTTCCCATACCTGGGCAGTGTGCTTATGACTGGCTCCAGTTTAACAGCAGAGGTCTCACTCCGAATCAGTCGAGCAGCAATATCTTTTCATCGGTTGCGTAACGCTTTGTGGAAGCTACCTGGTCTGTCGCTCCGCACTAAGCTTCAGGTCTTCTCGGCCACGGTCATTCCCTCCCTTCTCTACGCTTGCGAAACGTGGACCCCCCTAATGGAACATCTTCGCCGGTTATAAACATTTAGGCTGGCCTGCCTACGATCCATCCTGGGTTTAACCAGACTGGATTGTGTGAGGAGCTCACAAATCCTTGAAAGATCTGGGCAAGGTCCCATCGGTGAGCTCCTCCGGCAGGCAAGGCTGCGATGGCTGGGTCATGTAGCCCGCATGCCCAGCCACCGCATGCCGAAACAGTTTTTGTTTGGCCGGATTGAGGGGGCTAAGCAGGCGCGGCACGGGCTAGCGAAGAGATGGAGTGGTTTGGTACAGGAGGACGTGGAGCTGAGTGGACTTGCCGATGACTGGTACCAGCGGTGTCAAGATCGGCCTCTGTGGAGGAGGCTCGTGAAGGATGCTACTGGGCAGTTGGAGGTAGTCGCCCTCCAACAACAACGGAGGGCGGAGGAGCGACGCTCAGAACAACGAGCGGAGCGCCGGGTGGCTAAAGCACAGAAGGTTGGCACAGTAGGGGGCACAGGTGGTGCATCAGCCAGTCATCTCAGTCAGTCGACCCGTGGCACCTGGGTCTGCCCCGTGACCTCCTGCCAGCGGGCGTTCGACACTTCACGTGGCCTCAGGGTGCACATAGCCTGGCACAAGCGTCGTGGTGACGTCACCGCCACTTAGTGGCGAATGGCAGTTGTTGTGTGGACCACGTGTGTGTGTGTGGGCCACGTGTGTGTGTGTATGTGTGTGTGTGGACCACGTGTGTGTGTGTGTGTGCCACGTGTGTGTGTGTATGTGTGTGGGCCGCGTGTGTGTGTGCGTGTGTGAACTCCCCCACAAGTCACTCACGTTGGGGTGGTCAAGGAAGGCGAAGGCAAGGAAGCTGAACCGGTTGGCCCACGACTGCGTCGTGTGGTTCATCACCCACTTCTCCGCAATGCACCTGTACACACACACACAGACAAAGGGTCCCCCCCCCCGTGTAGCCTTAGACTTAAAGCTTTCGTGACTGCAGGAATTAGTCTTTGGTTCTTTCGGTAAAGTCACGTAGAAAGAAAATAAGTTAAATTACCTAATACGACGTTTCGATTGCAACACAAGCATTCGTCATCAGGTAGAACTAAATTTGAGAGAGACGCACAACATAGACACACACAGAAAGAGACGCACAACATAGACACACACAGAAAGAGACGCACAACATAGACACACACATACAACAGACACACACAGAGACGAGCAAGGCACACAGAGATGCGCAACATACACACACAGAGACGCACAACAGACAGACCACAAGCAGAGAGAGACAACACAGAAACGCACAGAGAGAGACACACACACACACTACTGTCTCCGCGTTGTCTCTCTCTGCTTGTGTGTCTCCGTGTCTGTGTTTTGTCTCGCTCGCAAATTTAGTTCTGCCTGATGATGATTGCCTGTGTTACAATCGAAACGTCGCATTTCGTTATTTAATTTGTTTTACTTCTAGCCTTAGACTGTAGGGGCAAGTGCTGTGAGCGAGCAGCACCTATGAAGGCCGGCACGGCACACGAGGGGGTGGTGGGTGGCCAGCACCCACCACACACCGCAGCAGGTAGTCATTTTGATGCCGAGTCGACCTTGGGGAGGCCCAAGGACAGTTCAGTTAATCGTCACTGGATGTTGACCGCAAAAGTGGGAATCCATCCCGGGTCACCGGGTCCCGCAAGCACAGTGCGCTAACCGCTATGCCACCACTCCCGAAATCTGTACACACAGAAGATCATCGATTATCCGGCAGCTTCGGGGGGAGGGGGGTTTGGGGGGGAAGGAGACGCCGATTTAAAAAAAAAACGCCGAATAAATCACTAATTGTTATTTAAAATAGATTATTTTTTGCACAACATTTATGGTTTTTAGGCGTTGTTGCACAAAATTTATGGATTAGCGTTATAGATTTGTTTACCGTGTTAAATTGTTATTAATAAACATATAAAATAAACAAATAAAACTGAAAAGTTACTGTGTTTACCGTACCTCACCACTCAAAATCTCTAAGACTCCCCAACGTGGGGCGATGTACATGGTGACTACGCTCGTGTGTTAACAACGCGATCGAGTTTGACGATCACTGGACTGGTTTACAGCCCTTGCCGGATCAGCCCGGATCATGTTGGAAGCCTGATAATTGATGATCAATTCTATAGACAACATTCCCCCCACCACTACCACCACCACCACCACCACCGCACGCATGCAGAGGAGACCGTCTCTTTCAAAAACCACGCTCCCGCAAACAAAAGACCGTGCAACAATGCCCCCCGCCCGACCATCAACAATGACAGCCTCTCATTAAAAACAAAGCTTCTGCGCCGAGTGCCATCTGTAACAATTCCTGCGATTGAACCATCAAATCCTCCGTCGAAAAATCAGCAAAACGCAAGCAAGCGACGGGCTAAAAAAAAAAAAAAGGGGGGGCCAAGACCCCAATAGTCCTAAGCGCCGGGCGTGTCCGTTGTACTGCGCTCCGCTACGCTCCCTCGCCTGCGAGAGACGAGCGAGTACCGCACGGGGTCGGCGGGCTCTCTGGACGGCGTGGCGTAGCAGTACTGAGTGACGATCACCAGGCCCAGTGAGGAGTTGGTTCCTTCCAACGAGCACTGAAATTAGGGGTGGGGGGGGGGGGGAGCCACAACCAACACTGCATGGAAAAAAACGAGGAAGACTAAAAAAAACAACCACGGGCACAGATTCCACCGCCCCCCCCCTCCCCCCAGCGTGCGTTTGGTAACGGGGAAAAGTTTCAATAAGAAAAAAACATTGAGACTGGTGCCGAGTCTATGATGCAATGCCGAGTCTATGGTGCAGTGCCGAGTCTATGGGGCAGTGCCGAGTCTATGGGGCAGTGCCAAGTCTATGGTGCAGTGCCGAGTCTATGGGGCAGTGCCGAGTCTATGGGGCAGTCATAATAAAGGTTTTTGGGTTAGATCGCGTTTATTTATAAATGTGTCGTAACCCTCCACCACCCGACACGGCCAATCAGCAAAGAAAAGTGTCACGTTGACAAAAGACAAATAATTCACTACTTCAGCCCACCGGTGTGTTGAAGAGTTAATCCACATTTACAGTTTGAGTACGACGTTTCGCTGGTAAATACTTCCAGCATCATCGGGCAATTCGCCAGAATTTCTGGCGAATTGCCCGATGATGCTGGAAGTATTTACCAGCGAAACGTCGTACTCAAACTGTAAATGTGGATTAACTCTTCAACACACCGGTGGGCTGAAGTAGTGAATTATTTGTCTTTTGTCAACGTGACACTTTTCTTTGCTGATTGGCCGTGTCGGGTGGTGGAGGGTTACGACACATTTATAAATAAACGCGATCTAACCCAAAAACCTTTATTATGAATAATATTGGTCGCGAAAGCCTACGTGTCTATGGGGCAGTGTTGAGTCTATGGGGCAGTGTTGAGTCTATGAAACCTTTTTGCATCGTCCATACATAGCCAACCAGGCTACTTTGGAGGTACGTGGGGGGGGGGGGGGTACAAACTGGGCTTTCGTGCTGCCCAAACCACCACCACGAGCTTCCTCCCCCCCCCTACCCACACCCCCTCCCCCCCTACCCCCCCCCCTACCCACACCCCCTCCCCCTGCCTGCTGCCCGGGGTGGCGTGGGCACCTCGAAGTAGAGGCGCTGGAAGTTGGAGGGGCGCAGGGGGTAGTCGTCGTCACGGTACGCCCGCGAGAAGTCGGCAGCGTCGTAGAAGCGCATGGCGGCGTGCAGCTCCCCTCGCTCCGCGTGGCTCAGCGAGAGGAGCTCCACGCCGGGCCGCAGACGCTTGCTCGTCAGCAGCATCACCCGCTTCAAGATGCACCTGGGGTTGGTGGGTGGTGGTGGTGGTGGAGTAGGAGGCAAGACGGCGCGCAGGAGATTACACAGCAGAGGCAACTTCCCCCCCCCCTCCCCAAAATAAAAAGCTCGATTTTTTTTAAGGAACTAAAAAGGGGGTGGAGGACTTCTCCACAAATCTGGCCGCTGTCCGCCTGATGTCGGTTGTAATTCCTGGCGAAACGTCGTACACTCAGATTGTAAGTGTTGTGGCCTGGCTCTCCACCACACAACCGGTGTGCTGTACCAGGCGACGAATTGTGAACGTTCTGTTTACGTGACAAACCTTACCGATTGGCTGGGTCGGGTGGTGGCGGGTTTAACGACGCATTTATATTGTCACGTAATCCAATGCGCAAAAAAAACCGATACAGTATTATGGATATTGGGTCACGAAAACGTCCGTGTTAAACCAACTTTTTTTTTTACTACCGTTTAACTAATTTTTTTATACCAAATCCACGAGTTATTAGCGTACGTCAAAATCTCCGCAAAAAAATCAGATAAACCGCGCGCAGATAATCGAGAGTCGACTCTAGACGAACGTGGAAGCGGAGCACCCGGACGAACGGAAACGAAACTCCGCCACATGCAGACAGAAGAGACGGAGTTCACATTTGCCGTACCGCCCTTCCATCGCTAATTCTACTTTACTATTTTTTCATATTTTACCCCACCGAGCTACGTAGCTCTTTTGTCAGAAGCGACCTGGCTGTCAAATAGCGGCTTTATCATCGCGGGGAAAATGTACAGCAGCGGGAAAACACTCTGAACGCGTGACGTCGATTCTAAAAATGTGGGGGAGAAAAACCGGAGGATCCGGGAGAAAAATCCACTCGGCCACAAGGAGCGAGAGCCACGCTGCTAAGATTCGCAGCGTTCAATGAAGCGCTGTCGTCCCGACAGTTCTGTTCCTTCACCTGAAGAAGGCTACTTGTGTTTGTGGCCGAAACGTCGTGAGAATGAAATTGTCTTATTTTGTTTAATTGTTTTATTCTCATTCTACGTGACTTTACCGAAAGAACCAAGAAGTTGAATCATTGCAGTCACAAAAGCTTTACATCGAAATGTAATAAATAGTGTTGCTCCCAGGACAATGTCTGTGACTCGGTTGGACTCACTACAATAGTAACAGGTTTTTACCCTTTCGGGCAATAAAGCAGGTGGTGTTAAGACGTCTCAAACACAAAAATAGAAGCTTTTGTGCAAGGCGTCATCAAGTCTGCATTAACCACACACGGGGACACCTGTGGCAAAAACACGCAGGGAAAAAACGCGTCTCTGATAACGATGTCACGCCTTGTCTTTGCAACCGATTGGGCCTACGCCAGAGACGGCCTTCTATATGGCCGTGGTCTCGCCAGCCACCGGTGATAGACCAGAGAACAGTGGCAGTACAAAAGGAAACGCGAAGTGTTAAGAGACAAAGGGGCCGCCCATAAATGACGTCACGCACCTGGGGGGGGGGTGTCAGACATTTGTGATGAGAGGGGGGGGGTGGGGTTTGAGAAACGTGACGTCACATCAAAATGCGCAACTTTAAACAAATATAGAATTGTTATAACAACACTCCTACAACATCAGAGTGCAGCGCCACATTAAATACGCACTACAATGATAATAGTTTAAAGCGATTAGAAGCATGTTTTATAAAAAAACATTGGGGGGGGGGGCAGATCTTTGTGACATCATATTTGAGGGGGGACCAAAAATCGTCCAAAATCGCGTTACGTCATTTATGGACGCCTCCCCAATGCACGTGTAAAGGGAGAGCCGGCACAAGGTTGCAGGGAAGGTTCGTCTTTTACCGCTTCCCCCAGTCCACTCGTCCCCAGCCCTTCTCTCTCCTCGTTTTTCCTGCCAGTCCTCTCTCTCTTACATCTCCTCATCTGCTCCCCCCCCACCCACCTCCTCTTGGTGGGAATCCTTCCCCTGACATCCCTTACACATGTATGATCAGGACAGGGGCGGTAATCGGGATAACCGGATATCCGGCTGTTGCAAAATGCTGCAGGCTGCCACCTTGTGCTGCCCTGCAGGCTGCTTGAGCGGCAGCCTTTCGAACTTCTCGAACTTATCAGCCACATCAACGGCTCCGACCGATTAATAAACTCCGCGTTCAAATCCAATAAAATTTTGTTTTATACATTTGTGGTGCCCATTGGAAAACAAACACTGAGATATCTCAGAATATTGAAGTCAGCCCCCCTCCCCAAAGTCAAAATCCTGGCTCCGCCCCCGATCACAGCATATTTGTTTGCATGTCTTGCCGCAAAGCACGTGTGGTCAATGCAGACGTGACGCCTTGCAATTGGGCATCTATTTATTGCCGGAAATGGCAAAAACCTATTCTTAATTTCCATGCTTTGATACTGGAAAAAAAAATGTATACCATGATGTAGCTGCTGCTCACCGCGGGCTGTAAACGCTCTGACACGTGTGTGGCATTGCCCTTGTCCTGTTCGCCTTGTGGCGTTGTTCTCTGGTCTGACACTGGTGTTGAGACTGGGCCATGAAGAAGCCCGCTGCTGTAGGCCAATCAGTCTCAAAGACGACGCATCACACACACGTTAGTATCAGTGCCACGTTTGTGTTTGCGTGTTCACCACAAGCACGGTGTTGTGGTTGATGCAGAAACTTGATTCCTTGCTAAAACGTTCATATTTGGTGTTTGAGCATGTTAAAACACAACTGCTGTTTTATTGTCAGAAAGGGTAAAAAAAAACAACCCATTCTTATTTTTCGTTTCCATAAATGTTTTGATGCTGGCAAAAAAAAAAAATCGGGGTCAGGGCGAGAGCAGAGGTAGAGGAGGGGACGGGAAACGGTGTTTGTATTTATGATTTATTTTAGATTGCACTCACTGGAAGACGATGTCGACTTTGCGTATCTGGTAGGTGATCACCGAGTCCGAGGTCCGTTGGAGTCGCAAGCGCTGGGTGAAGATGAACCGCTTCGAGTCCTCCTGCGGCGGGAGAGTCGCACAGCACGCACAGAACAGAGCCGCCGGCGTCAACCCTCCACCCAGGACTACAGAAACCGCGCGCCAAGTGGCGGTTGGGCAAAAAGGACTTCGACGTTTTCGTTAAAATAAAAAAATAAAAATCCGCTGGGAAAAGTGTTGTTAGCGATCACCAGTATAATACGCTTAAATAAACACACACACGTGCAATCACGCAATACACCGGGGAGGGGATCCCCTACGCACCCGAATACCCATCACACAAGTCATCACACACACACAGCCACAAGACGAAGACCACCCGTGTAGCCTTAACAGACTGTATGGGGCAAGTGCTGTTAGCGAGCATCACCTATGAAGGCCGGAACGGTACACGACGGGGTGGGTGGCCAGCACCACGCCCGGCCGCCTTTGTCTCCCGAGTAGCGATGTTGTTTACTACACGCCGCACCAGGTACTCATTTGAGGCCGAGTCGACCTAGGGGAGGTCTATGACCGGTTCAGATAATCGTCAACGGTGTTGGCTGTGAGCGGGAATCAAATTCGGGCCGCCGGATTAGAAGCACAGCGTAGCGCTAACCACTACAATCAAAGATCCCCCGTGTAGCCTTAACAGACTGTAGGAGCAAGTGCTGTCACAGCAAGCACACACACACTCTCGTCCCCTCTCCTCCATTATAGTTACGCGTGCGACGATCAATCACCTTCAGCCATGGTCCATCCACTGCTGGACGCTCCCCCCCCCCCCCCCCCCAAGCCACTGCCTCTCTTCTCACAGCACCCCAGGCCCAGCACGGCCCCACCCCCCCTCCCACGCCTCAATTTATTTGGCAGTGGGTCGGGCGGTGGAGGGCCGCCGACTTGACGACACAAATCGTGCCGGATCATTACACGGCTCGACGCGAAGGATCTTCCAAATCCGTGAAGAACAAAAAACTAAAAAAAAAATCGATTGCGGAAGGAAGAAAAAAAAAAAAAATCGCACGGCGCCACCACCGCCCGCGGCAAAACTCGGGACCGCCTGCGAAGAGAGCCTCGCAGCAGCTCATCGGATTCCTCCAGCGCAAACAAACATCGCCGCTCGGACCTCGAAGGCCGTGCCGCAGGACAGGAGGCCGATGTCGAAGGTGACGAAGCGGCCCTCTTCGTGGAGGGCACAGCCCGGGCCCGACTGGGCCAGCGCCAGGTCCACAGCGCCGTAGCCCTGCAGGGCCTCGCGGCGCATCGTCACCGACATCCGCTCCCCGGCGCACACCACGTCCAGGTCACCTGAGCACGCCAGAGAGACGAAGATCACCACCCGCCACCCCCCGTGTAGCCTGGAACAGCCCGTCACGAAAGGTCGCCACAGTGGCACACGAGGGGGCTTGGGTGGCCAGCGCCACCCCTCCGCCCGCCCGCGTCGCACCCGGTGGCGATGTTTCGGCCGCGCACCGCAAACCGGGTAACTCATTTGGAGGCCCAGTAGACTTGCATAGAACACGCACACACACAGGCTGGCACGGCTCGCGTGTGGCAGTGGGGAAAAAGAGAGATTGATATGAAAAAATAAGAATAGGTTTTTACCCTTTGTGCAATAAAACGGGGGGGGGGGGGGGGGGGGGGGGTGGGGGGGTGTTAAGATGTTCAAACACCAAATATAAACGTTTTGTAAGGAATCGAGTTTCTGCATTCACCACACACACAGCGGTACTTGTGGTGAACATGCAGACACAAACATGGCTCCAATACTAATGTATGTGATGCATCGTCTTTGAGACTGATTTGGCCTACGCCAGAGACGGCGGCCTTCTCTTCATGGCCCAGCCTCACCACCAGTGTCAGACCAGAGAACGACTCCGCAAGGCGAACAGCACAAGGGCAATGGCCTCACGCATCAGAGCGTTTATAGCTCTGGGTCGATAGATTGTAGCCTCGATGGGCACGTGGAGCGGAGCTCTCTCACCTGCCGCCTTCACGACCACGTCAACGCAGCGCACCTCGGACTGTCGCCTGCCCACCACCACCAACAACACAACAACAACAACAACACAACACCAACAACAACAACAACAACGTCAAACGCAGAGGCGGCCTGGGTGGTCGTCAACGTCGGCGCAGGTCTTAACTAAAAAACACTTTTTTTAAATGTTACCAGATCAAGGGCCCCCACTGTGCTGTGTAGCTCGTGTTCAGAAGAGACTTGACAACGAATGATAGCTCAACTCAGTGGGCTCATCGTCATCATCATCACCACCACCACCGCATGGAAACGTACATCAGTCGCAAAAATACCTTTAAAAATGCGTGATGTTGATTATAAAATGTGGAGAGAAAAACCAGAGGACCCGGGGAAAAATCCACGTGACCACGGAGAGAGAGAGACACGCAAACTCCAAATATACAGAAGCAGCAGGTGTCATTATCGGGATTGAACCCATGACCTCCTGTACACTAGGCGAGGTAGTTAACATCTCCTAGCCACCGTGATGATGAGAGAGAGACACACGCAAACTCCAAATATACAGCAAGCGTCAGGGTCGGGATCGAACCCACGACCTCCTGTACACCAGGCGAGGTAGTTAACATCTCCTAGCTACCGTGATGATGATGAGACACACGCAAACTCCACATATACAGAAGCAGGTGTCATTATCCGGATTGAACCCATGACCTCCTGTACACCAGGCGAGGTAGTTAACATCGCCACTTTCGAGCCCCGTGAAGCCGATGGCGCATCGCATGGGGGTGAGTGGGGAGGGGGGTGAGTGGGGAGGGGGGAGGGGGGGCTCAGGGCAACGATCTGGAGGACCGCCGCTCTCACCCCTCAGAGTCCTCGGCGTAGAGGCACAGCCAGTTGGATCCCAGGTCACGGGGTCGCGGGGTCCACGTGACGGTGGCGAGGAAGACCCCCGGGCGCGAGGGGTCGCTCGCGGGGGCGGACGTCCGCACGCCGTCCAGCGTGAGCGCGGCGAGCAGGGCCACGTGCACGCTGGAACATGGCCACTCTGGTCGTCATTATCCTCGTCATTATCCTCTTCGCCGTCCGCAGCCGTCAGCATTCACCGTCGTCGTCGTCGCTTTTACCGTCGTCGCCGTCGCCGTCGCGACGGCGATGCGGCCCCGGGCGCTCGAGCATTCGCCCACCTCTTGGTGCAGCGGTTCGAACCCCGCAGGCCACCCCGGCGATTATCGCGGCGGTCGGCACAAAATTTCTACGCGCGCCGTTCCGCGTCGCAGATGTACTGCGACGGTCGTTCGAAAGGGGCGGGGCGGGGCGGGGGGGGCGGGGGGGGCGGGGGGGCTCCCGGTGGCAAACGTGCCACGTTTGTGAAGCGTCGCACCGCAAATTTACTCCGCCCTGGGATTACAGACGGGCGCCACGGTGGCCAGGAGATGTCGTGGGTTCGATCCCCATCCCGACGCCGGTATTGTTGCAGCCTGCCACGTCGCCCCTCTTCCGCACGGTCGCGTGAATTTTTTCCCCCAGCCGCATTGAGAGTCGACGTCGCGCGTTTAGAGTATCTGGACACTGCAAATAAATGTCCACGTGATGAGCCACTTTCTCATTTGGGCCATCACTTGCGGCCAGGTCAGATTGGGCCTCGTCGCCTTTCTGAAGAAAGGCGACGAGGCCCAATCTGACTCCCCCCCCCCTCTCGGCTCTATATAGACACGAGGACTTGTTTCGGCAGCCCGTTTCTCTATCCCACCTGAGGACGATTGCTTGTGTGGCGATCGAAACGTCGGGATAGATTATTTTTTCGACCCACGTGACTTTACTTGAAAGAACCAAAGAGTATGGGAATTCCTGCAGTCACGAAAGCTTCAAATCAAGATAAATAAAATAAAGAGACCATTGGAAACCTCATTTGCCAGTAACAAAATATGATAATTGGTTTTTTACCCTTTTATCTGGCAACAAAACTGGCACCTTTTTTACAAGGAGTCATGTTTACATTGACCACAATACCCATTTTGTTACTGGCAAATGAGGTTTCCAATGGTGTAAATGCTTACCCCGAGCTCTCATACTCTGATGTCTCGGGTGTGGACTAATCAATTTCAAGGACAGTGCCACATACATTATCAGAGTTGTTGTTTTTTGTTTGCGTTCCGACCGCAGGTATTGTGGTCAATGTAAACATGACTCCTTGTAAAAAAAAGGTGTCAGTTTTGTTGCCAGATAAAAGGGTAAAAAACCAATTATCAAAATAAAGAGAGTTTAGATAAAAGTTTCATATCGCAAAACATCATCCCCCATCCCCCCCCCCCCCACCTAGGAGACTGCTGCCCGCTTGTTGCAGTGCGAGCTGCAGTCGCCTTCTCCCGCACAGGGGCAGCTGCCACTGACGGTGGGGGTGGTGCCCTTCTAAAACGGTCGAAGCGCAGCAGTAGAAAAAGCAAATTTCGCTTCGAGTTCAACAATTATTCTCGCCGATCGTAGGGCGCGACCTTGACCTTACGACCCCCGGTGAATTAAGGCAGGGGGCAGCGGGGAGGGGGGGGATGGGGGGGGTCAGCCTCACCTGCGTCTGGGTGACCCCGCCGACACCGAGAGATGGACGGACATCGTGAACGCGCGGGCGATGGTGGCGGAGAGCTCGGCGCCGTGGGGCGGGGAGTCCGGGACGAACGTCGGCTGCGACGAGCAGGGCAGGGGCGACTCCACGACTGGGAACGCAACAAGGGGACCGGGAATGGCACCCTGCGCAGGAGGTTGTTGCTGTAGGCGTTGTGCGCGGCAGTCTACTTGCGCCTCGCGGTCGGCGCCCAGTGTGGCCCAGGCTAAAGGTTTAATGACCAAGGACGACGACAGCCACGTGCAGCCTGTAACAGGCCGTAGGGGGGCAAGCGCCGTTAAGCGGGCAGCACCTGTGAAGGCCGGCACGGCACACGAGGGGGGTGGGGGGATGGCCGGCACCACGCCCGGTACTCATTTGAGGCCGAGTCCACCTAGGGCGAGGCCCAGGACCGGTTCAGATTAAGCGTCAGTGGCGTCGACCCCGAGCGGGAATCGAAAGTCGGGTGGTCGGGTTCGTAACGAGATGTCAGCCACCTCGCCTGGTATACAGGAGGTCGTGGGTTTGGGTGTCCTCCCCGTGGGGTGCGTGGATTTCTCTCCCGGGCCCTTCGGCTTTATCCCCTCAACGTTTAGAGTATTTGGCTGCTGCTATAAAGATCCACGTGACGATGATAAGCCACCTCGATGAGCTGTCATGTGACCAAGTCGCTTCTGAAAAAAAAAAACCCACCTAAATATGGGGTGGGGAGGCGCCTGAAATTGAGTCCTGGCTTTCAACCCGGAATCCCAAACCCACTAAACCCTGAAACCAGATTGATCCTAAATACAGCCCCCCCCCCCAGCGTCCCAGGCCCCCCCCCCCCAGCGTCCCCCCCCCCCCAGCGTCCCAGCCCGAGTGGGCCCTCACATTCCAGCAGGAACTGCAGCGGCACCAGCGACAAAGGGGCTCCCCCCGGCGACGAGAAGTCCGAGACGGTCATCACGACGGCGAACCGCCCCGTGGGGTACAGCACCGGGCGGCCGACCCGGATCTCGCAGGCGTCCTGACGGCACCGCGGGGGGGAGACGGACTTGGGGAGCGAGCACGTGCCGAGAGGCAAAACGCCGGACAAAGATCTCTCCCCCCCCGCCCCTACCCCTCCGGTCCCACTCGGCGGAAGTTCCCGCGCGAGCCACGCTGCACGAGTGTCTCTCCCCGCGTGTCTCTCCCCGAGTGTCTCTCCCCGAGTGTCTCTCCCCGAGTGTCTCTCCCCGAGTGTCTCTCCCCGAGTGTCTCTCCCCGAGTGTCTCTCCCCGAGTGTCTCTCCCCGAGTGTCTCTCCCCGAGTGTCTCTCCCCGAGTGTCTCTCCCCGAGTGTCTCTCCCCGAGTGTCTCTCCCCGAGTGTCTCTCCCCGAGTGTCTCTCCCCGCGTGTCTCTCCCCGCGTGTCTCTCCCCGCGTGTCTCTCCCCGCGTGTCTCTCCCCGCGTGTCTCTCCCCGCGTGTCTCTCCCCGCGTGTCTCTCCCCGCGTGTCTCTCCCCGCGTGTCTCTCCCCGCGTGTCTCTCCCGCGTGTCTCTCCCCGCGTGTCTCTCCCCGCGTGTCTCTCCCCGCGTGTCTCTCCCCGCGTGTCTCTCCCCGCGTGTCTCTCCCCGCGTGTCTCTCCCCGCGTGTCTCTCCCCGCGTGTCTCTCCCCGCGTGTCTCTCCCCGCGTGTCTCTCCCCGCGTGTCTCTCCCCGCGTGTCTCTCCCCGCGTGTCTCTCCCCGCGTGTCTCTCCCCGCGTGTCTCTCCCCGCGTGTCTCTCCCCGCGTGTCTCTCCCCGCGTGTCTCTCCCCGAGTGTCTTTTTCGGTTTTCGTGCCGTGTCTTTTCGTCGACGGTCACGTTTCCCCCCCCCACCCGCACCACGCCACCCAGATCCTCGCGTCACAGCAGGCAGCAAAAAGGCACCGACACAAAACCACCACCAGCACCACCACCACGTGAACGCCGGCCATCCTCGCAGCAGCAGCAGCAGCAGCGGCGGCGGCTTTTGGCGCAAGCATCAAACGAAAACGGCGATCGCCGCACCGCTCCGGAGCTTTCAGGCGCGCTTCTGCGGCCGTCTGGAACGCTTCTCCCACCCGATGTTAGCAAAGCCACTGGGGGGGGGGGGGGGAGCTTCGATGCACTTTTAAAAACTCGTCATTTAAGGGAGTGACAAACTCATTCCTTTGGAACGGGATTTTTTTGTGCGCCACCTCCGATGAGCATGCTCAAGCGACGTACGGTGCCGAAGAGTTGAACGTGCGCACGAGCTCGCGACACCAAAGACGCATCGCGACTTCGAAATACAAAAATTTGCCCCCGGGGTTTCCGTGTACAGGGCCAAAGAAAAATGTCTAAAAAAAGGCCCCCCCAAAAAAAAAAGGTAAACAAAGAGCAAATAACATTCTTCACAAGACCCCCAAAAAAATAAAAGGGGTAAAAAAAATAAAAACGCCTAAAAACGCCAGCGGAGAAGCGGAGTCGTGCGTACAGAGTCCATGACGGCATTCTCGATGGACCCCTCCGTGACCCCGTGGGGGACCCCATGGGGGACTCCTCCGTGGGGGACTCCTCCGTGGGGGACACCAAAGGGGTCCCCGAAGGCGCAGCGCACGCGGTCCCTGTCGGGGTCCACGACCCGCACGCGCAGCGTCGCGTTGCAGCGGTTGTTCAGCCTGCACGGTGGGGAGAGGCGACAGAGAGAGAGGGTGGAGGGGTGAGAGAGCGGTAGAGGTGAGAAAATCTGGAGTGGAGAGAGCTGCGGGGAAGAGAGGACGAGTGGTAGGGAGTTGTTAACTACCTCGCCCGATATACAGGAGGTCGTGGGATCGATCCTGGCCCCGACGCCTGCTGCGTCCCTCTCTGTGGTCGCGTCGATTTTTCTCTCGGGGGTCCCCCGGACATTCCCCTGCCCACGTTTTAGAATCGACGGCGCATCACCATCGCGATACATTTCCACGCGCTGGTGACAAGCCACCATTGTCGAGCTATCATTAAGCGTGGGCCAGGCCTCTTCCCAACAAGGGCAAGGCGCACCTCCGTGGGTGCGCCTTGCCCCGGTAATATTTAAAATAAAACACGTTGGCTTAGATGCGCGGATGAGGTGCGGCGACGCCGACGACGAGGTGGATGATGACGATTTTTTTTTTCCCGTAAAGACGGAGACTGACCGAACGAGCGGGATGACGGCGGCGCGGGGAGAGGCGTTGGGCCTTCCCGTGTCCCCGCGCACGTCCAGGCTCACGAAGGCCGCGTTCATCCAGCTCACGGCGTCGCCAGCCGTCGCGTACGACAGCGTCCCGTTGGCCTGCAGCATTAGCACATCCTCCGCCCAGCAGCATCCAAGGTTCCTAAAATCGGTCGGGGGGGGGGGGGTGGTCACGTGCGAAAGAAGTTCAACATGCGCACAAAGACAAAGATCCCCCCCCCCGTACAGCCTCAACAGACTGTAGGGGCAAGTGCTGTTAGGCAAGCACCTATGAAGGCCAGAACGGCACACCAGGGGGTGGGTGGCCAACACCACGCCCGGCAGCCTTTGTCTCCCCAGTGGTGAGGTTTACACACCGCACCCGGCTACTCATTTGAGGCCGAGTCGACCTAGGGGAGGTCTACGACCGGTTCAGATAAATCATCACCGGCGTTGTCCGCGAACCCAACTCGGGGTTTCGTAGCGCAGCGTAGCGCCAACCCGCTACACTACCACTCCCCCGCAACACACGTACACACGTACACACACACGCGCGCCGGGGTGGTGAACCCCCTTCCCCACCAGGGTCCCGAGCGGCGCCTCACCACAGAGCGGCCCAGCCGCTCGTGGCCACGTCCACCTCGAAGGTGGCCCGGGCCAGGTGCCAGCCGCCCCCGGTCGCGTGGTGGCTCCCTCCGCCCCCCTCGATGGCGCAGTGGTACGACTGGTTCCAGGATGCGGTGCAGCCGAGCCAGCAGAGCCACGGGGAGGAGGCCAAGAGGGCGCACGGAGCGGCGCCATCCAGCACCAGCGTGGATACCACGCGCAGCTGTGGGGGGGAGGGGGGGAGCAATCAAGTGCACAAGATGACCAGGATGAGTCTTGTTGGCACACGAGAGAGCGGGTGGGCGAGCCAGGGTCACCAAAAATGACAAAACGAAATAACCCACGGCGACATGGGCCAATAGAAATCGGTGCAACAACAAAGTGAGCCCTTAGCCGTATGGAGAAATGAAAAAAAACATTACGAAGGTGAATCAATGTTAAATAAATTATCTGGAGCGACAGTCGGCTCGGGCAGGTCGTGCTTCCGACTGGTCACAACACAAATACAAAATCACCGCCAATCGCTTTGTCCACAATCAGAGTCTGGGCAAAATAAGAAAGAACAAACAACACGTGGTGTCCAAATAAGAAACAAAACCACGTGGAATTTCAATTTTTTTAAAGCACAACACGTGGCGTGCCAATTTTTATTGTTAAAACACCCCCACGGTGTCCCAATAATTTAAAAAAAAAACACCTTGGCGTCGTAAAACTAGAAACACCGGAGCACAAAATCCACGGGTCACAAACGCGGTGCGATGTCCCCGCTCAGGCGAGCACCGCGGCACGGGCTGCTCGTCACCTCGCGTCGTGCACAGCTCCCTGCAAGAGCCACCGGTGGCAACTCCACACTCCCCTATAGCGGGCGAGTGGCGGGGGTGGTGGTCGTGGCGGTGGCGAGTGGCTTACACAGCCACGCCGGTGGGCTTCCGTGTTGAAAGACCTCGAAGTTGAAACGTCGCAAAAACAAACATTTACGACCACGAGCCGGCTCGCTCTGTTGGGCGTAGTCAACTTGAAGAGGTTTGTTATTCATTTGTCGATGTAAAGCTTTCGTGACTGCAGGGATTCATGTTATTGGTTCTTTCGGTAAAGTCACGTAGAAGGGAAATAATAATGGTAATATAATAAAATTCTCAAAGTTATGTGGAATCCCTCCCCGTAGAGGCGGTTCAATTTCGATTTTAAAAACTTCCACGTAACTCTGAGAATTTTATTATATTATGTTTTTATTTCTTGTTCACGTTTTCGTTTGTTGTGGTTGCACCCGATTCAAGAGCCGAATGGCTCACAGGGCTATACCAAATAAATTAACTGAAATGCCCTGAAGCTGCCGCAACAAATCAAACAAAGGTCCCCCGTGTAGCCTGTAACAGACTGTTGGGGCAAGTGCTGTTAGCACACAGATAAAGATCCCCCGTGTAGCCTGTAACACCGTTGGTGCAAGTGTTGTTAGCTAGCACACACAGATAAAGTTCACCCGTGTAACCTGTAACAGACTGCTGGGGCAAGTGTTGTTAGCTAGTACACACAGATAAAGATCCCCCGTGTAGCCTGTAACAGACTGTTGGGGCAAGTGTTGTTAGTTAGCACATACAGATAATGATCCCCCGTGTAGCCTGTAACAGAGGGTTGGGGCAAGTGCTGTTAGCACACAGATAAAGATCCCCCGTGTAGCCTGTAACACTGTTGGTGCAAGTGTTGTTAGCTAGTACACACAGATAAAGATCCCCCGTGTAGCCTGTAACAGACTGTTGGGGCAAGTGTTGTTAGTTAGCACATACAGATAATGATCCCCTGTGTAGCCTGTAACAGACTGTTGGGGCAAGTGTTGTTAGTTAGCACATACAGATAATGATCCCCCGTGTAGCCTGTAACAGAGGGTTGGGGCAAGTGTTGTTTGCTAGTACACACAGATAAAGATCCCCCGCGTAGCCTGTAACAGAGGGTTGGGGCAAGTGCTGCTATCTAGCACACACAGATAAAGATCCCCGGTGTAGCTTGTAAGGCTGTTGGGGCAAGTGCTGTTAGCTAGCACACACAGATAAAGATCCCCCGTGTAGCCTGTAATAGACTGTTGGGGCAAGTGCTGTTAGCTAGCACACAAAGACAAACATCTCGTGTAGCCTGTAACAGACTGTTGGGGCAAGTGCTGTTAGCTAGCACACAAAGATAAAGATCCCACGTGTAGCCTGTAAGACTGTTGGGGCAAGTGCTGTTAGCTAGCACGCACAGATAAAGATCCCCCGTGTAGCCTGTAAGACTGTTGGGGCAAGTGCTGTTAGCTAGCACACAAAGATAACGATCACCCGTGTAGCCTGTAAGACTGTTGGGGCAAGTGCTGTTAACTAACACACAGATAAAGATCCCCATGTAGCCTATAACAGACTGTTGGGGCAAGTGTTGTTAGCTAGCACACACAGATAAAGATCCCGTGTAGTCTGTAATAGACTGTTGGGGCAAGTGCTGTTAGCTAGCACACAAAGACAAAGATCCCCCGTGTAGCCTGTAACACTGTTGGGGCAAGTGCTGTTAGCTAACACACAGATAAAGATTCCACGTGTAGCCTGTAATAGACTGTTGGGGCAAGTGCTGTTAGCTAGCACACAAAGACAAAGATCCCCCGTGTAGCCTGTAACAGACTGTTGGGGCAAGTGTTGTTAGCTACCACACAAAGACAAAGATCCCACGTGTAGCCTGTAATAGACTGGTGGGGCAAGTGCTGTTAGCTAGCACACACAGATAAAGATCCCACGTGTAGCCTGTAACAAACTGTTGGGGCAAGCGCTGTTAGCGAGCTGCACCTATGAAGGCCGGCACGGCACACGAGGTGGGTGAGGGAGGGGGGGGGGGCACCACCATGCCCGGCCGCCTTTGTCTCCAAATCCCCACACCCGCCCCCCCCCTCCCAAAAAAAATCGTGGGGCCTGGCGCAGCAGCACGGATCCGAGTCGCCGCCCTCACCTGATGTCGTTGCTGCTGATGTAACGGTGGTGCTGCTGGTAATGTAACCACATCGATCCTCACGGTCCCTCCAATCAGCTGCACGTTGCCCATTGCCGACGGCACTCCGAAGCAGAGCAGCAGCAGCAGCAGCGCCTGTAGAGCACCGGGGATCATCATTCTGCTCGTCGTTGGAGGCGGGGGGGGGAAGAGGTTGGCTCCGAATAGAATCGTGGAAAATGTTTAAGGTTGCAATCTTGATTTTGAAAAAAACTTTTTGCAAAAAAAAAACCGAGAAAAGTTGATATTCTGTTGGAAATCAAACGCCTTTCGTGTAGTGCGCGTTATCAACAACGCGCGTACTACACACACACATAGTTGATCACGTGTACAACTTGATGCTGTGTACGCGCGTGTCGGCTAGACGTCGGCTCCTTCAGTGGACGGGCCCAACACGCGGATGGGCCAGCGAGCCACGCATTTTAAATTAATAAATAAATGTTCCCAAACCACCCGCCCCTCCCCCAGACCCCTGATTAACCAATTAAATAATTAGCGCGCCCCCCCCCCCTACTCGCTCATTAATTTATATCAAGACCCGCAATGTTTCAGACGGGCAAGACAAAGCTCCCCCGTGTAGCCTTTTGCCAGAATGTTGGGGGCAAGTGCTGTCAGCAAGGCGCGCCACGGTGGCTAGGAGATGTTAACTACCTCGCCTCGTGTACAGGAAGTCGTGAATTCGATCCCAACCCTGACGCCTGCTGCTGTGTATTTGGAGTTTGCGGTGTCTCTCTCTCTCTCATCATCATCACGGTGGCTAGGAGATGTTAACCACCTCGCCTGGTGTGCAGGAGGTCGTGGGTTCGATCCCAACCCTGACGCCTGCTGCTGCTGTATATTTGGAGTTTGCGGTGTCTCTCTCTCATCATCATCACGGTGGCTAGGAGATGTTGACTACCTCGCCTGGTGTACAGGAGGTCGTGGGTTCGATCCCAACCCTGACGCCTGCTGCTGTATATTTGGAGTTTGCGTGTCTCTCTCTCATCATCACGGTGGCTAGGAGATGTTAACTACCTCGCCTGGTGTGCAGGAGGTCGTGGCTTCGATCTGCTGTATATTTGGAGTTTGCGGTGTCTCTCTCTCTATCTCCCCGTGGTCACGTGGATTTTTCTCCAGCTTCCCTCGACGTTTAGAAACACGCTTTGAGAGTATTTGGCGGCTGCTGTACATTTCCACACGACGATGATGATGACGATGAATATGACGATTATGACTATGATGATGACGACGATGATGACGATGAGCCCACTTTGGTTGAGATGTCATTTGTGATGGTCAGGGTCGCTTCTGAACGCCCGGCCGCCTTTGTCTCCCCAGTGGCAATGTTTTACACATCGCACCAGGTGCTCATGTGGGGCTGAGTCGACCTATGCGAGGCCCGGTTCTCGTGATCGTCACTTTTGTCGGCATGTGAGCGAGACACAACGACAAAGATTCCCCGTATAACTTTCTAAAAGGATGTTGGGGCAAGTGCTGTTAGCGAGCAGCACCTATGAATGCTACCAGCACTGTGGCACACGAGGGAGTGGGTGGCCAGCAACCACGCCCGGCCGCCTTTGTCTCCCCGGTGGCGTTGTTTACTACACGCAGCACCAGGTACTCATTTGAGGTGAGGTCAACCTAGGGGAGGCCCAGGACCGGTTCAGATAATCGTCGCTGGTGGTGTTGGCCGTGAGCGGGAATTGAACTCGGACCGCCGGGTTCGTAGCGCTAACCGCTGCACCACCGCTCCCCACCACTCAACATACAGACACGCGCACGCTTACAATCAACCTCCCGTGACACCACTTAACGATATCCACGTCACACAGCACGTGACAAGGCGATTTTGATCGTAAGAGCCAATTGGTACGCAGCTTATATTAAACCGTGCTTGCCAATTTAGTTCGACGGCGATGATTGTGATCGATTGCGTCCAGGAGTTTCGAGTGAGACGTCGATTTCATCTCGCTAGGCCAATCAAGGGACCGGTTTATTGTTCACCTGTGCCAGGCAAGTTGTGGCTGAGCGGGGTTTTTAATCAGCTGCCGGAATGCGCCCGCTCCGCTCACGTCTTAGCAGCTCAGCGTGGAGTTTTTTTTTAGATGCTTGGACGTACGTAGCGTGTGTGCGTGTGTGGTGAACTTATTTCTCTCCGTACGTAGCCAACCGTGCTAATCGGAGGTGCGCTGTTGAGTCCATGCACGTGGACTCACCTGCACCTCCGATAAGCGCGTTAGGCGACGAAAGGCAATATTAGAAGTTCGGCGTACAGTCCATACGCTGCATAGATCCTTCGTTAGTTGTTGCGTGTCTGTTACGTGAAAAGACAAAGACTCGTCAATAAAGGACATACGTGGAGGAAACGAAATATTGCAAATCATTAACTGCAACTTGGGTCTGTCAACAGTTTAAATGAGCAATTATTTTGTTTTGTTTGACAAATATGTATATGTTCTAGGATCGAAGCTTTCGTGACTGCAGGAATTACTATACTCATTGTTTTTTTTCGGTAAAGTCAAGTATGTAGAAATACAATAGAATAAATCACGACGTTTCAAACGCAACACAAGCGCTCGTCCTCAGGTGAAAATGTCGCAAACCACAGAGCGAGGGAACACACAGAGGGACATCACACACAGAGAGACATCACACACAGAGGGACATCGCACACAGAGAGACATCACACAGAGAGAGACATCACACACAGAGAGTCATCACACACAGAGGGACATCACACACAGAGGGACATCACACACACAGAGAGACATCACACACAGAGGGACATCACACACACAGAGGGACATCAAACACACAGAGAGAGACATCAAACACACAGAGAGAGACATCACACACAGAGAGAGACATCACACACAGAGACATCACACACAGAGACATCACACACAGAGGGACATCACACACAGAGGGACATCACACACAGAGGGACATCACACACAGAGGGACATCACACACAGAGACATCACACACAGAGGGACACCACACACAGAGGGACACCACACACAGAGGGACATCACACACAGAGAGAGACATCACACAGAGAGAGACATCACACAGAGAGAGACATCACACAGAGAGAGACATCACACAGAGAGAGACATCACACAGAGAGAGACATCACAGAGGGACATCACAGAGGGACATCACAGAGGGACATCACAGAGGGACATCACACACAGAGAGACAACACACACACAGAGGGACATCACACACAGAGACATCACACACAGAGGGACATCACACACAGAGAGAGACATCACACACAGAGAGACATCACACACAGAGAGACATCACACACAGAGAGACATCACACACAGAGGGACATCACACACAGAGAGACATCACACACACAGGGACATCACACACAGAGACATCACACACAGAGGGACACCAGACACACCACACAGAGAGGGACATCACACACAGAGGGACACCAGACACATCACACAGAGAGACATCACACACAGAGACATCACACACAGAGAGACATCACACACAGACACATCACACACAGAGAGACATCACACAGAGAGAGACATCACACAGAGAGAGACATCACACAGAGAGAGACATCACACAGAGAAAGACATCACACAGAGAGAGACATCACACACAGAGAGAGACATCACACAGAGAGAGACATCACACACAGAGGGACATCACACAGAGAGTCATCACACACAGAGAGACATCACACACAGAGAGACATCACACACACAGAGGGACATCACACAGAGAGTCATCACACACACAGAGAGACATCACACAGAGAGAGACATCACACACAGAGGGACATCACACACAGAGGGGCATCACACACAGGAGGGACATCACACACAGAGGGACATCACACAGAGAGAGACATCACACACAGAGGGACATCACACACAGAGGGACATCACACAGAGAGAGACATCACACACAGAGAGACATCACACACAGAGAGACATCACACACACAGAGAGACATCACACACACAGAGAGACATCACACACAGGAGGGACATCACACACAGAGACATCACACACAGAGGGACATCACACACAGGGACATCACACAGAGAGAGAGACATCACACAGAGAGAGACATCACACAGAGAGAGACATCACACAGAGAGAGACATCACACAGAGAGAGACATCACACAGAGAGAGACATCACACAGAGAGAGACATCACACACAGAGAGACATCACACACAGAGAGACATTACACACAGAGGGCCATCACACACAGAGGGACATCACACACAGAGGGACATCACACACAGAGGGACATCACACACAGAGAGACATCACACACAGAGGGACAACACACACAGGGACATCACACACACACAGGGACATCACACACACACAGGGACATCACACACAGAGGGACAACACACACAGGGACATCACACACACAGGGACATCACACACACAGTGACATCACACAGAGGGACACCAGACACACCACACACAGAGGGACATCACACACAGAGCACGAGAACGGCAAACTGCACGGAGGCAAATACAGCAAGAAGATGGGAGACGCGAACTCGGCAAACCTTAGAAACTTAATGCGATGCAACCCAGTCGGCCAACAGCACAGTTACACACTAACCTGGTTGACCACGTACTTCAAAAGACTGCTAAATCTTGTGTTCATCTTCCAGGTTGAACACACCAACGTAAACAGAGGACAAGGACTCATGAACAGACGAGGTACAAGGTAGCAGAGATACATACAGGGAGCTGCGTAAGATGACAACAGCTAAATTGGTACACAGTCACCATCTCGGAGGAATCCGATGAGCTATGAAGCTTTTTTTTACTTCCACAGACGACCACCTCGAGGTCGCCGGTTAGATTCCATCTCCCGGCACGGCAATAGAAACAATGGAGGGGGGGGCGGACGGCTGAGTTTCTCCACCGCTCACACCGCCCCTGTCCACCCCGCAGAATGAGTCCACGAGTTCGCATACTCGAGTTCGACTCGCGGACTCATTCTCCGCAGTGGGGGGAGGTGGGCAACTTCCGCCACCATCACCATCGAAAGCGTCGTTGCCTGTACAAGATTTTTTGGTTAAAAAAAAAAGTTGTAGAGGGCGCGCTTGTTGCGTTTGCGTATTCTCCGGGCGTGCTGTACCTTGCGTGTGGCTATGGCATGTCCCCCAGCATGCGTGGCGAAACGTCGGACATCGTGCTGAACGGCACGACCCGATAACGCAGCAGACAGAACTACACAGCCACAACTTGAACCTCCGCGCGGTTTGTATTAAATAAAAAAAAGTGTAGAACTGCTGAATGGGATGTCACTTAAGTTATTCACTTTCGTAGATGTCCGTTAGTGGCCCCGGTGGGGTTTCAAATGAAGATGTGCTTCATCATCATCACCAGCAGCCTTCATCAATAAACCGGTCATCCCTCGCCGTCCGAGAATAACCCAAAGCAGAAGCTCCCCCCAGGGGTTTCATATTTCACGAGGATGCTCAAGAGTCCACCTGAACGCCGACATCATCCACTGTGCAAACCATGGCAGCGGAAGTTGCGGTGGATGATACCCGATGGACAAACTGAACATAAATAAAAGTCTCCGGTAGTAGTAGTTCGTGGTGCGCGACTGTGGTAATCAAGAACAGAGAGCGGAGTACAACGTGTGACGACGCAGTGCCCGCCGATCCACAAATAAGGAGACATCACGGCGGTGATGATGATACGACTCCGCTGGCTCCTTGACGTGGTTGTCTGGCTTGACCCACACGCATGTGACATTGTAAATTGTTGGCTCTGCATCTATATCAGCAGCCGTACACACGGAGACTCGAAGATACCCAGAGATCCAGACTAATAGAGACGCACAGAGACTCGGGAGACCCCGTAGAGATGAGACTCATAGATAGCCAAAGATCTAGACTAAGAGACTCGGAGACCCCATAGAGAGATGACTCAGACTGCCAAAGATCTAGACTAAGAGACGCAGAGACTTAGAGACCCCATAGAGATATGAGACTCATAGATAGCCAAAGATCTAGACTAAGAGACGCAGAGACTCGGAGACCCCATAGAGAGATGAGACTCATAGATAGCCAAAGATCTAGACTAAGAGACTCGGAGACCCCATAGAGATGAGACTCAGATAGCCAAAGATCTAGACTCTAGAGACGCAGAGACTCGGAGACCCAATAGAGATATGAGACTCATAGATAGCCAAAGATCTAGACTAAGAGACGCAGAGACTCGGAGACCCCATAGAGATCAATAGACTCAGAGACGCACAGAGACTCGTAGATATCCAGAATAGAGACCCATAGAAATGCACAAAGAGACATCACAACGATAATTATATTATACACTCCACTACTCCTGACGCGGCTGTCTGCTGGCTTGACCCACCTGAATGTGAAATTGTAAATTGTTAGCTCTGCGGCTACATCGGCCATACGCAAGACGTCATACGACGCAAATCCACTAGGCACCAGCGACAAAGTAGTCGTTACGATAACAAAAATCCTTCATTGTATCCCGAAGGTTTCACTTATATATTTTTTTATTTACAAGCAAAAAGGGCAGTGCAACGAAAAAAATCCGGTTTGCTGTACTGCGTCAAGTCGCACATACGCTTCACACCGACACCCACCCACACTGACCGGCGAAGTGTGATCATCACCGCCACCCTGCACGGTGATGGGTGGGGGGGGAGGGGACACACTCATCCAGCAGTGGATTGCCACAAGGGCTGTACATTTTTTTATTTTACTACCATCGTAGATTTTCTTTTCGTGGAAGTACACCATTTTTTTTGCTCCCAATCAATTCGATCAGTTGGTATTTTATTTTTTTTCTTAAACATCCCATCCAAATAAACCCAGCGACAAGACGCCAGAAACGTCGACAAAGTCATTCTCTTACACAAACGGATCCGTTATTAAAATGAGAACATTTTTATTCAGACCGAAAACCAAGCCGACGGGAGAGGCACGAAGCTCCCATTTCGCCGGGACGCCGACTTCAACTCCACACCATCTCGCAGGCATATCAGTGACGATGCCTACGCACATAATCACCCAGGCGAATGCACCCCCCCACCCCCGCCCGCCCCTCGGGTTCTCATCGCATCTCAGGAGGCTTAAGCGAAGGGGTTGAGCCTCGTCAGTGCTTGGATGGATCTGGCACCACACCAGGCACTAACGAAGTGTCAAAGAGTGCGTGCCGAGAAGCTGTGGGTGGCAGGATATCCGGTCCAGAGAGAGGGGAGGGGGCGACAAGCGTGGTGATAGGTGTGGAGAGAGACTGTCATCCAGCAGCCGATTAACAAAAAAAGGGGGGAGCTCGTGGGTAAAGGTTAAAAGTTACAACCAGCGGCTTCAACGGACCCTGTGAGCTGCTGAAGCTCTTCTTGACAGGAGCCCAGCGGCGAGCTTGGTCGCGACCCGCAGAGACCCACAAAACGAAAGCGTGTTCCAAACACCTCCGTGGAAGTGAACCGGCACGTCACTTCAACCCAAGTCAACTTAAAGAGCCGAAACGTCAGCGCAGCTGGAGCCGAACGTTCAGCACGCTTCCCCGGCAATCGGCGAACGCGCGGATCGCCGACGTTACGCCGACGAGGTGTGCGGGGGTGGGGGCGGAGGGGCGGGGGGGGCGGAGGGGCGCGGGTCGCGAGCTCCACTGCACCTTCGGCACAACGCGACCCGAGAGCGAACGTACGGGCGGCAAGTGCTCGCTTGGAGCTCGGGCGGGGCGGTTCACGCGGCGCGTCCTCGTCGGCGCGAGCGGAAAACGCCTTTCGCGGAAACGCCGAGCGGTCGAATCTCGCCAAACTTCACCGTGACGATATTTCGGTCGCATGGCGCCAAACTTCACCGGGCTGGGATGTTTCTCTGCGGAGAAAACATTTTCCCCGCTTCGAGACGCTCGGCGCTCTTTCGCGGACGCATCTGCCAAGCTGAACGAGGAATCGCCGCGAGTTCGAATCGGGACGCCCAGAAATGCATCACGACGGACAGCAACAAGCAGTCGCGTGCGTGTGGACTTCTATCTTCGCTGGCGGCGCCATCCGATGCTCCCCCCCCCTTCCTTTGCCCGTCGCGTGGGGGACGCGTTTTTTTCTGATTGCGGGGGGAGGGAGGGGGAGGCGGGGTGTGTGCGGGGGGCTTTCCCACACAAAATAAAAAAAACAAACTACGAATCGTTAACTCGTCACCGTCGCTTCTACAATCATCGGAGCGGCGGGCGTCGCGCGGGCTGGGACGAAAACGGGCGGGGCAATCCGGAGAGAGTCAAGGTTTTGCGAGTGGGCGGGCGAGTTAGCGGGCAAGTGGGCTTGAGAGCGACTGAAGGGGATGGCTCTACCACCCCCACGATGCGATCAGCTGGATCGCTCTCTCTCTCAACCGTTGCGTCCAACCACTGTCCGAATCCCGATCGAGCGAGCGGCTGCCCCCCCCCCCCCCCCCCAACGCGGACGCCGCGTCCCGTTGGACCGTGGTTCGTCCTAAACCCCCCCCCCTCTACCCGCCCCTGCCCGCCACGTCAGGATTGCGACAGCCGGCCCCTTACGCGTCCGCAAATTTGTGCAAGTGATGGACCGTCACCGAGAAGATCAACGTTTTTGCGTCCACCGGTTGCACAACCGCCACGCAACAGCAGTTGGGGGTACATCCGCATGAACAAAATTTAGTTTCACGCAACTACAGCTGCGTGATCGACTTAATCGGGTGTGGTCCCTGATTAAGAGATTTAAAAAAAAATTATTATCATAGTATCGTTAGACGCCGCTCCTCACTGAATGAGACAGTAACCAGAGGAATACACGGACAGACGGACTGATGGAATATCTGCCGCCACCACCCGCTCCACCCCCCCCACCACTCTCTTCATCTTCATCATCTTCAGGGCAGGGGGGGTCCATTCATGCCGGGGTGGTAGAAGGCGCACGTGTTTCCGTAGCGGCAGCCGCCCTTCTGCGCAAAATGCCTGCAGATGGGCTTCTTGGACATGTCTGCGGGGCGAGAGAGAGACGGAGAGAGAACGCACGCAGCGATCAAAACAAAGGGCAGAGGGGAGGCACAGCACGCGCGCCTTGGACGCTGAAATTCTTTCGCACCATACGTAGCCAACCGCGCTAATCGGACGACAGTAAACCCTCGCGATAACGCGAGTTTCGCGAGTGACTAAATGCACACTAAAAATATATATGATAGGCTTGACCGTTTTCCCAGGTTTTAAAGATGTTCAAACACCAGATAGATACCTATTGGAAGGTATCAAGTCTGCATTAACCACACATACTTGTGGCAAAACATTGCAAACACGCTCCGATAATATACGCGTTTTCGATTAATACTCTAACACGCGTGTTTGCCTTTGGCATTGTGGCCTAAATTTAAACAAATTCCTCGCAAATTACTCTCGAATCCATGGGACCTTTTTGCCAGTGTCCAAAATGATGATGGCAATATAACTGCTCGGCCCGAACTTTTATGTATTTATAATACTTGCATTGTCTTTGCACCGTTCGCCTTTTGGCGTTCCCTGGTCTAACAGTGGTGCACAGACAAGGGCCACGCAGGTCGTCCCCTGGTGTAGGCCCAATCAGTTTCCAAGGCAACGCTCGCCTCCGCAGCGCCGGATTTGCAGGCGGGGACCACGGCCACCGCCGCCCGGCATTCGTTCCAAGACTCGCGGCCAAGGCCCACGCAGTGATGGCCTGGCCACCTTACCGTAGCAAGACCCCCTCCCAACGCACGACACACGCAACCACGCGTTGACGGTGGGTTTACGAAGGGGAGGGAAGGGGGGGAACGCAAACGTCCGCTGTCGGCTGGCACGGTGAGTAGGGGGGTGGAGGGTCACGACGTCCAAAGAACGAGCGGGGGGCTTGCTAGTTTGATGACAAAGTAAAACAAAAAAACATTACCTTCCGCTCGCACGCGTGTGTGTGTGTGTGTGGGTGCCACACATGTGCCACACATGTGCCACACATGTACCACAGGACAGGTGATGTGCGGGAGCTCAGTGATGCCATTGTGGCATGACCCAGCCCTGTGATTCGTGATGCGTGGCTTATACGGGTACGAGGGGGGTGTTGGCGCAGTGGCTAGATGTTGACTACCTCGCCTGGTATACATGATGACCGTTTGCGTTACGGTCAAAACTTCGTGAGAATTTTTATTGTTTTATATATATTTTATTATTTTATTGTTTCCCTTCAACGTGACTTTACCGAAAGAGATAAGAATATGGTATACAGGAGGTCGTGGAGTCAATCCCGGACCTTAACGCCGCAGTGGCTAGATGTTGACTACCTCGCCTGGTATACAGAAGGTCGTGGATTCAATCCCAGACCCGAACGCCACGGTGGCTAGGAGATGTTAACTACCTCGCCTGGTGTACAGGAGATCATGGGTCCGATTCAGACCCTGATGTCTGCTATATATTTGGAGTTTGCATCTCTCTCTCTCCTTCCCCGTGGCCACGTGGATTTTGTTTCTGGGTCCTCCGCTTTTTCCCGTCCACATTGAGAATCAACATCACGCGTTTGTATTATTTGGCTGCTGCTATAAATTTCCACGCGATGATGATGAACCCCACTTCGTTGAGTTATCATTTGTGATAGCCAGATGGCTTCTGAAAACGAGCTAATCTGAAAAAGAGCGACTGCAGTAAAACCCTGGATTGCGAGTAACTTGGTCTGCGAGTGTTTTGCAAGATGAGCAGAAATTTTAAATAAATATTAATTTGATAAACGGGCGATGTCTTGCAATACGAGTGGCACGTATAGACGCTTTGTCTGCCGAGTGTCACGTGATCACAACTGAGCCGATGGTTCTTCCCTCTCTCTCGCTGTGGGATTGTGGGTAATCGTCTCCCATGCTCGGTCTCAGTCGGCGTGCCTCACTCGTACAGTTAACATCCGTGCGAGCGTATACTGTTTACTATAGTGTTGTGACCCCGTGTATACTGTTTACTACAGTACTATAGTGTTGTGACCACGTGTATACTGTTTACTATAGTACTATAGTGTTGTAACCACGTGTATACTGTTTACTATAGTACTGTATAGTGTTGTGACCACGTGTATACTGTTTACTACAGTACTATAGTGTTGTGACCACGTGTATACTGTTTACTATAGTACTATAGTGTTGTAACCACGTGTATACTGTTTACTATAGTACTGTATAGTGTTGTGACCACGTGTATACTGTTTACTACAGTACTATAGTTTTGTGACCACGTGTATACTGTTTACTATAGTGTTGTGACCACGTGTATACTTATTCTTAGCTCTTTCGGTACAGTCACGTTGAAGGGAAACAATAAAATAATAAAATATATATAGTGTTGTGACCACGTGTATACTGTTTACTACAGTACTTTAGTGTTGTGACCACGTGTATACTGTTTACTACAGTATAGTGTTGTGACCACGTGTTTACCGTTTAGTACAGTATAGTGTTGTGACCACGTGTTTACTTTTCGATTTCAAGCTTTCGTGACTGCAAGGATTCATCTTTTTTGGTTCTTTCGGTAAAGTCACGTAGAATGAGAATAAAATAATAAATTAAGAAAATAAAATAACACAATAAAATTCTCACGACGTTTCGTGAAGGCCACTTGTGTTGTGGCCGAAACGTCGTGAGAATTTTATTGTTTTGATTTAAAGCTTTCGTGACTGCAGTAATTCATATTCTTAGTTTTTTCGGTAAAGTCACGTTGAAGGGAAACAACAAAATAATAAAATATATAATATATTTTTATTGTTTTATATATTTTATTATTTTGTTGTTTCCCTTCAACGTGACTTTACCGAAAAAACTAAGATTATAATTTTATTGTTATTTTATTTTATTAATTTATTTTTTTATTCTCATTCTACGTGACTTTACCGAAAGAACCAAAGAAGAAAAAAACACGTGTATACTGTTTACTACAGCATAGTGACCACGTGTATACTGTTTACTACAGTACTATAGTGTTGTGACCACGTGTATACTGTTTACTATAGTACTATAGTGTTGTGACCACGTGTATACTGTTTACTACAGTACTATAGTGTTGTGACCACGTGTATACTGTTTACTACAGTACTATAGTGTTGTGACCACGTGTATACTGTTTACTACAGTATAGTGACCACGTGTATACTGTTTACTACAGTACTATAGTGTTGTGACCACGTGTGTGTGCGTAAAGCATTTTTTTATTTTGTGTCCGAGTGCAGTGACTGTTCTTTAGTACTGTAACTGTACTGCAACAATGGCCTCCTCCTCCTCTCCCCTCTCTCGTCTCCCTCACACCAGCCACGATTAAATGTAATTACTAAATTTGATTACTTTATATTAAATTTAAATAATAAAATAATAAATACGGTGTTTTGTATTAATCATTTTTACATGAACATTTTTGGGTTTGTGGAACTAATCATCTGAGTTTCCATCATTTCTAATGGGGAAATTCGCTTTGATATACGAGTGCTTTGGATTACAAGCACGTTTCTGGAACGAATTATGCTCGCAATCCAAGGTTTTACTGTATATAGCTCAGTACTGTGGCCTTACCTGATTCCAGCCTTTCATTGATTTGACCCGAAAATTGACTCAACCCTTTCTAGATTTGAAGCTTTCGTGACTGCAAGGATCCATACTCTTTGGTTCTATTCGGTAAAGTCACGTAGGTAAAAAAACAATAAAAATAAAATCACGACGTTTCGGCCACAACACAAGTGGCCTTCATCAGGTGAAGGGACCGGACTGTCCAGAAGACAGCGTTGGAGTGAAATCAGCCAAGCCCAGGTCGCGTCCTTTAAGCTGATTTCATCCAACGCTGTCTTCTGGACAGTCCGGTCCCTTCACCTGATGAAGGCCACTTGTGTTGTGGCCGAAACGTCGTGATTTAATTTTTTATTGTTTTATTTTATTTTTTTACCTACGTGACTTTACAGAATACAACCAAAGAGTATGACTCAACCCTCCAAAAAGCTCTGCCTCACTCGTCAAAACCATATATCGGAGCATCGTCACCCTGCTGGCAGACTGCAGGAAAACTCCACCATGGGACATTCCTTGCCAGTATCAAAACAGAATCATTGGTTTGACCCTTTCTGGCAATAAAACAGTTTGTGTTAAGATGTTAAAACACCAACTGTAACCTTTTGCAAGGAATCCTGTCTCCATTCACCACGTACACTTGTGGTGAATACGGCACTCTTTATTATTTACACGATCCAACCCAAAAACCTCTATTATGGATGATATTGGTCGCGAAAGCCTATGTGTTAACCTAGGGAGACAAAGGTGGCCGGGCGTGGTGTTGGCCACCATGGCGGCCTTCATAGGTGCTCGCTAGCAGCACTTGCCCCAACAAGTCTGTTCAGGCTATACGGGGCATCTTTGTCTTTGTATATGAAGGTGTTTTTTGTTGAGGCAATGAGCGATCGATTCACCACACGGAAATTTGATGAATCGTCATGGGTTGGGGGGGGGGGGGTTGTAAACAGATTTAAGAATCAATTTACACTGTGCCAGGTGGTCATTTAAAGCCGAGTCGATCTACAGGGGCGCGCAGAACCAGTTCTGAAACCATTCGCCACTGGCGTAGGCCTTGGCTGGGTATTGAGCAAAGGTTCGCAGTTCAGTGCGAAAGAAGTTCAACACACATACAACATCGTTGCGTGTTGAACGTCTTTCACACCGTACGTAGCCCACCGTGCTAAACGGAGGTGCTAACACTAACTCCACCGTTGCCCCACAGTACACACAAGACGTGTGGCGTTTAAAAGTCCGTTGGGGAAAGTGCTGTTCGCGAAGCACCTATTGACACCAGTACAACATGCCAGGATAAACAACACACGCGCAGGTGTACAATCACGTACACGTACCAACATACACACACGAATACCCATACACAAGTCATCATACAAACACAGCCACAAGACAAAGACCACCCAGTGTAGCCTTGACAGACTGTTAGGACAAGTGCTGTTAGCGAGCCACTATGAGAAGGCCAGCACGGTACAGGAGGGGGGCGGGTGGGCCAGCAATATGCCCAGCCGCCTTCTCATTTGAGGCTGAGTAGATCTAGAGGAGGCCCAGGGACCGGCTCAGATAATCGCTGTGGGCGGTAATCGAACTCGGGTCGCCGGATTCGTGGCGTGGCGCGCGCTAAACTGCCCCACTACCACCACACCCCGCAAGCCATCACAAAGATCACAGATCATACACAGCCACACACATACATCCAGCCACCTCTTCTCTGTTTCTCGATAACCACATGAATCCACTTCCTTCCCTCACTCGGTGCACTCACCCATCCGGACACGTTCACATCGATGGTACGCTCAGCTAAAAAAATGTAAACTCTTTATTTTAACAGTTAAGCCTCCCCCCGGCCCCTGAGCTATATAGCTTTTTTTCAGAAGCGACCTGGTCACAAAGCATAGCCCAACGGACGTGGCTCATCATCATCGTGGAAATTTATTGCAACAAAATGCTCGAGACGCACGTCGATTATAAATGTGGAGGGGAAAAACCGTAGGAGCCAGAGAAAAATCCACGCCACCACGGGGGAGAGGCAGACTCGCAAACTCCAAATATACAGCAGCAGGCGTCAGGGTGGGGATCGAACCCACGAACCTCCTGTACACCAGGCGAGGTAGTTAACATCTCCTAGCCACCGCGGTGACATCTGATAGCACCAGTATCACAGCAGCTGCCAGCCCAGAGCTCTGACCTCCGAGTCACCCCACCCACCCCCGCCACTTCCCCTCGCACTACTCTGCTCCGACCGAACAGTTTTTCAACCCAATGTATTCTGCTCGTCGCAACAGGAAATTTGGCCGAATGTTCGGATCGACCCGATATTCGACTCACCTATGACGTAGCCTCCTCGCCCGCGCTCCCCGCGAAAACTGCCCACTCCCCGCCCCCCGATGGCCATGGTGGGGCAACCGCCAGTTGCACCTTGGGGTGGAGTGGGCGTATACGGGGGAGAGAAACACGTCACAAGACAAAGGCAAAGATCCCCCATGTAACCGTTACACACTGTTCAGGCAAGTGCTGTTAAGCGGGCAGCACCTGTGAAGGCCGGCACGGCGCACGAGGAGGTCAGTGGCCAGCACCACACCCGGCCACCTTTGTCACCCCAGTGGCGACGTTTACACAACGCACCAGGTACTCATTTGAGGCCGATTCGACCTAGGGGGGAGGCCCAGGACCGGTTCAAATAATCGTCACCGGTGTTGGGCGTGAGCGGGAGTCGAACTCGGGTGGCCGGGATTCGTAGTGCAGCGCGCTAACAGCTACACAAACGCTCCACTCACCCTACACATCCATACACACATACATGCACACACATGAAAACAAAAATCTCCCTGTATGATGTGCTTACCTCTCCTATACTTTTGCATTGTTTGTTGTCGTAACCTTTGTGACCCCGTGCCCCTTACTGGACCTCTGTGGAAATAAGAAGCTGCGTAGCTGATCGGATTCCCCCTCCAATATAAAGTTTCTCATTCAGATTCTGACGAGCACAGAACGGTGTGACCAGGAGCACGGAACGGTGGGGCCAACACCACGCCTAGCCACCTGTCTCCCCGGCGCAGACGTCTACACATTGCACCAGGTCCTCGTTTAAATTCTGTCGACCCTAAAGGAGACCACGAAGAGGACAAGGTTCCGAGACATCGCGTGCACACCGATGGTAGCTGCCGCACTCACGAATTAAATTCAAATCACTGCACCGTCCACTCCCAAATCCAAAAACAAGAATTAATGTATATAACATACATGCAGAGGTTTCAGACATCTGCCACTGATGTTAGCCGTGGCTGGCAATCGAACTCAAAGCCAACGGGAGATTAGTGGAGTGCCGCCAATCACAGCCCCACCGCTCCCCACATCCATACACAGGTAGCGCGTACATGCATAACATGTGTACAGTACATGAACAAGCACACACGCTCCCTACACAGGTACACACACACAAACCGGGCAGGAGAATTAAAATATATATTTGGTAGTTCTATTTCAGAAACTCCAAGGTTACGGGTAATCATCTCAAATTCGAGATAATAATGATGTTTTTTTTAATATATAGAGCAACTTTCATCTCATCTCTAGATGTTAACTACCTTGCCTGGTATACAGGAGGTTGTGGGTTCGATCCTGATCCTGACGCCTGTGTATGTGGACTTTGCGTGTTCTCCCCATGGTCGCGTGGATTTTTCTCCGGGTCCTCCGCTTTTTCCATCCACATTTAGAATCAACGTCACATGTTCAGAGTATTTGGCTCCTGCTATAAATTTCCACGTGATAAGCCACTTTGCTGAGCTATTATTTTTTGATAGCCAGGTTCTTTCTGAATAAGTAATATTTTTAAATACTTTTTTTAAAAACACGCTTTAATGAAATGTACCGTACGAGTAATGGCAGAACTCCACGACTCCAGGAAGTGGCCCCGAAGCTTGCCATAACGTAAGGGGACCGTGGTGATTTACAGCCAACGTTGAGTTGAGCGTGGACAATTAGACCCAAGTCGAAACATAAGATATAAAAAAAAGATTGTTTAAAAATATATATTTTTTATTTTAATGATAGAATATAGTATTGTCGTCAGTATAACATATGTATACCAAGTTTGCAGTGCAGCCTTCACCGAGTTGAGGATACGACAACAGACAGAGTTGAGGACACAACAGACAGAGTGAGTTAAATAAAAGCGTGTAAAAAGAGCTACATAGCTCAGTGGGCATTACCTGGTAAAATGTAAAGTTTAATTATTTGAAAGGACACCCTCATTGGCAAATTGTCCCAGTGCTCGCATCCAAACAGGCATTAGGTTTGCCAGGTGGGGGTGGCCATGACTGATCTGTGGTCTAGCCTAGGGACCCCCCCGCCCCGTGGCAGCTGTCTCAGTGCCGTGCAAGGTGACTCAGCACCTGGCCTACAAGTTGGCATTCGTGTACCAAGTAGGGAGGGCGATGTTGCGTTAAGGCCCATTGAGTACGGTGACATGTACACATTTGGACCGTGTCGCCAGCACACAAACGTCACGGGATGTTTTAACGTCCACCCTGAACCAGACGGGGCTTGTTGCACGGTTAATTAACCCTTTCTTTATCGGTAGACGTAGTGCCGCGGCTGCCACAAGGACACGTGTGGAGGGCGCGTGCGGCACAGTTTTCGTGCCTGCTATAGTAGGGCGCGGTGGTTGTGTCGCTACGGTGCTCTGCGGTGAGTCACGGCATCTTTAAAAATAGCACTGCAACGCCTCCCCAAAACAAACGGCGAACCACTTGAACGTTACGAGATTCGGCGTCGAACGGGACCCCAACCCTGCAACTTGCAGACATCTCGGAATGGGATGAGGGTTAATTCGCCCTGCAATAATAACTAGGGCGGCTCATCAGATGTGAATGTGAACCTCCGCAACATGCGTCGAATGGCGCTCCTGTCAAACGACGTCTGGAGCTATCGGAAGCGACGAGACCAATTAAAAGACCGGAGGACAGTGGAAGGGGTTCCCACTCTGGCCTTCACTGCGGCGTGGACGAAACAAAAGAAGATTAAATCCCTGTTCGCAGAAGAACTTGCACACGGCACGGCCATACCGTAAGAGAGGTGCGTGGAACAATTTTCCCCCGAACGACATTTTGAGTTTCCTTTCCAAGCGACAGGCGTCGTTTGGCAGTCGAATCGTTCGGTATTAAAGTCGCGGGGCCGTGCCAACTGACGACGTGGAGCAAAGGGAAATGTGGGCCGCGTAAAATCAAACGTTTTGTGAAAACGAGGCCCATGCCAAGTGAAATCGCGGGCCCTCTCTGGGCCCACGGGCCGTTGGTTTGCCTGCATTGGGGGCAAGGCGCGAGGGGGGGGGTGGGTGAGAGGGGGGCGGGGTGGGCGGGAGGGGGCTCTCACCTGGAAAAGCGGGCTGAGTGCCGGGCGGGAAGGGCATGCCGTTGTTCATTGCCATGAGGATCTGCATGGCGTTGTTCATGCCCATGAGGAACTGCATGTCGTTTTGCATCATGGGATTCCCGCTCCCCTGCATACCGCTCGTTCCTGTGACAACGCGACAAGGCCGTCGCCCAGGGGTTGCTTGCGATTATTGTTCGCAATTATCATCACCATCGCCACTTAACATTTATATTCATCCTCGCGCTAAACATTTGCGATCCAGCAAAACTCCCCCTCCTCCTGCTCCAGTGTTGGATTACAGGCATAATCGCCCCAGACAATCTGACGTATCAATGTACCAAAAATATATATTTCCACAGGCCAACAACGGCGTATACCTGTTGACTGCTGCGAGTTCTGTTTGCTTAGAACGGCGCTGCACTGCTTCATCGTTTCTTCAGACAACTGTTCATATAAATGCACGCACGCACACAAAGATTAACACACACACAAGACAAAAAACCATCCCTGTATAGCAAGTGCTGTTAGCGAGCACCTATCAAAGCCGGCACTGTGGCACACGAGGGGGTGGGTGGCCAACACCACGCCAGGCCGCCTTTGTCTCCCGAGTGGCGATGTTTACTACACACCGCACCAGGTACTCATTTGAGGCTGGGTCGACATAGGAAAGGCCCAGGACCGGTTCAGATAATCGTCACTGGTGTTGGCCGCGAGCGGAATTTGAACCCGGGTCGCCGGGTTTGTCGTGCAGCGCACTAACCGCTATACTACTGCTACACACACACACACACAGATTTAGAGACAAACATAGATTTCAATGCTAGCTTTGAAAGTATTTACGAGAGCTGATATTTTTTACACACTGCCATACGATACCAGTGAACTGAGATCGAGTCACGAGCACACCTCGCATCAATATAACTATTTAGCTTATTTTTTTTTGTTTTTAACCAGTTAAGGCCCACTGAGCGATACGGCTGTTTTTCAGAAGCAAGCTGGCAACAAAGGACAGCTCAAAAAAGCGGCTTATCACGTGCAAATGTATAGCAGCAGCCAAATACTCTGAACGCGTGACGTTGATTCTAAATGTGGAGGGAAAAAGCGGAGGATCCGGAGAAAAATCCATACGACCAGGGGGAGAGAGAGAGAGATAGGCACTAAAACTTCAAATGAACCAGCGTAAGGCGTCGGGATCAAACCCACGACCTCCTGTATACCCGGCGAGGTATACAGGATACAGGTTTTTGAGTTAGATCGCGTAAATATATAAATGTGTCGCTAAACCCGCCACCACCCGACACAGCCAATCAGCAAGGTTTGTCACGTCAACAGAACATGCCAATTCGTTACATGCTGTAGCTTTGCTCTCCAACACACCGGTGTGCCGTGCTCGTAACTAATCGGCATGTTCCGCTTACGTGACAAACCTTACCGACTGGCTGTTGGGTTGTGGCAGGTTTAACGGCAGATTTATATATTTACGCGATCCAACCCGTAAAAAAAAAAAAAAAACCCTGCATTACGTACGATATTGGTTCGCGAAAGCCTTGCTACGTGTTAAACCGAGGTGTACAGGAGGTCGCGGGCGCTTGCGGGAATGTTCTCAAGCATGGCGCCGCCCACCTGCTGGCCGTTGTCCGCAGCCTGCAGAGCAGCCTCGTCGGCACCGTTTCCTGACGAGGAGGCGTTGGCGGAGCTCCCCTTGTCGCCGTAAACTCGCGTCGAGTCAATTCCTGGGGCTGCACACGGCGGCAAGAGAGGCCGCAATTCCACCGCATTACTTTGCTACCTGTGGTTTGGGGCGCCGAGCTGCAACTAAACAGAAAACTTCTTGCTCTTTGGTTCTATTGGGTAAAGTCACGTAGGTGAAAATAAAATAACAAAAAATCACGACGTTTCGGCCACAACACAAGCGGCCTTCATCAGGTGAAGGGACGAGCCTGTCTGGAGGACAGCGCTGAAGTGGACAGCGCTGGAGTGGAAGAATGTATATACTCTAACTTTAACATAGCTATTTCTGTGACCAGTTACTAGCTAATCACTCAGCTATTTCAATGCTAAATTCGATGCTAATTCCTTTGTCAAGGGGCACCTTTGGGGATGTGTATACTTTAACTTAGCTATTTCAATGAGCCATTTCAATGCTAAATTATATGCTAATTCCTTTGTCAAGGCGCTTGGTCTTCTTTATCTTCTCACACAGCTTAAAGGTCGTGACCTAAGCGTGGCTTCTTCCACTCCAGCGCTGTCCTCCAGGCAGGCTCGTCCCTTCACCTGATGAAGGCCGCTTGTGTTGTGGCCGAAACGTCGTGATTTTTTGTTATTTTATTTTCACCTACGTGACTTTACCCAATAGAACCAAAGAGTATGGATCCTAGCAGTCATGAAAGCTTTAAATCTAGAAGAAAACTTCTTCTTGGTTATTTCGGTAAAGTCACGTAGAATGGGAATAAAATAATAAAATAAGAATTTTTTCGTCTTGTTTTTTTTAATTTTATTCCCATTCTACGTGGTGACTTTACCGAAATCACCAAGAAGATGATTCCTTGCTGTGACGAAAGCTTTAAATCGAAATTTAAACTGAAACTTGTTTTGTATTTTACCAGGTAAGGCTCCGGCTTAGCTATGCAGCTCCTTTTTCGGAAGCGACCGGGCCATCACGAATGACAGCTCAACGTAAGCGAGTAAGGACATTTGATTTTGCACACTCTTACGAGTCCATCACGAATGTTGAAGTAGGCACTACTGAAACAACACGGTTTTGAGTCTGTTGCGGAACTGACTCGAAGACTCAGGGATGGATCCCGAGCATGAGCTGGTAGCGTGTGCCAGGTATTTTGGTCAGAGACCCCCAAATACTCTCAACGCGGGACATCGATTCTAAACGTGGAGGGGGAACAACCGGAGAATCTGGAGAAAAATCCACGCGACCACGGGGAGACAGGCTCGGTGACAGCTCGTGGCCAACGTCCGTGGCGAGTATCTGAAACAGTTCAGGATGTCTCCCTAGGTCACCTCTTCCCTTAAACGAGTACGTTGGTGCAGTGTGTAAACATCAGCACTGGGGGAGACACGAAGGCAGCCTGACGTGCTTTTAACCACACCACCCCCTGCTGGCCTTTGAGAGGAGACAGAGCATAATTGTGATAAGAGGAGACCCGGAGGCTTTGCATGGCGTGACAGGCAAGATAGCATCCACACGGCTTTATGCAGCTGATATACGCGGTGATAAAGACTCAGCCATTTCAATGCTAAATCATATGCTAATTCCTTTGTCAAGGCGCTTTGTTTCTTCTCACACAGCTTAAAGGTCGTGATCTGAGCGTGGCTTTTTTCACTCCAGCGCTGTCCTCCAGACAGTCTCGTCCCTTCACCTGATGAAGGCCGCTTGTGTTGTGGCCGAAACGGCGTGATTTTTGTTATTTTATTTTTTACCTACGTGACTTTACCCAATAGAACCAAAGAGTATCCCCCGTATAGCCTGTGACAGACTGTTGGGGCAAGTGCTGCTAGCGAGTTGCACCTATGAATGCCAGCATGGCACGCGAGGAGGTGGGGTTGCCAGCAGCACGCCTGGCAGCTTTTGCCTCCAGAGTGCCACTTAAAAACCGCACCAGCTCCTCATTTAAGGCTCAGTCGACATCGGGGGAGACCCAGGACCGGATCATATATTCGTCACTGATATTGGCCGTGAGCGGGAATCGAATTCGGGTCGCCGGATTCATAGCGCAGTGCACTAACCACGCTAAATTACCGCGACAACCGCCGTTCCCTACTAGGCAAAGGTGACGTCCCCACGGCGCTTGTGCCACGCTAGGCGCACTTTGAGGCCACGTGAAGTATCGAAGGCCCGCTGGCAGGAGGTCACAGAACAGACCCAGGTGCCATTGGTCGACCGACTCTCCACACGTGGACACGACAACAACCGCCGCCCGCCACTCATGTGCCGGAGACGTCGCTCGGGCGCTTGTGCCGCTCGCCCGCGGCGGGGCCGGCACGCCACGCGAGCAGGCGTACCTGTAAAGATCTTGCGCACCAGCGCCTCCTGCAGGTTCTTGTTCATGCGGCGCAGCTCCTCGTTTTCCTTCTTGAGCATTTCGAGCTCCAGAAGGGACTTCTGCAGCGACACCTTGGTGTTCCGGTAGTTCTGCACCGACTCCCTGTACAGCAGCTGCGGCACCGTGCCGCCGACGTCCTCGTCTGCGTCGTCGCTCGCGGCCGTCGTCTCCATGCCGACGGGGTAGAGCAGCTGCAGGCGCTTGTCGCTGCGGCTCTTGCGGACCTTCTCGCCGACGCCTCGCTCCGCGCCTTCCTCGTGACGCTTGCGCTTGCCTTCTCTCTGCGCACGCGCGCGCGCACACACGCGCGTGTCCACCAGGGAGCCGCGACCGGTGTGAGTACCGTTAAATAAATTCGGCTGCGAGAAATATATTCGACGGGCAGTTCTTCCACACTTTAGTCGCCGCCGATGACAATGCACGTGTGTGTGTACTACGTTGAGCTTCTTTCGCACCGCACGTCGCCAACCGTGCTGATCAGAGGTGGCAGGGGAAGGACAACAAACTAAACACAAAAAGCAGTTTTAAAGAAAGTAGCTTTCAATTTAGCATAGTGCAGTAGTGTATAGTGTGTGGTGTATAATGTATAAAGTACTGTATAGTAGCGTAGTATATAGCAGTGTAGTATATCGTAGCATGTATGTAGAACTTTTTCGCACCATACGTAGCCAACCGTGCTAATCGGAGGTGGCGGGGGAAGGACAACAAACTCAATACAGAAAGCAGTTCCAAAGAAATTAGTTTTCAATCTCGATTATTTTAAAGTGCATAGCTCCAGCGGCTTCCTATTATCGGAAGAGCATTCCAGACGGCCGCAGAAGCACATCTGAAATCGCCCGAAGGAAATTCATCAAGCGCGACTATGACTATCCACCAACGTCGTACTCAATTGTAAATTGTTTGGGTTTACCATCACACCAGTGTGCCGAATTAGTAGCTAATTGACACGTTTTGTTCACATGACAAACCTTACTAATTGGCTGTGTTGGGTGGTGGCGGGTTAGCGGGTTAACTACACGTTTATATTTACGCGCTCTGACCCAAAAACATTTACCATGAACGCTCTAGGGGCCATTATGAATCCCTTGAGACGGAGAACCGAGGCAGTGTTGGGCTCCATCCAACGGCAAAACTCCCACCTCAGTGTTTAACACGGCCATCATGACGCTCTCATCAGTAAGACTGAGATAGAGAGGAGTACAGCTTTAGTGGAGCGATCTAGGCGTAATTAGAAATCCCTTGAGATAGAGAGTCAAACAGAATCCAAATCTTTATTTCCGCTGGAGGAATCCCGTCAGCTCAGTGTTTAACGTGGCCATTGCGGGACCCTAGAGAGCGAGAGAGGCAGCGGCGGGTATTGAACCCGGGCTCACGTGCGTCTGGAGGAGGATCTCGTCGCTGTCCTCATCGTCCTCCAAGGAGCCGAGCTCTTCGGCCGAGGCGGGGGTCGGGCTCCCGTCCAGGATCCCTGGGATCTGCATCCGCTTCACCACCTCCTCCAGCTGCGTCTCGCTCTCTGTGACAAAACACGAGGTCGGGGGACGGGGAGCGGTGAGAGGGTGGGTGTGTGGCAAGGAACTTAATTAACTTGTCTCATCCAGCTGCGTCTCGTTCCGTGTCTACGAGAGGGAAACGGTGAGCGAGTGGCGAGGAACCTAACCCTTTCCGATGACGTACGTGAAGAAAAAACGATTAAGTACGCGTACGTCACCGGCTTGAAGTACGTGTACGTCATCGGTTTTTCCTTCCGGTTCCGTTTTCATGACATACACGTATGTCATCAGACACGTGTATGTCATCCATACACTTTGGAAACTAAAATAATAATTAATCTCACCGGGCATAACGGCAAATGTGCATCCAGCTCACACAGTGACCACAACGACAACGGGTACCACTGACCATACTCCACCACTCTGGTCAGTGATATTGCTCACGACACTGACAACGTTATCGATAGCTAATACTGTAACACACATGTGTAGTGGTCGACTTCACTCGGACAACTTTGTTCTTTTCTCCGACACCACTTTACTTACAACTCTCCGCATTCCGTCGATAACTCCACAGTTCCTCCGATTGCCACGGCTCGCTCGCCGCGCTCTGCCCGTCTCGCTCGCTCCGCTTCCTCCCCTGTCTTTCTCTGTCCCCCTCCGTCTCACTCTGGTTATCTCTCCCTGTCTCACTCGCCGTCTGTCTCTCTACGTCTCCCTGTGTCTCCGCTTCCCTCCGTACTCTCTCTCTGTATGCGCGTGTTACTCCACTGCACATGTAACTGTAATGATGTGCGTGACGCCATGACTTATAGGGGAGGGGCGGTGGAAGGCGGATGCTTAAAACTATAAACTAATTTATTTATATTCTACTAGGTAAAGCCTCACTGAGCTATGTAGCTCTTTAGACGTTGATTATAAATGTGTGTGGGGGGGGGGGAGAAAACCGGACCACCCGGAGAAAAATCCACGCGACCACGGGGAGAGAGAGAAAATATACAGCAGCAGGCGTCAGGGTCGGGATCGAACCCACGACCTCCTTTACACCAGGCGAGGTAGTTAACATCTCCTAGTCACCGTGATGATGATGATGAGAGAGAGACACGCAAACTCCAAATATACAGCAGCAGGCGTCAGGGTCGGGATCGAACCCACGAACTCCTGTACACCAGGCGAGGTAGTTAATATCTCATAGCCACCGTGATGATGATGAGAGGGAGACACGCAAACTCCAAATACACAGCAGCAGTCGTCAGGGTCAGGATCGAACCCACGACCTCCTGCACACCAGGCGAGGTAGTTACCAACCTAGGCCCAAACCATGTTTACAACCAAACTTCACATTCACCACGCTGGTTTTGTAACGTTAACGACGAGGCAGGGCTCGAACCCATGGCCCTGCCGCGTGCCAGGCGAGGTGCAAGTCAACAACCTCAGGCCTCACCGTGCTTACACAACCATACCTCACATTCACCACGCTGGTTTAGCAACGTTACCGTTAGAGTCTGGGATCGAACCCACGGCCCTCCCGCGTGCCAGGCGAGGTGCAAGTCAACAACCTCAGGCCTCACAGTTGCTCAACACCGCCACAACTCGAGTAACGTCTCGGTGACGACGGCGAGACCCGTGTCTACCTCTGGGCCGCCGCCACCGCCGCCACGTCGCATCTCCTCATCCCTCACCGGCCATCGCGACGATGTTGACCTGCTGCTTCACGCCATGCGAGTCCACGGCGTACACGCGCGTAGCATCGAAGTCCTCCTCGGAGCAGGGCGCGAAACCTACGATGCTGGAGGCGGCCACGATCTGACAGTCCTTGTCTTCCACGAAGCGGACGTACGCGAACATCGTTCGGCGTCGGCTGGTTGTTTGTTGTTGTTGTGTTTGTTTTTAATCGTTTTTGGTTGTTGTTGTTGTTGTGTGAGGAGGGGGTTGAAGGCTTCGCGGGCCGCGCCGCTGAAGAGTGAACGGGGGAGAGGAAGGGGGGGGGGGCGACAAAATGGCGGGAGAACGACGGGGTGCCGACGTCACTTCCGTTATTCAATCGATTTTAAAATTATAACAGCGATTAATGTTGATTATTTGTTTAAAATACACACAGAGGTGTTATTGCACGCCTCGATTTGTACCTTAATTCGAAGCTTCCGCGATAGTAAAAAAAATGTATATGTTACGGTGTAAATGGAATTGCCGGTTGGCGACTGCCCTCACGCGCGCCGTTTCCGCTAGGTTTGTGCCATTATTTTTTTTATATATAAATATAGGTTTTACCTAGCGACAAATAGTTGTGTTTACTTTGAAACAGTGTATCGCTAAAGATTGTGTCTTAATTTAAAGCGAGAATAATTTTGTACAAACGTGTTAATGGCACGCTTGGACGGCGACTGTCGTGACGTCACTGTGCGTTATTTTATTTTTTGTAAATGTACGAATATTTTCGTTATATTGCTGTATAGTTGCACGGACTACGATTTTCGTGTTATTATTATAAGTTAATGTATTCCTTTATATATAAAAAAATTTCGTTAAATTAATGGGGGACGACTTACCCAACGTCATTTCCGGCTAGTGTTTGCATTTTATACGTACCGGTATATTTTTACAATTATTGATACGTTTACAAAAGTGTATGGATCAAAGATATTAATTACATTGAATTTAATATAATTTTGAATAAAATTATAAAGATTTTTTGCTTAATTACGTGAATGGCTGTCGGACGCCGCGCAACGTCACTTCCGATATTGCATGGGAGGCGGGTGGGGAGGTAATTCGCATTGTTAAATTTAATGTTAAGTTGGAATTTCGATAGTGGAATAAACCACTTTGGTTCAACTCCCATCCAACAGTGGTGTATTTAAAAATAAGAATAGGTGTTTACCCTTACTGGCAATAAAACAAGAGGGTGTTAAGATGTTCAAACACCAACCAGAAACATTTTCAAAGGAATTAAGTCCGCATTAACTATTTGGTTCTTTCGGTAAAGTCACGTGGGTAGAAATAAAATTAAACAAATCACGACGTTTTGATCGCAACACGAGCAATCTTCATCAGGTGGAACAACCACGGCAAGAAAATGCTGAAGATTTCTCGTGTTGCCATCGAAACGTCGTGATTTTGTACGGGACTTTACCGAAAGAACCAATGAGTATGAATTCCTGCAGTCACGAAAGCTTGAAATCAAGATTGAACCACACGTACTTGTTGTGAACAACGCAAACACACATGCCTCCGATAATATACGGATTGTTTTTGAAACCGATTGACCAACACCAGAGACAGCAACATTCTTCACTGCCCAGTCTCACCAAAGGTGTCAGACCAGAGATGAAACGCCAAGGGGCGAACAGGACAAGGACAATGCCACACGTGTCAGAGCGTTTATAGCTCTGGGTGAGCAGTAAGGGGGGGGGGATTGTTTGTGGTGGTTTTTGTGGCGTGGGTGACTCTTGGGTCGGTGTTGTTCGAAGAACTACGGAGTGCCACCCAGAAGTGTATTTTTCTTTGTTTATATATATTTAACGAGCTTGTAACTACCCGGCTTCGCCCGGGACTTGGATCCACCACGCCCGGCCGCCTTTTTTTCTCCCCCAGTGGCGATCTTCACACACCACAACAGCAGTTACTCGTTTGAGGCCGAGTCGACCTAGGGGAGGCCCAGGAGCGGTTGAAATAATCGTCACCGGTGGTGGCCGTGAGCGGGAATCGAACTCGGGTTCGTAGCGCAGCGTAGCGCTAACCGCTACACTACAATGCGTTACGCTTCCACGTGCGAGGGTCACGTGACAGATTTGACGTCACAGCTCACTTTCCGTGCAAAAAATAAATGCATTATTGAGCTCACCTTCCACCCCCCCACCCCAAAAAAAAAAGTTTTTTTTTGCATGGTGTACAGTCTGGAAAGTACCCACATGGCAAATTTCAAGTTTGTTGCATGTCGGGAAGCACGCTAAACATTTTGAACAGACACACATAATCACAACTTTGCTTTTTTTATATATATGGAGATAAACGTATTGCCGTTACAAATGTGCAACAACACTCGTGCTTGTCCCCTCACTGTAAAGTTGTCCAAATCATCGAAAACCCGCCGCCGTGATGCACATTCAACGCGCGTGTAGATTTATTTGTCGGGTGCTGCTGCTGCTGCTGTGAGACATTCCCACACGGTGATGATGTGAGCCACTTCGTTGAGATATAATTTGTGATGGCCAGGTCGATTCAGATCTGCAGCAGAGACGTGGAGAGCTGCGGGGAAGATGTTAACTCCCTCGCCTGGTATGCAGGAGGTCGTGGTTTCGATCCCGACACTTGATGCCTGTTGTATATTTGGAGTTTGCGCGTATCTCTCTCTCTCTCTCCACGTGGTCGCGTGGATTTTTCTCCCGGTTCTCCGGTTTTTTCCCTCCTACATTTAGAACCAACGCCGCGCGTTTAAGAGTATTTGGTTGCTATAAATTTCACACGCGATAAACCACTTCGTTGAGCCATCATTTGTTCGCTTCAGAAAAAATAAGCTATGTAGCTCGGTGGCCTTTACCTGGTGGAACAAAACGTTTTATTTTTGTTAGCGATTGGCTTAAACTTAGCTATACTTTGCACTCCCGTGGTGTTTTTGTACTGTGCTTGTTGCAACGTTCTGACCCCGTGTGGAAGAAGAGCTTTGTAGCTCGTTTGATTCCTCCTGCAGTACAAATAAATGTTATTAATCGTGACGCACCGTCTGCTTCACTTAGTGAACAGCGACCGTAGGCCATTGCATGCTGGCGTCATGGTCCAAACCTAGAAAAATGACACTGCCACAATTTACTCTTTTGGGTTCACAAAGCCAAGGCCCTCCCGGAAGAGTCACGGAGACTTGTGTGATCCCCTGGACGAGAGCGTAATAATGATGGTACTTGCGCCACGTGGAAGGAAACGGTCTTGTAGAAATTTTTATTTTTATTTTACACAAACTCTCTCTCGCTTGGTAAAGCTTGTCATACCGGTATGAAACATTCACATGGTAGCACTGTAGCAGTAGTAATAGCGATATCTTACAATAAAACGACAATGAAAACATCTTTCACCCTCAGTCACAAAAGTCAGTGCCCAAAGAATTTCACGGCCCGTTGCATTTTTACAAAGGCAAAATTCCACCACCACCCCCCCCCCCCCCCTTTATACTTTTTAGACTTACCAACATTCAATAATATTTTACACGATTTGCAGCTAATTTGGCAATGTCGTTTTGAAATAACACTCGGGCCTCCCCCCCCCCCCCTCATTCTCTGGCTCGGCTTCGGCGTGGCGAACAAGCCGGCTGAAAGCGACGCTCAACTTGAGCCGGCTCCTGGATTTGCACGAGCCAGACCTGAGCCAAGCCTGAGCCAGGCCACGGCTGAGCCCCACGTGCGTCTTTGGAAGTGACCGAGCGCGAGCCGAGCCTTAACGTTTCGAGGCCGAGCCATGAATAAGAGAGAACAAGGCCCTTGAAAGTTTGAACTTGGATCAAGATGTCACCGTGGCCCAAAGCCGTGGGCGACACCGAATAGCAGCAGAAAGGTTCAGTGCCGCTAATTTGCGGCACTTATTGCCACCGACACTGGGAAGTCTGTGGAAGCTCCGTTGGCATATTCTGTGAAAAAGTTGAATTCCCAAATTTACAGGTGCGTACACCGCATCACAAGGCGGGGAAACCCCCACATGTTTGTTTCACTCACGTGTTGTCAATACGCCACCAAGTCCGATTTAAATACCTCTATTCCGGGAAGACAAAACGGGTTGTGTAACAATTGATCCTGACAAGTGTTTTTTGTTGAAATTGTACATTACTTCGAAAAGGTTGAATCGACTCCATTTGATGCCACGTAGCAATTACAAACGTCACGTTAAATGCGCGCGACCGATTCTCATGCGCGCATGTAACGTGACCAACCGAGTCGAATGCCACCAACGGAACCATTGCACACCTTGGAAAGTTTCTTAAATCCCACTGCCTTGGTCGACACGGAAGCGTGCGTGGCCACGCCATTCAATTGATTGGCAGGTAGCGTGCGGTGGGGCAAGGCATGGGGTAATCCCACCGTTTACAAAACTTCTTGCCGGCGTAGAAGAGGAGACCAAAATATCCTCTTCCAGAGGATGGTCTCGGGAGCTCGGGCAGGTGGGGGCCCTTCTGCCCAGCAGTGGTATGAGCAAGCGTAGAAACTATTGTGTGCTCCGTGAGTCATAACGGTGTGTACGTTGATGTTTCACCACAGGAACCAGGTACAATGCAGCATTGTCAACTGCACAGGATGAACAGGCGACGAGCCCCAATAATCTGTGCCACGAAAAAAAAACTGGATACCTGCTGGGTTCATCTTTACTTGGAATCATCAGTGACTAAATTCTCTGCAACCACAACGGCTGTTCCTGGGTTTCCGAATCTACTTGCACGAATATCACCACACACCGCACCTTAAGTCCATTTGTACAAAAAAATATAATATACAGCATCATATTTATATCCTGTGTAAACAATTGTCCTGTCAATATTTGTGCTGGTCTACAGTTGGATAAAGTCTAAGGACATATTTTACATTTTATCCGTACAACCAAGTTCTCAAATCTTTAGACAAATCGACAGTGTTCATTTCGAGCAACGAGGCCAATTGGAATCTCAGCTCGTGCCAACGTGGGCTTTACCTTCGTTAGAGATCATCAGTTTGTAGGGGGGAGGGGGGCAGCTGTCATGTGATACCAGTTCTACCAACAACCTTGCCATGTTTACGACGCCGATGATGTCCGAATAAAGATGAAATCAAAACGCAGTCCACTCATACGGCCGCGTGGTTACAATTCAACTGTCCAATCGGCTGCTACCGATGTCTAGGCTTCACCACCCCCTCGCCCCTGTATTCATGTAGTGAACTCTTAAATATCTTCTCGTGGAATGCATCGCCGTATTCTCTGCATTATAAGAGCCTCCCTGAAGGCACCACCCAACAAAGTTGTACCTATGAAGATACAACTACAGTCACATAAGATATTGGATGCACACAGCCCCGCCCCCCCCCCACCCAGTTCTCTTTTTTAAATAAAGGGGGGGGTGTAAAAGAAACGGCCGTCGAAATCCAGAGAATACGGTGTCATTCGGTTTGACCTGCGCACGTACACATTTTTTGTTGCTTGCTACAATCGATCATTTCTTCTCCTTTTAATTAACGGGTGAGGATCCGTTGGCGAGCCGACGGCATCCAAAAGACGGACTCGAGGCTGGTTACGTGCGGCGGAGAGCGAAATGCCTTCCCCCCCCCCCACCGTCAGCCGTTAACCGTCGGAGACAAGAACCACGGCGTATTTCGGGCGGATGCCAACAACTAAAGAGACACTTTCCGTGGTTTCACCATATTAGAAAAGTACAAAAAAATCGCCGCACGTCTCGCGGCTTTCACGACGCACAACGCCGTCAACGACGAACCCTGGCCGCGACAACGCTGGCAGCACGTTTCACAGTTGTTGGTTGTTTTTTTTTACCCTCGCAATATCCTCAAACGATTTCAAAGCCTCTTTTTCAGACAGCTCCGTTGCCGTGTAAACCCATGGACGCGTTTTTTTGCGAGTCGTGCCGCCTGCGTATTAATTGTTCGGCACAACATCCAAATATCTCTGCTCCCGGGCACGTAAGCTCCCGGGGGGGCCGCGTGTGAACGACGCGGCACAATCCGGAATCACACCCGGAGGGCTAAAACCTCGACACGCACTTCTACAGGTGAAAGGAAAGCCGGAGTGCCCAGAGAAAACCCGCCGTGATGACATCGCATCCTTGCCTGCTCATGACATCATCACCTCCCTCTCTCGCTCTCCTACAAAATGGGATCATCGGTGGCGAACCGATTACAAAACCCTCTCTCTGTCCTGCACAGGAGTCTCACGAAAGTGACTTCGTACACGATTCATCGGCCCAGCTCCAAGTCGCCAGTCCTCTTGAATTCTCACCCCGCTTGTAACCACCTAGCACCAGCTGGTTTCTCCTGAGTTCCCGTCTGGTTAAACAAATACAAATCCCTCCGACACAACTACTGATCCCCGCTCACTTGAGTGAGGGGGGGGGGGTGCTGTGAGGCGGCCAGATTGCAATACATCAAGTGGGGGTTCGTGAACGTATCCGTGCGTACCTCTCAGCGCGTCATCCCCCTCTTATACAAACGCAGTGTTGGGTTTTATCCGGTGCCTTCCCCCTCCCCCCCCCAACGAGAAGCCCAAACTCTTAACTCATGGGATCTATGGCCAAACATCCCAATGTGGCAAGGCCCTCCTGAAAAAACGTAAATCTTTTGAGACACAGTGGACATATCCTGTTCTTATCATCTTGATATTTCGGCGTCGTATCAAAGTAACGGTTTCGTGTCCTCGTGGCACGACTGGGATGGTACGCCTGGCATACCGTTTAAGTGATACACTGTTTATACAAGTAAAAAAATAATATATAATACATTTAAATAAAACACAAATCCGCTCGCGGCAAACTACCGTGACGCCTAACTCGCACTGAAAATGTGGACGAAAGTAACTGTTGCACGTTGTTCAACTCCCACAACTGCCACCGCCACACCCCCAGAAAAACGAAAATTCTCAGAAAATAAGAATAATTACCACGTGCTCTAAGTCTTCAAACAAAAACGGTGACATTTTTTATCTTACAAAACAAAGTGGGCAACGAGACCATCGTCCAAACGCCGTTTTTGCCAACCCCGCTCGGCGTATCTCACGCTGAAAATGAATGAACGCGGAGTTCGTTTTGCTGCCGTGTTCGTTCGCGCGGGAATCCAATCTCCTCCTTTCAGTTTTCGCAAAAGACCGTTCCCGGCCTCAAGCCGGCCGCGGCGTCGACTCCCCCGAAACCCGCTGCAGGACAGGAATCCTGTCCCCGCTCGGGCGGCGTGTCCTGGCGCGTGTCGCACGCAAGACACGTCGGCGCTCTCTCCAAGTGAAACGCGTCGTCGGACGCGGCGCGGTCGAGTGCAACAACCCTTGGTCGGCTCTACCATTGGTCACGGGGGTGAGCAGCATCTCTTCGCGGAGAGCGTGCGTCTGCCGCTTGCGCGTGGCGACCCCCTCTCGAACAACCGAGGCAGGGGCCGCGCGGTTACGACGACGGATTCTTGTGTTTGCAACCGCGCGAGGCGACGGGCGGATGCACGTGGAGCGGCCACCCTCTCAGCCGTGCCGGGACATCCGGTCGCACGTGCGCGCGTCTCTCCGTTCTGTCGAGGTCGATCGCCGTCAAAATTCCCCCCCCCCCACCCCACTTTCACCAACCCAGTGATGATGCTGGGAGGTTTTTTTTTAATAGTTTTTGACTTCAAAGTGAGATCCATCGCCACCCCCTCCCCTTCCCCCACAGTTACGTTGGCGCGTGGGGGGGGGTCGCGGGCGGGGGGGGGGGGGGGGGGGTGGGTACGAGTAGGGCACCCCGGGATGGTTTCGCATCGGTCAGGGCAGCGGAGGTCCGTTGACGCCCGGATGGTAAAACCCGCACATGTTCTCGTAGCGGCAGCCGCCCTTCATCATGAAGTGCCTGCACATCGGCCTCTTGGACATGTCTGCGGGGTGGGCGGGGGAGCAAAGAAGCGAGAGGGGCGAGGCGGAAGTGCGTGCCAGATTAGGACGAGTCCGACGGCGGCGCGCGTGCCGGCTGGGGGTCGTGCCGTACACAGTTGGTAGGAGCGGCAGTTTGTCTACCACGTGGTACCAGTAGGCTTTGGCGACCGACGTTGTTCCATAATAGCGTTATGCGTGTCGAGCTTCTTTCGCACCGTACGCAGCCAACCGCGCCCATCGGAGGTGCGGTAGCCCCGACTTGGAAGATGTGATGCGTCTTTAAATGCCAATTACAAACATGTGATTGGCATCTAAATTACTCAGAACACGGTTATAATGGGGCAATTTGCATCTACAGTCCATACATTACACTCCGGTATGCTGTCCACTGAATGTATAGAGTAGAATCCCTTTTAATGACCACCCCTGTTTACGACTAATCGCTTAACGACGGGCCTCCATAGAGCCCAATGTGTTTCGCTGACCAAACATTCCCCTGTGAACGATGGGCTGTTTGTGGGTACAGTAAATATTCATTAATGCGTTGATTAACCACGTTTCTTTTAATAAAATGCATTGTTGTTAGTATCGTTATGTATTAATATTTCGCTCAACGACCAAATCGCTTAACGACGGGTTTCGTGGAAGCAATCGCCGTCGTTAAGAAAGGCCTCCACCGTACGTAAAATATTTATTTTTTTACCCCCCATCGGCCCAGCCGCGTGCCGATCCGCCGCTCACCTCCACCGTTGTTGTGCCCACGTCCACCGCGACCCGTCCTGTACCCGCCACCTCCTCCCGACCGCCCTCCTCCGCCCCCTCCCCCCGATCCTCCCCGTCCCATCCTCCCCCCGCCGCCGCCCCCGGACTGCATGAAGGGCGGACGGCCACCGCCGCCTCTCATCCCCTCATTCCCAGAATCCCAGTACTCCTCATTGCCCCCTCCACCGTTTCCGCCACCACCGCCGCTGTTGTTGTTATGCTGCTGCTGTTGCTGCTGCTGCTGTTGTTGCTGCTGCTGCTGTTGCTGCTGCGTCTGGGTTGGCGGAGGGGGGATGTTGATGGGAGGTGGGGGGCCCATCATGTGTGTGCCTGGCGGAGGGACCCCCACTGCGGAAGAGAGGCAGAGAGAGAGGGGAGGAGGAGGAGTGCAAAGGACAGTGGGAGTATTAAACGCGAGTCATTAATGGCCTTGAATATGTACGTACGTATGTTGAACTTCTGTACGTGGCGAATCGTGCTAATCGGAGGTGCGGTGCTGAGTCTATGGGCAGGCAGTGTTGAGTCTATGGGCAGTGTTGAGTGTATGGGCAGTGTTGAGTGTATGGGCAGTGTTGAGTGTATGGGCAGTATGTATGTTGCATTTCTTTCATACCGTACGTAGACAATTGTGTTAATCGGAGGTGCGAGTGAAGGCGCTCTATAAATATTATATGAGATAAGATAACAAGATGATGGTGATGGTGGCGATGATGATGATGATGATGTTCTCACTCACCTGGGAATGGCGGTCGCACTCCGGGCTGGAATCCCATCCCGTTGGCCATCCCCATGGGGAACTGCATCCCGTTGTGGTGCATCATGGGAGGGCCGCCCTGCATCGGCACCGGGCCTGCACACGCACAGCATCGTGGGTAAGACAGGTGAGAATCTGCAGGATCGAGCAGTGGTGTGCTTCTGTAGAAAATATATCAACGTGTGTGTAGAGTATTTTGCTGCCATAAATGCCCACGTGATAAGCCACTTCGTTGAACCTTCATTTGCATGTATGCATATTGAAATTCTTTCGCACCGTACGTGGCCAACCGCGCTAATCGGAGGTGCGTGGGAAGGACAACACAAATTAAAACACAAAAAGCAGTCCTAAAGCAATCAAGTTTATTTGTGATATCCAGGTCGCTTCTGAAAAAGAGCTACGTAGCTCAGTGGGGCCCTTTACGTGGTAAAATACAAAATCATTTTAAGTAATTTAGCGGGAGAGACGGTATCGTCGCGAACGCGGGCGGGGGGGGGAGGAGGCAGTGGCGACTCGGGAGACGATGCTCACCGGGGGGTGGCGGCAGCTGGTTCTGCAGCGGTGCCAGCATTTGCTTGATTTTCTCGGTGAACTCGGGCTGCTTCAGGAGCTCCTCGGACAGCTGCTGGTGCTGCTGCTGGTTCCCCTGCGAGGAGACGGAACGGCGTCCCGCGGCGTCACCCGTCGGTAATCGGCGCGCGTCGCGAGCGCCGCAACTCCAGGTGGCGCCGCGGTGGCTAGGAGATGTTGACTCCCTCGACCGGTATATAAACGAGGTTGTGGGTTTGACCCACACGCGGCCGCGTGGATTTTTCCCCGGGTGTTCCGGTTTTTCCCCTCCACATTTAGAATCAACGTCACGTGTTTAAGAGTATTTAGCTGCTATACATTTCCACGTGGTGATGATGATGATGATGATAAGCCACTTCGCTGAGCTATTATTTGTGGGCAGGTTGCTTCTGAAAAAGAGCTACATTGCTCAGCGAGGCCTTTCCTGGTAAA